ACGATTCTCTTAATGGAATGTCAACGACTGAACTGAAGCTCTGAATGGCCCTGAATTACTCAGAGCAAGTTCTCACTGGGTTTTGATGCTTCTCGCATCGTGAGGATGCGCTCCGATTTTCTCCCAACTGCTCTGATTTTCCTGATGCAAGACTAACCACTAAATTTGCGCTGTCCCAATTCTCTTAGCTGCTTTCAATGAATTTTCACTGGGACTCAGTTCCAGAGGATAGCCGAAAGGAAACGTAGATGCATCTGGTCGTGGCTGACAAGGCAGAGATGCAAAGCGCATGTAAGAAATCCTTCTCGGAAAAAGGTGGAGACATCGGCCGTTACCTGCGACGCTTAGCATGAAACACATTCACAAGACTTTATCTTTGGAACAGGCACTGCGAATTATTCTCTCCAATCTCCATCGCTATGATAGTTTGCTGATGACCGTGCTGCGCTCGGGACAGAACATAGTCATCTGGCCATGCTAGTATCTGGACCGGGAACGCTAGTCATCCGATCATCCACCGCAACAGTGTCATTGGTTGAAGCATATCTGAAACATGTCTATCTTTACGTTACCTAAATCACCAGACTATGTATGCACCGCGCAGACCACTTGGAAATAGTATGGATGCTTCCTAGCGGAAGCTCTCGTGGTTGACCTGATAAATGATGTATGGTACAGGTTCAAGCGTCACACCTACTAGTGCCTGCGCTGTCCTTGTCCACTTATGTTATCTCTCTGTCACGCTGCATCGTCAATAACCCGCAGCGGGAATAGTACCAGAAGACATGTGCTCTGAACGAAAATACGATAGGATGTAGATCATCACCAATGGTTTTCAAATGAGTGTAGATAGCCCTTGATACAGACATGTGAAAGCCGATATCCCGGGCTATAATTACCCACTCAATGCAAGGATAGCAGATGAACATACGCAAATACAGTGCCACACGGAAGGGAACACACATAAAAAGCCAGCGAGTGTACACTATCGATAAGATCCAGCACCACAAGGAGAAGACGTCGCGAATATGCCTACCATATCAAACTCGCCAGCACTAATACCCGTACTCATTCAATATCGGGCACAGAACTATCTTACGGGTGGGCGTACCTATCTAAATTCAAGCGTTGCACACCTGCTAAAGTATACTGACTGTCGTAGCATCACTGTGTACAGTGGTGGTCTATGATTACGGTTAGTCAAGATTTCTTTCATCGAACTGCTTTATAACTCCTTGATAATTCTTGTGAACTATAGTCCTCAGCCTAAGCCAAGAGGTGAGATATACCCCTCTATCGTCAAACGAGTGTCCTCAGAGATATGAAAATGGGTTAGGTGTCACTCATATGGGTTCGTAATTCTCATTTCATCGATGCAGCTAGCGACTTCACATTGACGTTCCGATATTTATCTTTAGCAATACAAGAAAACGCTACTAACATATTGCTATATCTTCGTAAGTGGCATACATGACCAAAGTTGGCCGCCGAAGTCTTTATCGACATTTTTGCTTGAATTTATAGCTTCGTTATGCTGGCATACTATACCCGGTGTACGTCGTGAAGCAAACACTTTCTACTCATGTTTGTGAACATTCTGCCCCTTGACTAGAATGCTTATTGGTCAGTACATTCTGCCAGCTATGGTTATGCGCGATTGTATTAATCTTTTTCAGTGTCCAATTTTCCCATCGCTCTGTCGGACAAAGTAAGTTGGTAGTATAATAAAAATGTGCGATGCTCACAGCTGCTACTCTGACAGGCGTTAGTACTCTTGCCATTTCTTCATATACGGTTCGCTTGTCTGACTAGAAGATGGTAACCATGCTATACAGCTGTAAGTCGAGGTTGCCTTGACGTATATCCAATTCTCACAGCTAGAACCCCGAAGGTACAATCTTGAATTTGTTGTCCATAGCCGTTCTCCCTACATTGATACTCATGCTCGTTGAAGGTGACGCTACTACATCGGGTATATTCTAGTGAAACTGCTAATTTTAATTTCTTAGGAGTCATGACTGCACGAGTCTGTGCACTCTACGGAAATTCAACGAAAGTGTCCATCCTTCTCTGCATCGCATTTGTACCTACACAGCTGTTGAATATTTCCTCATTTGTTATGCTCGGTATCCCGTCCTTTTCTTTTACTTGTAAGTGGCCACAGTACTATTGAAGTCGTACCCTTGCCGATAGCTGATTGCACTGTTCAGTTCAAGAAAGTATTATGTTAGGTACCCATCAATGCACGAATCTCCCGCCAACAAGTCTATCGTTCTGGATATTTAGTGTCGTGACCAATGGAGAATCCTGTGCATACGAGTTATTACTCATTGCAATGCTCGTATTCCGCTCAGTGACTTACTTGAGAGAGCATGGAAATCGCCGTGTCTCAACGGAGTTCACGGGACTGATCAAGGAACTGGTGGGGCAGGGCTTGATTTACTTTTTATGGTAGGAAACTCTATTTGGCCCTTAGGATGCAAGCTCTCACGATCTAGAAGGACGTTTACAGATATGCTCTTATCTGTCTTAATTGTCACCCCAGCAATCGTTGATCTGGTAAGCTACGTGACGTGAGAATCGTGGTGTAGTACGGAGAACTTACTGGGAGGCCTACATTTTTAGAGTTCTGTTACGGCGATCAATATCCTCAGTGCTATTAACACGGTCTTTGATACCGGATTGATATCCATGTTGGGACCGTGGCTGATCCTATCCATCCGCCAGAACCATTCGACTCGTTTGAATGGAGGGCCTAGCATGGACAGAGGCATAGTCAGCTCTTTGGCGTTCCAAAGGCGCCCGTCGGCTCTCAATGAACCATTCGAGGCTTCGGCAAACGAAGAAGGTCTTTACGGGAGTAACGGAACCCAAGTATGATGAAAAGAAAAATGCCTGTCAGAGGCTGTTAACGAGCTAGCTAAAGCAGGGTTACTATAACTTTCTCCCGCCGTTTCCACCTCTTCTTTCCCCCCTGAAGTTATTTTCGTTATGACCCGGTCACCGTAGTGGCTCCTCTTTAATTATCCATTATGTTAGAATCAGCAGTTTATGTACTTCTTGCTTATCTCTCGCTCGAGACTCTGAATTGGTATCTCCCTTCGAACAGCCTGAGGCTTGCGAACCACATACATGGTAGACATCGCTTCCAATACACCTGCATCTAATACAGAGGACACCTCAAGATGCTTTCAACCGTCTCCCACAGCTTAAGAAATTGATTCGGGTGAGGCCTCGGTGTGAGTTGATGCGCGTGATACCCTCCAATGTCGATTTTAGATGGGGGCCTGGATTATCGCCAAGGTCAAGCGTAAGTCAACATGCCATTTGCAGCGCCGCCATGCTCTGGGTCATATGATAGTAGACCCGGGCTATTTCGTACGCTCAGATTCACAATGCGTGAAGCAAATGAAAGCGTCTGTACGGACTTGGAAGTGCTGATTTCTGTTCGGTGGCATGATACACAGGCAATACTATTGACGTATACGCCAGCAACGCTCCGCACACGGTCACGGTAGTAAGGTAATCTCTGAAACAGTTCCGCTAACTTCAAAGGTCTAGGACAGCCGATGGCACTCAGTAAAGGCTGAAAATCGAAAGATTCGGCAGTACTACAGTGTTATCTGCACAGCTTTTCCACGTTTGGAGTGCATGTATAGGTCACCTTGAGATGAAACGTGGTGCAGACTTGGTGGACCAAGCACCGACAAGGCCCTAAACCCAAGTCAACCAGCACCGCGTCTTCCTTGCCATGACAAATACAGCGAAAACTAAACCTCTATGGCCTCGTTGCAGCCTTTTCAGGAGTCTCCAATTATTGCCCTGTTCTCCCATAACTGACTCTTACAATACGAACTTCATATCCAACTCAAACACAATGGATGCCAATCTTCAAGTTGTGCACCGTAGAAACCACGAGTGTCAAGTTGGCATAAAATGCGGCAGAAAAAGTGGCCGATGTTCGTGTTGGGCTGTTTCAATGCTAAATAGAACTTCCGCTGGGATGAAGAACCGGAAGAGATTCACCAAACTTTGAGAAGCAAGGAAGAGAAAAGGGATCAAACAAGCGTCCACATTCAATTGATTCGGCGCACTTTATTCCCACGGCAGGATGATCGCCGGGGTAGAAATATCACCGGAGCCTGTCGACGCGCCGAGTTGCGATAGGCCTGTCGTCGTCGTGACGCACGGCCTGCTCGCTCAATCATCTTCACCACATCGCTCCTTGCAGCGGAGACATCCGTAGCAGGATGCACTCTCACCACTACTCTCAAAATGAACGGGGCAACGACCAAGCAGCAAGTTACTCTGGAACAACTAGTGCAGGCCACTCTAATCAGCTCAGCAGCCATACCATCGGTACACACTCCTCGCACAGTTCCTCATCCTCAGCCATCGACCTTTCTACTACACCATCTGGCATATCTCGTCTACACACCGCAGACGCGTTGCCTTCGAGGCCCACGACACCGACTTCACCGGCACTCGCACCTCCATCCACGGATGGCACGCTGCATATGGACGACCCAATCTCGCGTTCCAATTTCTCGAGGCGAAGGAGTTGGGGACGTGGCGATCCCATTCCGGACCCACTGGGTGCACGGAGACTGAACGAGGCTGAAACGCGGAGAGGAGGAGACGTTCAGAACTCGGAGAACCCTGGCCTATTCATGACACCGGCAAGCCCAGGACGCGTACGTACTAGCCCAGTCTCCTCGCTTCCGCTTGGCAACCCGCCGCACATTTCCCTCCCCACCGCACACCCGGGCCAGTCCTCCACCGCGCTCATAAGCCACCTCGACGGTTCCGAGTACGACGACCCCACCTCTTCTTCCTTCTTCTACGAACACGAGCTGGACCTGGACCCACACACAGCTGGGCCCTCGGACTGGCGCACCAGCACACCCTCCGTATACTCCATCACACCTCTCAACCCCGACTCATCCACCGCCGACCCCGAGGCGCCCCCTTCATCTACCACCACACCGAGCAGACGTTCCATTCGGTACGCGTCTGCTCATCAGACTCCACTCCGCCGAACAGGCACGGCATTGGGCAGGGTGTCACGCAGCATTCGACGAGCGAGCCAGCGCGTCGCGGGCGTCGGCGCCGGTTTCGGCGGCGTTCGTCTGCGCGACGAGGACGATCATCACGAGGAGAAAGAAGCCGTGAGGATGGCGAATGTGAACGAGAGCTCGGGTTCCGAGGACAGCTCTGGTGACGAGATAGACGTGCAAAAGGAGGAGGCGGAGGAGGAGGATGTGGTGGCCAAAAAGTCCGAAGAGGAGCGGCCGAGGTCGTTTGGACCTATTCGAGGGCGGACGCTGGGCTTTCTTGGTCCACGGAGCAGATTACGGAGGAGGTGCTTTGATATCCTTGTGCATCCGTATGTGGTTCTTCTCTTCATTCATCATTCGAACCCACTCACTTCTTACAATCACGTCCTACTGCGCGCATACATCCTCGGACACGCGTTCATTCACGATCACTGCGCCTTCACTATACACGCGATCTTGCTCGACCTTGGCTCATCAAAAACGCATTCGTTCATCTCCGTTTCTAACGCGCATACACCCATACATGCTGGCCCATGCCCTCGTTTACTCTTGGCACTTGTCAATTTCTGGCACTGCAGATACACCGAACCCATTATCCTAATCCTGATTCTCCTGAACGCGGTCGTGCTGACCCTCCAGGGATCACGAGCCCTGCTCCTGCCAGACTCAGCCAATGCACCCGCCCCACAGAAGGGATACTTTCGGAGGTGGGAGGACTATGCGCTCTTCGCGCTCTTCGTCTTGTTCACGTACGTCTCAATAATCACATCTACCGAGACTCACGCTTACCCATCTTTGCACCCCGCTCACGCTGTAGCATCGAGGCATTCATGCGTATGTGCGTCTCTGGCCTTCTACTCGACCCGGAAATCCCGATCTCCTCCTTTGGCGCGGCGTTCTCCACACTATCCGTCAGCTCGTTCACGCGCCGCACGCCATCTTTGCGAACGGCACCACCACGCGCACGTGCATCTGAAGCAATATACGCATCCGCACCAACCGCGTCGTCGTCCTCGCTCGACGTGAGCGCGCTCGGGAAGGCAAACAGCAACACCAACAGCGTGCCCCTTGGCCCAGGCATCGCACGGCAGCCCTCGGCCGCAGGAGGGCTCGCGCGGGGCAAGACGTTCAAGCGCTTCTGGGAAGGCTTGACGCGTCCATTTGCGTTGCCATCGCACTCTGTCGCGAGCATGAACTCGGGGACGGTGCCGAAGCCCCTGCACCTCCCTTCACGCGTCAACAGCGACGGCTCGGGACTCTCGAACGGAAGCTATGTGCCAGGCAAGGCACACATGGCGTCCAAATCGCTCGGAGGACCCACCGCATTCCACCAGCGCACCGGAACTCTGGCAGCCATGGCCGCGGGCGCAGCAGCAGCCACTGCACCCGCGACGACAGCGACAACGCGCCAGAAACGGCGCCGCGCACGCCAGCTCGCGTTGCCCTTTTCGATCAACATTGCGCAGACGCGCTCGACGCTGCGCCGGCACGTGCCGTTCTGGCGGCAGTCGTGGGGGCGCATCGACAGTCTCGCGCTGCTCGGGTTCTGGGTGAGCTTTGCGCTGTGTGTGGCGGGCGTGGAGCGCACGTCGAGCGGGCTGCATATTGGGATTTTTAGGGCGTTGAGTGTGTTGAGGGTTGCGAGACTGTTGGGTGTTACAAAGGGCACGGCGGTGAGTGTTGTGGTTTCTGTTGTGTGCTGTGGTGAAGTGAGGTTGTTGACGAGAATGTGGGGGTGGCGTATTTGGTGTTGGTAGACGATCATGACCTCGCTCAAGACTGCGCGTCCGCTGCTCGCGAGTGTAGCGTACTTTGTGATCTTCGCTATCGTTCTATTCTCGTGAGTCCAGAATAGGCCCCTCACCATGAGCCCCACTCACGTCTTCCCTCTCATTGAAGGATCATCGGCATCCAGTCGTTCAAAGGCTCCTTCCGCCGCGCGTGCTATCTCCCCGCCATGCTCGGCGAGCCCGCAACGCAGCTGAACAACCAGTGCGGGTCGTACATTAACGCGACGACGCTCGAGGTCGCGCCCTACGTCCTTGCCGACGGGAACGCGTCGGGCAACGTCGAGAAGGGGTATGTGTGCCCCGCGGGCACTATCTGCATGGAGGGGGATAATCCGTATAGCGGCATCGAGAGCTTCGATACGATATACTATGCGCTGCAGCAGGTTGTGATCGTTGCTTCTGCCAACGGGGTGCGTGACCATAGACTCTTACCAGAGCAAACTCCAATGTGGTTGAGCTGACTGGCCGAATGTATGCAGTGGTCTCCGCTGATGTACAGCATGATCGAGTCCGAGTTCTTCGTCTCGTGTTTCTTTTTCATCGTTTGCATCCTCGTGCTCAACTTCTGGCTCATCAACCTGTTCGTCGCCGTCATCACGAACACGTTCGGCGCGATCAGGAGCGAGACGCACAAGAGCGCGTTCGGCGCGGAGTCGTAAGTCGCTCTCCCATTCCCAAATCCTTGCTTTACCCATCACTCATAATATCCTCCCTTAACCGCGTCCCCAGCACAGGCCTGCTCATCGACCAGCAAGAAGAAGGCTGGACGACCGTCGGCGGGAAGCGCGTCATCGCACAGCGCGCGAACCGGCTCAAAGTGTACTACGCCTACACCACATGGATCTGGGTCTTCCTCGCGCTCGCGACGGTCGTCCTCCAGGCGACGGGCACATCGCTCATGTCCGACGTACACGCGGACGTGCTCGATCTCGCCGAGGTCGTGCTCACGCTCGCGTTCGACGCCGAGATCGTGGTGCGCTTCCTCGCGGAGCTGCCCGACTGGCGCGCCTTCTTTCGCAGCGGGCGCAACTGGATCGACACGGTGCTCGCGGTGGGGAGCAGTGTGATCCAGATTCCGGCGGTGAAGCGCTCGGGGGTGTATGCGTGGTTGACGATTTTTCAGCTAGGCAGGTTCTATAGGGTTATTCTCGTTGTGCCGAAGATGAAGCCGCTCATGGTGAGCCTCCCCGCGACGCTCCGTTTCTCCATCTGAATTTGAGTCGCTCATGGTGTGATGTAGATGACCGTGTTTGGGAACATGTACGGTCTCGCGAACATGACGATATTCCTGCTCCTCATCGACTTCATCGCCGCGCTCGCTGGCGTGCAGCTCATCCGGGGTGATATGGGCGACGACAACGCCATGAACTTTAGCGAGATCTGGAACTCGTTTCTGGCCGTCTATCAGGTCGCGTCCTCGGAAAACTGGACCGACGTCCTGTACGGTACCGCGGATGCCGAGCTTCCCCTCGGACAGTCCGTCATCGTCGCCATCTTCATCAGCGGGTGGCTGCTGTTTGGAAACTGCAAGTCCCCAGTTTTTATCTCATGGCCCAGCGTGCTGATGATAGGGCGCAGTCATACTGATGCAGATGTTCATTGCCGTCATCAACGAGAACTTCAACGTTGCGGAGGAGGCGAAGCGGAAGCAGCAGGCAAACGAATACTGGGCGCGGCAGCAGCAACAGCAGATCACGCACGGCACATGGATGCGGCGTCTGAACCCGTACCGCTGGGTCCGTCCTGACCCTGTGCGCGTCAAGGTCGAGAATCTGCCGAGTAACCTTGTCCTGCCGATGCAAAAGACGCTCGTTCAGGACTCTGCGCTGCCGAGTCAGAACAGGAAAGCTTCGGTACGCAATTTCACGTCGCTTCTCGTGCTCTGGGCGGTTCATTAAATGCACGTACAGACACGGGTGTCAGCCCAGAGATCTCTGAGAGGAGCCAGGCATATGCCCAAGAAGTCGTTAACGATGCTGCAGCAGCTTTTTGCTGGTAGTTCCACCAACAACGACATACCGCTCACCACCATACGTAATCCTCAACGACAGTCAATGGCAGGCGAGGATCCAAATATCGAAGAAACAGATCGGCATTTGTAGGTTCTCCGTTCTATTCGTTACATGACCGACTTCATATGCACGACAGGGAGCTTTTAGCTGCCATGCAACCTACCACCCAAGAAGAGTTTGACGATGTGCTTTACGAGCGGAGAGCCCAGAAGGCAGACTTTATTCGAGACCACCCGACATTCGACAAGACTTTCTGGGTGTTTTCACAGAAGAATAGCCTACGAAAGTTCTGCCAGAAGCTCGTGCGACCGCCAAACGGCGAGCGTATCTTTGGCACACCACCATCAAACGTCGCGCATCCTATTTTCCAGCTGATCATCTTCCTCGCGGTCGTCGGAGGTATCATCACTGAGGGCATCGCGACACCCATTTACCGCCGCAACTACTTTTTGCAATGGGGCTTATACCGTGCCTCGTGGTTCAATGTAGCTGAAGCTACCTTTGGCCTTGTCCTCTTCATCGAGTTCATCATCAAGATCATCGCCGACGGCTTCCTCTTCACGCCCAACGCGTACGTGCGCAGCATCTGGAACATCCTCGACTTCTTCATCATGTCTGGCATCCTCGTCAACATCTGCTTCCTACTCGTATACATAGATGGGCTCAACCGCTTTGTCCGCTGTCTCAAGGCGCTGCGCGCTCTGCGCTTCGTCACGCTCATCGAGATGATGCGCAACACATTCGAGTCGCTCATTCTCTCCGGCCTGCCTCGCATGCTCGACGCGGCCGTGCTCGCTATCTTGTATCTCATTCCGTTCAGCGTGTGGGGCACGAACGTCTTCGCGGGCCTGTTCAAGCAGTGCAACGACCAGAACGCCTCAGGCTACAGCGGTTGCACGAACGAATACGTCAACACGATCTACGGCGATGCCTTTGGCTTTCCGGTCCCACGTGTCTGGAGCGACCCATCGCCGTCGACCACGTTTTCGTTCGACAACTTCCAGGCGTCGCTGCTTATCCTGTTCGAGATTATCTCGCTGGAGGGATGGATAGACGTTATGACTGCGGCTATGGCTCTGACAGGATTCGACAATCAGCCGCAGACGAATGCAGCACAGACTAACGCGATCTTTTTCTTGATCTACAATCTCCTTGGTGGTGTTATCATCTTGACGATCTTCGTCAGGTAGGCGCCATCTAGTACAGTTTCGGGACCCGTGACTAACTGGTTTTCAGTATCATCATCGGCAATTTCTCGTCAAAGACCGGTTCAGCGTTCCTCACCCAACCACAGCGAGAGTGGATTGACCTGCAGAAACTGATCAAGCGTCAAAAGCCATCCAAGCGACCTGAGGCTCGACCAAATGGACGCATACGGGCGTGGTGCTACGATAGGGCCATTCACAAGCACGGGTGGTGGTCTCGGATGATGACGACGTTCTTCGTCATCCAAATCATCCTAATGATGTACGTTGGCGACCCTTTCATTTCCCTCATCAATTCGTTCTCAACCGTGTTAAAGGACGCAGACGTACCAATCCATCGACGTGGTCGATCACTTCCGAGGTGCGTCCTGTGCCCCCATTTCATCCTCGCGTGCTGACATTTCTCAAAGACGACTTCGCTCTCTTCATTACCTTCTCCTACGTGATCGATATCGGGGTCCGCCTGTTCGGCCTGGGCTGGACTAGTTTCCGCGGCAATGGGTGGAACCTGTTCGACATCACCGTCGCCGCAGGTAGTTTCGTGACGACGCTCATTGTCCGCTTCGGAGAGACGAGTTTCGTCGTGGAGCAGCTCCAGAAGCTGTTTCTCGTCAGCATCTCGTTCAAGCTGGTGCAGCGGACGAACAGTCTCAATCAACTGTTCAAGACTGCTGTGTGCGTATGCTTTTCTTGACTCGTGAAGGTATGCTGACAGGAGGTTGTAGTGCGAGTTTACCGGTCGTTTTGAGTTTGCTGGCTCTTTGGCTGGTCCTGTTCCTATTCTTCGCCATTATGTACATGGAGGTGTTTGGTCTCACCAAGTGGTACTCCGCCGAAACAGAGAGTCAAAACTACCAGACGATGGGCTCGGCCTTACTCATGCTGGCGTTCATGAGCACTGGGTAGGTCGTCCGTTTCTTTCTGGATTTGCGTTTGCTAAACTCCTGACTAGAGAGGGATGGAATCAGTACATGCATGACTAGTGAGTTTGCGTCAGCGTACCAAATTTGCTATGCTAACGCCCGAAACAGTACCTTGTCATACCCTAAGTGTACCTCTACGATCGAATTTGGCTACATCAACACGACGGACTGCGGCAGTCCTGGCTGGGCGTATACTCTGTTCATTGCGTGGAATCTGTTGAGCATGGTGAGTGAAAATTTCGGCGAACCTCACATGAAACTGAGGTATATCTCCCACGAAGTACATCTTCGTCAACTTGTTTACTGGTACGTGATTCTGACCTGGGCAAACCCCACTTTACTAACCACCACCAAGGTATTGTCGTCGAAAACTTTTCATACGTGTTCCAATCTACCGGCGGTGTCAAGTCCATCAATCGCGAGGAGATGCGATCTTTCAAGAAAATATGGGCCATGTATGCTAACCCCAAGACCGGATACCTGGAACGTCAAAACCTTGTTCCATTCTTAGGGGTAAGCGCATATTAGCGTGGTCACTTGTCACCCAAGTCCTCACATAATCCCGTAGAAACTCGGGGGTGTATTCGAGACGCGCATATACCCAGAGAACTACAATGTCAAGGTTCTTGTCGCCGAATGCAGCAACGGCAAATCCAAAAAGACGCAAGGTCTTAACATCAAACAACTCAACCGCGCGCTAAACGATGTCGATTATGACGCGATACGCAAGCGGCGGAACGTCTATAGTAGACTGTACCACGAAGCGACGTACTTCCATTCAAAAGGCAGGGGAATCTCATTCACCAACATGCTTCTGCTGCTTGCACATCACAAGCTTATTGTGGACCGCGAAGCTCTTGTGTGGGTTTCCTCCCCTTCATAGACGCTTATGAGCTAAATCGACCGGATACATAGACTCAAAGATCTGGTCGTGCGAACAGAGCAGAACAAGCTCGTCACTGATCTCGTCAACCTCGACCGAGTCCGTTCGTTACTGAAGATGTTCTCTCTACGCCGTCGGTACCTACTCGAACGCGAAGCGGAACGGGAGAAGGCCCGAAACCCCTTCTTCAGCCGCGGTACGTGCACCTCTCCGCAGTCTATCTCAACTACCAGAAACTTACGCTGATCCTCCCCAGACATCCCCGCCATCCTAGTCGAACCCCTACCCCCAAGCACCCCGCCCCTCGGCTCGCGCGACATCACCTCGCCCTTCACCGACTCCGCAAGATCCGAGTACGACAGCGCCTCGCCCAACGTCTCGCCCACGCCCTCCCCGCGCCGCCTCCACCCCGGCTCGTCGCCCGTAGACACGCCCGTGCTCGACCCCGGCTTCCGCTCCAGCCTACAGCGCGCGCGCCGGGTCAGCGACACGAGTATGCTGTCCGCCGATGCTGGCCTGGGCTCGAGCAGAGACGGCTCGATGACGCCTCCCGAGGGCCACGACGACGTGGTGGAGACGATGCAGCAGTCGCTGTGGGGCGGTAAGTCCTCATCGTCTTTCCTGTCTCTCACATATTCAACGCTCTTGATTCTCAGAAATGATGATGGAGGCCGAAAACGAGGCGAGTTGATAAAAAAAAAACAAGAGCGCAATTTCGATCAATATGCTGTGGACTATGTTCATCTTATTGCATATCTTATACTTTTTTCTGGGACCTTTACGGATAATCATAACAGGAATTTGTACGTATCATATCATTGGGTATAGAGAAGCCAGGGCAGCCGTTGTTAGATGCGCATGTTTTCTCGTATAATATAGTAGCACCACATTACCCACCTACATAGCGCGGGGAGGAGAATGTCTATACTCGCGGAAGCTCAACTACTCGTGTGTGCAGAACTAAGAAGGCGGTAGTAATATCACAACAGACACATGTATTCATCAGGGGCTATAACAACAACAGAACGACAGCAAAGGAAAACACTATAAATGCGCATATTCTCATACTGTCGTTATGTGCGTAAAACTGAACGAGAAGGGAACAAATGGGGGAGAATCGGGGAAACATAAAACAGTCTCGTCGCGCGTCGCTTATCCGCGCAACGCCCGCGGCTTCCAAACCTTCCTCTCAGGCACAGCTTGGAACCCATCCTTATCTCTCTGCTCCTGGTCCCTTCCAGCAGGCGGCGACGGCGCCGCGGGCGGCGGGCTCGGCGTTGCAGCAGGCGCGGCCGCAGCAGCAGGACTTCCGCCAGCGCGCCTGGCCTCGCGATCTCTCCACCCTCCGCCTCCGGGGGCAGCACCACGGAGCGCACCGGGCCTGTACGCACCCTGTGACGCCGCGGGCGCGGGCGCGGGCGCGGGCGCGGGCGAAGCCGGAGCAGGGGTAGGGACAGGGCTCTCCGAGCGTGAAGGCGGCTTCGCCTGGGACTGCACGCGGTTACGCCAACCACTCTCCCCGGTACCGATGATGCGCGGAGGACCGCCAGCGGCGGCAGGTGCGGCGGCGGGGGCAGCAACAGGAGCAGCAGCCCGCTCGCGCTCCGCGCGCCTGCGTTCTTCCCGGTTGCGCTCGGCCTCCTCCTCGCGCTGTTGCTGGAGGCGGGCCTGTTCGAGCGTAGCTTGGCGCTCTGCTTCCCTTTTAGCGCGGGCGGCTGCTGCCTCTTCTTCTGCAATGCGCTTTTTGGCTTCGGCGGCCTCCTCTTCTGCAATTCGTTCTGAGAAAAGCAAGAACATCAGAACACCCATATCAGGAACAAGCAGCAAATCAGCGAGCTCACCGGCCTCGAGCCTCGCCTCCTCCTCCTCTGCCTCCCTGCGTTCCCTCTCCTCCTCCTCGGCCTTCTGCCTCTCCTCCTCCTTCGCCCTGCGGTACTCTTCCCTCCTGTCCTCCTTCTCCGCCTCCTTCCTCCTCTCCGCCTCCGCCACCCGCCTCTTGTACTCCTCCCCCTTCTTCTCCGCAATCGCCTCCCGGCGCCCCTTGAAGTCCTCCATCATGCGCGCCAGCCTCTTCTTGGTCTCGACAGCATGCACATGCATCTCCCGGCTGTTTACGATCCTCGCCTTCTGCAGCGTCTCGAACGTGCGCCGGTCCTCGGCCTGCTGCTCCTCGTAGTCCTTGGCAAGCAGCGGCCGCTCCTCCTTGCGGTACGCGCGCTCGATGTGGTCCACGCGCTTCGACGCGAGCCGGAGCCGGTCGTTGAGTTCCTTCTTCTCCTTCTCGAGCTGCTCGACCTGCATGCGCATGAGGCCCTCCGTGCTTAGCTCCTCCATCTCCTACAGAGCCAATCAGCATATCTCGCAGGTACGCGTCGCAGAAAAGAACCCACATTGGCAGACACCTTGAGCCCACCGCGCTTGATCAAGTTCTCCGCAAGCTTCTTCGCCTCCTCCGCACGGATCGTCTCGATCTCCCTCCTCGCACGCTCCACCTCCTTCTTGCGCGCATCCTCCTTGGCCCGCTTACTCTCCTCGTCCCTCCTCCGCCTCATCGTCTCCGCCTTCAAACTCGCCTGCTCCTTCTCGAGCCGCGCGCTCAGCTCGCTCATCAGCTCCCTCCTCCGCGCAACAAAGTCCCTACGGAGCTTCATCGCCCGCCTCTCCGCCTCCGCAGCCTGCACAAGCGCCTGCACCCTCGCCTCCTGCTCCGCGCGCTCCTCCTCAGCCGCACGCTGCACCGGCGGATAAATCGCGCGCAGCGACACCTCGAGCGTGCGCGCGAGCGCACTCAGCCGCGTGCGCACGAGGTCCGACGCCGACGGCTGCACGACGTGCGACTCCCGGAACGACGGCGAGAGCGACGACGGGCCCGCGGTGGCAGAGTCGTCCGCGGGGCCGAACGCCTCGTCGGCGAAGATGACCGTCTCCTTGGCGTGGTCGACGCGCACGGCGAGCTCGTTACGGCGCGCGGCGCCCATCATGTACGCCTCGATCTGCTCGGGCGTGAACGCGTTCAGCGGGGCGACGAGCGTCTGGAGGTGCGAGGTCGTGATGGTGCCATACACCTGCGAGAGCTGGGAGAGGAGGCGCGACAGAAGCGCACGCTCGAGGAGAGGGCGATAGCCCGCGTACGGGTTCAAGCCATCCTCGGGGGCTTCACAGATGGTCGAGAGGACGGGAGCGGTGGATGCACATAGGGTAAGGGGATCGAAGGAGACTTCGAGGAGGTTGTACAGCAGCTTGACGGGCTCCGGGGATAAGAGGAGGACGTTGCGGGACAGCTGCAGAATCATTGATGAGTAAATGATCGTGACACATACAATAACCTGAGTAACGTACCGCGTCAGCGAGGAGTCCGGACCGAGTGGGGGACTTTGTCAGCCCGAGCAGAGCCGCGAGACGGCCCGCCTTGCCTTTGCCCTCCTCTTCTTCCTCCGCAAGGCCGACAGGGACGGCCAAGGCGCTAACGAGGACCTGGCCCGCGAGGCGAGTAAGCTCCTCCTGAGACTTTCCGCCGATGGAGGTAATGATGGCGTAATAGCGGCCCCAGGCAGCGGCGTGATAGAGCGCGTTGCCGCTCATGAGGAAAATCTTGGTCAGCTTCTCGTAGTAGTTGGCCATCATGGCGGGGCGAGGCGCCTTCTTGGCCATGGTGAGGAGGTTGTGGATGTCCTCGACGGAGCGGAAGGCCTCCTGCCAGAGCTCGAGCTCGACGGAGGTGTTGAGCTGGGCGAAGCGGGTGTCGAGGTGGTGCTGGAGCGTCTCGGCATCGTTGAGGTTGATGGCGTGGATCTGGTGGGAGTATTTGGCGACATTGGCGAGGTGGAGGCGGAGGGTCTCGCAGAGGCGACGGAACTCGACTTTTCGCTGGTGCTTCAAACAGAAGCGGAAGGCTTGTTGGGCGACTTGCTGATGAAGTGGTAGCATACATTAGGTTATCGTCCCGATAGGAGAGGCTGAAGCGCTGACTCACCTGGTAAACGGCCTCCAAGCGTGCATTGTTTTTGAGCGTCTCCAACGAAGTACGATAACTCTCCCAGAGGAACTTGAGCCAGGGGGTGACAAGCGCACGATCCGTGCGGTCCTTGCTCTGATCGCCGCTAACGGCGCCAAGGAGGATGCTCTCGGGCGTCTCGCTGGCCTCGAGGTCGTCGACGTCGGTGAGGGCAACCTGCTTGTCCGCCTTCTCCTGCGCCTCCTGGACCTTCGCATCCGCGAGCTGGATGAACTTGTTGATGACGACCTCTATCGAGCCGACGGAGGTGTTCTGGGCGATGTTTTTGTACTGCATGAGGCCCTCCTTGGCTGTGCGGCCCTTGCGCATGTCGACACAGAGTTCGACAAATCGGAGCATGATGGGTTCGAGGGATGCGAGCGGGGTCGAGCGGAATCGTTTTCCGGTGAACATCTCTGAGAGAGACTGGAGTGCAGCGTGTGTCTGGCCGACGGAGACGAGGCCCTCTGCCTGCTTGAGGACCGTCTCTGGCTTAGAGTACGGCGCCATGTTGAGATCTTGCGAGTGGTGTGGGTCGTAAGCTCGATGAAGGAGGTCTACCAGTACGATCTGATACTCACAGGGCTTGGGTGTGGTGGATCCTTGGAGATCGCCTTTGATGTTTTCCTGCCCTTGCGACGGTTAGATGCGTCTAAGACGATGGCTTTGATGAGAAAAAAACAAGGTTCACCCCCGTGGGAACCTAGCTTTTCCCAAACAGGAGGTGATAGCCCCTATCTATATAAATTGTCCACTGCGGTCCACACTTGGTCGCAACTTGGTCGATACAGTCACTCGCCAGTACTTCAACTTATAATCTTCCCTTTCTTTCCCCCCACTAAGTTGATATATATTTGACCGCTCGATGTATCTGAGTACACTGAAATATGAGCATGAATTCCCGCCATCTTGCGGGGTGCATGTGGATTCAAGTTCACATTGCATAATTACTTGGCCTCAGTTGTCATAACTCTCTCTTAACCTTTTCTGGGGGCATCATCAGCATACCAGATAACAATAACAGAGAAAATAAACCCCACCAATGCTGATTTGGCTATTCCAAGAATCATATGGACCTCATCATCTTCACTTGACTCTGGCTTGAACTTTGCTTCAACCTCCTCTCGAATATAAACCTGGATGTGGTTAGCATGTTGGTAGTGCCGGATGGACCACATCCATTCATTATCCAGCTTTCTCCACTGTGAAAAGGAGTCCAATGCTATCATGATAGCAGCTATAGATAAATTAGAGTCAGATATAGCATGACCGTGTATAATGAGACACACCAGTTTTTAGCTGTGCTTTCACAAAAACATCCTCCCACTTGGAAGGATCATCTAATGAAGCCTCAAAGAACTTGGGTAGGCCAGTCAGTTTGGGAACAATAATACAAAGACATCAAAGTGATGACTGTCTGTTCAGTATACAGCAGACTTACTCTAGCAAACTTAACTCATTGTTTATATGAGAACATTATATCCATACAAATATTCATGGTTACCTTTCCAAGGCCAGAAACATCAGTATTTCCTAAAGTTAAAATAGAAAATGGTGCTCACCTCCTGGATTATACAATTAAAGCAAATAATTTTGTATGAAATAAACAAAACTCACAGTCTTGAGAAATAGGATTAGATTAGAATATGAAAGGTTTTAGACAGCTTAGCAGTACTCACCATCTTGAAGGCAGAAAGTGGGTCAGCATAAACAAGGTGTAGGATGGACTACAAATACTCACTGGCTTTATGAATAAGAGCTCTTGCATCAGCATCAGCAAATGCAGAGTAGACTATGTTCACTTACAGGCTTGCATGTAGAATATGTCAGATGAGGATGAGCAAGAAGCATGATGGACTACAGTTACTTACCCACTTGAGAATGATAAGTGCTAGGTGAGAATTAGGGGAAATGAACTGCACTACATACACTCACCAACTTGTAGACAAGAGGTGTTAAGTTAGCATGAGTAAGGGACATAATGAATAGCCACTTACCACCTTGTAGACAAGATGTTTCAGGTCAACATGAGCAAAGAGGAGGATTAACCAGTAGCACTCACCCACCTATAAGCAAGAGATAATAAATCAGCATGAGTAAAATAGAAATACAAGATTATAACTCACAGGCTTGTAAAGAAAAAGTGTCACATAAGCATGAGCAAGCAGGGGATGGACTATAAGTACTTACCGGCTTTTAAATGAGAGTTGCCAACTAAGCATGAGATAATTGCAGAGTGGGCTACAAATGCTCACCTCCTTGCAAGTGACATATGCAGGTGAATGTGAGCAAGAAGCAGGGCAGACTTCAAGCACTTACCCCCTTGCAGATAAGAGGTGCTGGTGAGCAGGAGCAAGAAATAAGATAAATCACTAAATGCTCACTCCCTAATAAATGAGAAGAGCATGAATGAGTATGCAACAGCATTATAATATGAGTACCTCTTACATATGTTTGTATCTGGTTTATCCACTATTTCTCCCATGAATAGGTTAGAGGGGTCTAGTGGGTATATCATGAAATGGGTGGCACTCACAGTTTGTGGCTGATAATGAATTAAAACTTGGTATCCAGTTAGATCTCAGAGCATACCTCATCCCACTGCCATCCATGCAGTGTCAGCCACTCCATTATATGCATCTGTGCCACCCAGCAGCTAGACAACACTTACTTTAATATCTTTCTGAAAAAGGAACACAATGAGTGAAACAAATGTTTGACTCAGCCTGAGTCATACCCAACCATGGGGAAAGCACAACCATATGTTCCAAACTGTCATCACAATTGACTGCTTATTCACAGCCGACTGGTAAATTGAAGTTCTACAGTGTTTCAAGTCAGTGCATGCCACAATTTCATTGGTTATGAACCTACTTGATAGCCTGGTGCACACAAAGCTCCAGATTATTCTGCTGCACAGAGACAAACACCTGTTGCAAGGATACATCGTCAATTGCTTCAGCAGTTCTCGCTGACAGCTCATGGCACATAGCCTCTGGGTGATGCATGTCTATCAGAAGAGACCCAGCAGCTAATAATTGATTAAGTAGTGGAATGCTCACCCTGAAGCCGGACAACTTGCTTGGGAGGGTGAGCCGTGCTCATTATCCAGTTATAGTAGTGTTCTCTGTAGATCTCTTCGGCTTTAGCACCAGCATCCACCGAGCTGTTGAGCAAGTCGTCGAAGCTGGTACCACGATCAAGCCATAGATCATTTTGCACTCTGTCCAGCAGTGCATCGTACTTGGTGACAATAACCACAATGTGGACTAGCCAGACGTCAGCAGGGCAAGGGCCGGGCAAGAAGTAGGACTCGCACCCTTTCCTGCGGTCTCATCGAAAAAACGCGAGTTCCTTGGCAGCAAGAGAGCGCCGATTATCCATGGGGACACAAAACCTGTTGAGCGAGTAAACACCACTGTGCTCACACAATGTAAGATACTGTAAGAAATGATTACCAAATTGCATGCAGTTGGTTTTCAAGCAACGTCTGCGATTCACGCTCGCGCAGAAAGTCGCGAATAATCCTGAGCTCGTCAGCGCTGCCGGCCTCGATACCTCGGGAGTCATGGAATATGAAGTGGCTGCCAGGATACATGATTTGGTACTTTATGTCGTGCTGACCGCGCTGGCAGTAATGGAGAGATCCGTCAGTGTCATTGCCGCTTTCAATGCTAAGAGTGACACACCTGCGTTGATGGTCGAAGTATGTCATTTTCCTCATAGACATTTTTCCGGGGCAAGCCTGTCTTGAGTTTTGCGAGCAGTTTACTTGTTTTACTCTGTAGCAGTTGCGACAAGGAACACAATGATGATTTAGTGTTAGAATGAGAATCAGCATCGAAACCGTACTCGCAGTCCCTTCGACGTAGTATCATCCAAAGGTGTATCCTCAATCTGTGCGATATTCGCGTAGTTGGATCCAGCTGTTCAATAGCTGAAAGACGTGGGAGGGCTTACCTTGCGACCATGCGCATCGTGCACGATGGGATCGGTATTCGGGTCGACGTTACAGACCTTCTGTAAAATCGTGGTCTTCCCCGCGTTGGCCCTGCCTATGATCAAAACGCGGAAAACAGGGCACGTCTCGCGAATTTTTGTAATGTCCTGATTTTGTTGTGGAGTCGACATGCTGGTATAGCTGAGCGCGATTGCTTGGTTTCTGAGGGATACTATACTTTGGATGTAGAGATGAATACTCGAAGACGGCTCCAAAGACGGTGAGCGCTGGGACGAAGAAAGGGAAGAAATCAAGGGCAGTTCACGCACACCACTCCCCGTGTTATATCTAGCTGTGTAAATCAGCAGTTAATTGACTCCGTCGTCTCACAATCTGAAACTGTGCACAAAGCCAGATCACTGTCACTGACTTTGAAGAACTTGTACGTGACGACAGAGAAGTTGTCCATGACTCACCGGTGATCAATGAAACACTGATGTTTACAGACTGGGATTTCTATCTCTTTCAATTTCGGTCTGAAGAGCGAGTAAAATGTGCATATAGCATATAATACAGTGAGAAGGAATCAGAGTTCTGATATCAGAAAAGTCACTTTCTGATGCCCGTTAAGCATAGCCTCGTGTCACGCAGTCAGATGGACGCTGTAGGACAACGTTGAGACGAGCTATTCCAGACGCTACTTCCAAGTTCAAAACGTCCGCGGTAACCTATTCACATGTGTGAGCGATGCCAATGAGAAACGAGCGATCAGAGAACCTTCGACAAATCGATAGACGCATGAACGAGCAAAATTTCAAGGGGTGCTTTAGCTCGAAGCGCCAAGGTAGCGGAAGATAATCATACGTTCCCCACAGCTCGATACGATTCAAATAAGGCTTATCGTCAACTTGCGACTCGTAGAGTCGCAACTGGATGGATAAAAGACATCAAAGAAAGCACACACTGAAAGCCTGTACAACCATCCACTTGAATAAGTACAGCTGCAACTACCCCCAAGGCTACTGCGCGATAAACGAGAGCATAGTCTCCCTAATCTCGTTCGTCAACCGCTGGAGAAACGGCTCGTCCCACGCGTCCGTCGTCTACGTCGCAAGATCATCAGTCACCACATAACCCCCCACAAGGCACACCCAAAACTCACCTGAACCTGCAAAGTCAACACCGACCCGACAGTCCACACATGATAATACCTGCACCCAACCCCATCAGCCCCGCTCCTCAGAATTCTCAAACAGCAACAACAAAACTCACAGCTGCCTCCCAATACACCGATGCCCCACACAAAACGCCGTCACCCTCAGCACCCCCGGATCCGTCCTCACCACACCCTCAATCCTCCCCAAATTCGTCGGCCCCGCGCCCAACCCCGCACGAATCCCCTCCATCGCAGCCACCACATCCGTCTCCTCAACCTTGTCCGCCGCAGCGAGGTGCGGCAGGTTTTTGTTCGCCGTGAACAGCGCGTACTGCGCCTTGATGCGCGCCATCATGTGCAGCAGCTGCTCGCGTTGCGTCGGCTGCCCTTGCATATCCCGCACGACGTACATCTTGATTGCGGGGCCCATGATGAGCCCCGTCGCGATCTGGGAGATGGTGTTGTACTGCGGGAGACGGTAGCGGTCTTGGCCGATTCTATCCACACACAAAAAACATGTAAGGAATTCTGTGTATGGAGATACCGATGATGACGACGTACGGCGGGCTCACGATGACGTTCGACTCATCCGTGATTATCGCGCCTGAGGTCTCCTTCGCGAACTTGACGATCGTCAGCGCCGTAGCAGCATCCACGAGATGCGTGAACGTGAACCCGGCCTCCTTCAGCTGCCTTAGCATCTCGCGCGTCGACACTTCATCAATCGTCTGCTGTGGTCGCTGCATGTCACCCACCCTTGCTACCTTCTCCCGGGGCGGCGTGATCGTGAGCGGGGGCTTTAAAATATTCAACAATAAGCATCTCACGATAAAACCAACGACGAAACGACAAGACGTACCTCAGACCCAGCATACAACCCAGCAATCTTCTCCTTCAGCTTAACCCCCTCCGTATCCCAATCGTCCCTCGCCCCACCCGTCGCCGTCATTGGCCCCACCGGCAAATTGCGCCACTCATTACCCCAACTCCCAACCACATACTCCTCATCGTGCTTCACAGGGTCCACAACGTACTGCAGCACAAAGTTAATCAGCCGCAGCGTCGGCGGCCCGTCCATTATCACATGCGCGCCGTGCATAACAATCGAGTACTCCCCGTCCCGATCATCAGGCACAGCAAGGTAGAACCGCACGAGCGACTCCCCCGGCGTACCGTCCGCGTGCGTGAACGTGTACGGCAGCGGGCGGTTGTCCATCTCCCTGATGAAATCATGCGTCGAGAAGCTGGGGCCCGTGCGGATCTCGATGTTGCCGTCCGCCCAGGCGTCGATGGCCGCGTCGGGTGTCTCGACGCCTGGCTCGGAGAAGGGGTAGTATCGCCAGTTCTTGGTCCATGCGTTGTCGGGGTAGGGGATGACGCACGATGCGAGCACGGGTATGATCCATCTGGGCAAGTCAGAGTGAGAACATGTCGATGTATGTGACGATCAAGGAGCTTAAACCCCATGGTGGAGAAAGACAGAGACTGACCTCGCTTTCTTGATTGCCTCCCGCACACGGGTTTTCACAACGTCCTGTGACAACGGCGTCTTGAACGATACACCAATGCATCCATTGACGTATCTACGGTGATATCCAATCAGAGAAGAAGCAAGGCCACGAAAGAAACGCCGAGACGAACCCATCGCCATGTGTCCGACCAATATCGACAACCTTCTCCGCGCCAATGAAGTCCCTGACATGAAACCTCCGATTAGCAAACACGTGTCACCATCTGCAACACTTCAAACTCACCTACTCCAGCACGTCCGCCCGTCGATTTCCCCCTGCGTCCACTGGGGCTCGCCATCAGCAAGTGGGTGAGGCATCCTTGAGCACTTAGTTCCGAGTGAAGAAGAGGAGTTTGCGATAATTTCGATGGACGCAAGACAGCCGATACCCAAGGAATGGAAGACCTATAACCCAGTTGTGGTGTTTGGAATGGGTGCCAGACACGGACACTAGAGCAGCTGTTATATAGCACACCGGCGAAGCACTTGGTGCCCGTAGTGAACGGGAGAGTTGCGCAAACGGTCCCGGAACCGACTCGGAATGACTAGTATAAGACCAACCAGGCAGCGAGGCTACCCCTAAGGAGTATTGCATGGTTTATAGCCTGCTTGATGGCATGAATGAAGGCGGCGTCGGTCGCGCAGCGATGTCGCTCTGTCGACTTCTTGTTCTGAGATATTCGCACGCGTCTCCGGATCCGGTTAGCCCCTATCAAGTATTCGACGAGCCAAAGTGTACATATACACAGTCTGCGAAGAATCAAACGATGCTCCGATCTTCGCGACTATAAACTGAGGAATCGGATAGTTCAAGCATCTGTCAAAGCGTCATTTCCTTTCCTGCCATTGGCTCTGGCGATGTAGAGGAAGAAATGGGTAGGGGGTCATTCATGAACCCGCAGACATCGTCGATAATGTGGATCCAAATAATATCGACACAAACCCGTACTCACATCTCACTCCACCCCAACCATAAACGTACTATTCAACTCCTCCACCTCCATCCCTCCCAACCCTACCCCCACCCCACCACCACCCTCACCACGCATCGCCCTCGTCGCCGCCCTCCGCGCCTTCTTCGCATCCTTCTTCAACGACCGCCTATTCAACGACCCGCCCTGCGCCGCCGCCGCCGCCGCCTCGTATGCCGACAGATCCTTCGCCTTCCGGAACCGCTTCGGCATCCGGCCCACACCAGGGTTCTGCGCCTCGAGCACCGCAGCGCTGTCCATCACGGAGAAGCCCGCGACAGACGATACCGTCGGCGAGCGCGCGCGTTTGCGCGGGACGGAGGGCTCGGGGTCGCCGTCCAGTTTGATGTGCGATATCCGGGTGCTGAATTGGAAGATGGCACCACGTTCAGTCAGACTCCTCAAACGTAGAATCCTCGGGGAGAACTAACCCATCATCAACGACATCCTCCGCCATCTGCTCCTCCTGGTCCGGCACAAACCCCCCGTCCTCCTCCATCTCCTGATCCGCAGCGTCCCCGCCAAACGCCCCAGCGTCCGCAGCACCGAAAAAACCCGCGAGTTCGAACGGCTTCGACAGCTCGTTGAGGATCTGCGCTTGGCCCGTGGCTTCCGCTCCCGGAGCGACGGTCTCAGATCCTGCCATGGTCGCCGGCACCAACGACGGGTGCACGACGGGCGGTGTGCTCATGTATGGAATCTTTTGGTGGTTCCAGTCCATCAGGACGTGCCGGGCCGCTGCCAGGACATCTGGAGTTCCGCCCTTAAAATGTTGTGAGCGTGACGCTAAGACCACAGAGCGAGACTGTCTGCGTACCTTGAGCAGTCGTCCGCTACTCAGCGCCAGCATAGTCAGAAACTCGATCGTAGAGGAGAACTGCGGGACGTTGTATATCTTCTGTACCGTTTCCTCCGCCGTTCGTGCGAGAATCTCCTCCACTAAGCGGACGAATGAAATGAGAAGCTGAAGAGGAGAACTCGAGATGAGCGTCAACTCACCAACGGCGATAGGATCGTCGACATCCTCAACCTTGACCACGTTCCTGAGAAGAATACTAGTCTTCTGAGCGCTCTTCGTGTCGGTGTCATCGTCGAAAACGACTCCTGGCGAGTCAATGATACGAATACCGCGTTCGAGTTGAATGGACTGCAAGTCCTTGGTGTGTCCTGGCTGAGCTGCAACGCTGCAGACCTTAATCAAACCCATTAGCACATAAGTATATGCGCAGCCATGTCCAACGTGTGCGCTCACCTTAGACCTTTTGAGAGAGTTGATCAGACTGCTCTTCCCGACATTGGGGAATCCGACGATACCGACCGTCACGCTCTTCGCCGACGGCTTGTAAGCCTTGAGCAGCCTCAGCAGCGCCGGCGCCGTCGTCGACGACAAATTCGACCGCTGATTCGACGTCGCCGAGCGGAACGGCAGCGTCGGCGCCGAATGCCTCAGATGCCTTAGCCACTGCTCCGCGTTGTCCCGTGGAACGAGATCTGACATCACCAACATCAACGTCCCGACGGCACCCCACCACAAACGCGAGCAGCAACGCAACAAAAGACGCACCAATCTTATTCAACACAAACACCAACCTCTTCCCCTCACTCTCCTTCCTCCTCACCTCCTCCTCGACCAACCGGCTCCGGCACCCATCCGGATCGCGCGCATCGAGCACGAGCACGACAATATCGCTCTCGTCGATGACCTTGTGCAGCTGACGCACGTAATGCCTCCTGACCTGCTCCTTGGTCCGCAGCGAAGACGACGGGTCCGCCCACGCGTCCTCCCCAAGCGCGGCGGACGTGGACGCCAGAGCAGCTAGCGAGGCCAACGTCGGTTCCGCGGCCATATTAGCGTCGGGATTGGACCGGCGGGATTCGTTCGCCTTGGTGTGGTGAGCCGGGGAGTTCTAGTTAGCGTTTGCCGTGAGGCGAAACCTGGGCCAACGATCTTACCGAGTGCACCTTCTGCTTCTCGGCATTCTTGTGCTTAAGATCAGGCAACTTGGGTACGCCCGGGTCCTTCTTGAGTTCTATCAAGCGGGGCTCAGAACATGGCTGTCTGCCGCAGAGCTAGGAAAGCGGTCTCACTGCATTTTACGGGAAGGGCATTCTTATGCGATTCTGGGCGACGAGTGTTAGTAATCCTATCAATATTTTATTTTATTAGAGTAGAGACTGACTGTTCCTTGCCATAATTGAAACGTTGAAGGTGGAAACGTTGAAAAGGGACGATAGAAGGAGGACAAATCTTGGCGGTCCCCGAGATCAATCTGCTCTTTTCGGCACAGCCACACATACACTCAAAGCTTCCGAATAAACGCCGAGTTCTACATGCCTATTGGTCTCCTCCGAGTTGTTTTCTAATTAACGGATCGCCCACATAGAAAAAGACATTTGAATTGATATTGAACAGGACCATGTCATGCCAACGCTGCGTAACGACGGCCTCGCAGTACTCTACATGTAAATTATTGTTTCAGCCTTTGCACCAAGAAAGAAATATCAGTAAACTACGTCGAAAAGCCCAATCTATGACGAGAGAAGTCCGACCACAACACGTATTAAAAACATAAATGCGTAATATAAAGTACCTCGAAGAAAAAAGATCCTTGGGAATCAGTACGAAAACACCATCAAATACGGGTTGAGCACGATCGGGAAGAGAATATGACTACCCGCAACCAGCCTGTCGAGAGAGGGGTTTGTCAGCTGGACGTTCATTGAATGATCACAGCGAGATAATCTCACGTGAGAGGTAGGATGACAGCCCAATAGTCGCCCGGGATCTGGTAGTCGGGCCCGACAAAGGGCAGACTCATGACGATGATGAGTGCGAATGTGGCGAAGCACAGCAAGAATGCGAGCCAGAAGCGCTTCAGGATGCGCGGCACCTCGATGAAGAAGTTGGAGCGCTCGACCTCCTTCTTCGTCGCTCCCCAGGTGATGTTGTACGAGAATAGGTGGGCGAGGAGGGCGGTGGTGAGGTGGATACTGAGACCGCCAAAGAAGAAGAAGCTTGGGTTTACATCAGCAGTATGTTCAAGTAAGCGAAGGTAAAGACAAGTGAGTAGACGTACAAGAATGGAATCCATGTCACGGTTTCGATGATGGAGGGGATAAGGCCGCGGTAGCCGAGACGATACTCGAGCAGGATGTACCCCACGTTCCCGGAGCCAGGGAAGACGACCATGATGGCCAGGAAGATTTCGAAGCTGTGGAGATAATAGCCATCGGTCGGCAGCGCCAATCCGAGCAAGACGTAGTTGAGCAGCGAAAGGATGGCCGACGCCGAGATACCGTCTGACGAGAAGAGTTAGCACGACCACGTCTGACTGATAGAAGGTCCTTACAGTAGGAAAACATATCTGCATGCAGACAATGACTGTCAACGGAATTTTCGAGTAAATGAAGCACCAATCACGTACATGCCATCATACTGAACTTGTAATGGATCGGAGCATCGGACCACACAAAGATGTGGAGTTGCTTGTTGATCGGACCAAGCTTCCACCAAGATATAAGAGGGTTGAAGATGAGCTCGCTGCAGCCTAAGCGGGTTGGGCATCATGAGCTCGAGTGAAAGACGAACTAATTGCTAGCTTACCATAGGAATATTTTTGCCAGCGATTGAGCTCGTCGTCAACCGTCAGGGAAACACCCTCCTTGAAACTACCTTCGGAGTAGGTAGCCCAACGAATGATGTAGTGCTTCAGCTAGAAACCGATACATGTCAGAGGGACATTGCTAACAAGACATGCACAACAGAAAGTCACCTGCAGGCGGAGAGCCATGTCGAAATCTTCCGACACATTCGACTCGGACCAGATCTTCGATTTACCATCGTCCGCATCGATGAAAGCCGCATCCTGGAGAGCAGACCACCGGAGGAACGCGTTGTGACCCACGAAAGGCGCAACCTCTCCGTTCGCGGTGCCGAGCGAGATGCACCTATTGATTCTCCGCGTAAAATGCGCAATGCCATTCTCGAAGTAGTGGTGTGCGACCTGCATGACGTCTGAAATCCAAAGTTAGGACATGATGACACGTCCGAAGATAGACCACCTACCAGACTCATGTTGGATGATCCCAACCTCGGGGCTCTCAGCCATCTCGCGCGCAGCATCGCGGAGACAGTCCTCGGGTACGATCGTATCAGAGTCCACGAGCAAGATGATCTCTCCAACACGGATGCTCTTGGCGTTGCACACCCAAGGCCTCCACCTTCTCCCGCTCTCGTCGAACATCTCCTCAACGGCCATGTTCATCGCCCGGTCTTCGAGACCCTCGCCATCTCCATCGCCCTCCTCGAGCTCACCACGAGCCTCCGCAGCCTCGATCTCCTTGAGATGCCTCTCGAGCTTAAGAGAAAGCGCAAGCCCGTAGTTCATGTTCGATGCTTTCTTAAACCGCCCCGCGCGCTTGAACCCATCTGGCGCACCAGAGTGTGGCGGACGCGCGACCCACCCGATATTGTGGTCCGCGTAGAACGAGATGCGCTCCGCGCGTTCTTCCTCGCTCATGAGCTGGAGGCCGTCATCGTGTACGAAGATGGCGGAGGTGCCGCCCTGGCGGGCGTACGTCTGCATAGCTTTCTTGATAGAGTATACAGAGGGTGCACTGGGCGGGATGGCTGGTGTTATCAAAGGCAGATACAGAGGCAAGGACCATCTCAGCTTACATTACTTCCTTGAGGCTTTCCTTGTACACCGGGAGTTCAATACTGATATGCGGCAGAGCCGAATCGACCTCCTTGTTGGGCGCTGGCTTGACTGCAGAGTAGTATCGCGAGTTTTCGTGGTACTGAGCGATCGGTCCAAGTCTGATCAAAGTTAGTAAAATTAGGATGAGGTAAAAGTTTGCACCTTACATCATGCCAAGGTTTCCAACAATCTGCAGTGCAAAGAACTACAATCGAGGTTGTCAGCGGCGGCATACTCAATAAGAGACCAAAGTTACGCTAACCAGAGAAACACAAAAAGTGAAAGGCGCCGTTGCTAGCAGCCCAAAGCGCGACCAGTTCTCGTCTAACATGCTCTCCTGAAGAAGCATGCTGACACCGCATCCAATGAAGACTTGTCGTGTCAATGCCGTCAGATGCATACTTCACGGAGTATCGCATGCTTTCCACTCACACAAAGAGAGCGCTACACCAAAGCCGTTGTATGCAGGCGCGAGCAGCCTCACACGCCGGTGACTAGTAGCAGCCTTTTCGGGATCACCACCCTCCTGGTCCGGTCTCGCTGCCGACAGGCGCCAGCTCGGGACCCACCACTTAAAGGATGTCTTCTCCTTATTTCGGTTGTCGAGTTCTCTCTGCGTGACTGGGATCACTTCCACGGAGTCATTGATCTTCTCCATATCGCTGCTGAGGTTCTCTGAGGATTGAGGATTGGAAGGGATCACCGAGGCAAGCGTAGAGGAGGGAAGAGTGTTGAAACCACGCAATCTCCAGACAAGCTTGATGAGTTTATCGTCGAAATCACGGCATAGAGGGATGATGTTGTCGAGGTTGTCGGACCATAATACGAGAACCCGTTCATCTCTCTGTTAGGGTCGATTCTCGTTCTGAGCTTGACCCTGGATACGAATGGGGTAAATACGTACAATGAAGGCGCCACATTGTTCCTTTTCCGCTCTGGGCAGTTCGCCCATGGTGTCAAGGACCTGAATGCGAGTATCATGATCGACATATAGGGCATACGCATTATCCGTTCTGGGACGTCAAATGATCCTAGGTTAGCCTTGACGTTGATCAGCATAGGATAACAAGCACCTACATCGTTGCGAACGCAGCGTGCACGGCGGCACTTCGTAGCTTCACGGCCACGACGGGATTGAGACTACGAACAGCCGCCTCGAAGGAAGCTAGCTGCCCTTTCTCGTACGGGAACAGGCGAAAATGACCTGGCTGCACGCGGAGGCAGACACCAGCGGTGACGTTCTCCTCTGGCCTAAACCAAGCATCTCCTTGGGTCTGATGATGTCAACGTAAGTACGGCCTCTTATCATCGATCAGGAAAGCCATACCTGTTTGAAGATGTGGTGAAGGAGAGCATCGTAGGCATCATAGTCCATGGCAATGGCCGTGATGTGTCTGACAGGGAGATGAGATGATTCACAATAAGTCCCGGAATCTCGAGTTGTGAGTGTCAAAGGAATAGGTACTCACGATCTCTCCTTCTTATCCCTTCTGCCACTGTTGCTCTAGATAGACGCTTTTACTCTTTCGCATGAATATGTTCACGAATAGGGGCACCCTTTGTGCTCGTCCCTTAGGATCTGATTTCCGCCCAAGGGATCAGAACGGATGATGGTATTGCTGAGAACTAGGCGTGCCATCGGGATGGACGAAACCCGCGAACATGCTGTCCTCCGACGGGCCTAGACGGAGCTCGGTGAGTAAGAAGGACCAATAGTGGATGATCGGGCAGATCATTATTGATAGATGTCGCGCTCAAGACAATACCGCGAAGGTAGCACACGAAAACCAAGTCTGAGATGGGCACGTTGGAGAGCCATATCAGCGGGTTCCTGTTCCGAGCTATTTTTGTGGATGCCTAGTGTAGAAGGCGCAAGGCAAGCCTAGGCAAGTAGGTCGATTGGGACGTATCTTTCCAGCCTGCTGGGATCATTGACATGGTGCATAGGTAATGACAATGACTTGACGGTACCGTATGTGAGCGTTTGGGTAGGCACAGAGGGTGGCCCTTGTGAAACGTATGGCACGCGCTCCGCTCAGACTCGGAAGCCAATCGGAAGCTTTCTCGGAAGGCACTGGCGGCCTTCAAGGTAGAGTTCAAAAGCTGATAAGCAGGAGACGGCCCATTTTATGCACTGTCGATAGGACCTGTTGAGAAGCTGCATCAGTCAGTCGCTGGTCTTCCGAGTCTCGAGACTCTAAAAAAGGCCCCGCTCGGCAAGGAGTTTGCGGTTGAGTTTGCGGGCGAGTTTGAGGCGCGGTCGAGTTCGTTAAGCGTGCGACTTGGTTGCCTTTTTTGTTTATTTTAGCACCGGACTTTTCCGTCGAGTCTCAAGTGTTCAAGCAAGTTTCTGTGAGCGTAATTCCCTGGCGCTTTTGCTGATCAACAGTTTTTACTACGCCGTCGCATCGATGATCAATCACTTCGTCCATGCGGAATATAAGGTCCTGCATCGTGTTGACAGCCAAATTCTGCTCACTAGGGCGCTTGAGGTAGCACTGTCCGAATACACCGAGGTCACGGCGTATTTGCCAGCCGTTGGAACCAGAACCAAGGTGAAATGCCGATTCGGCGTCGGCATACTCTATCAACTACTTGTTGTTTTCATAAAGCTTCTCTCAGGCACAACGGACTTCTGCTGGTGTGCCTCCCAATTAATTGAGACTCCCAAGTTAGTAGTAATCGCACTCACCACGCTCTGGTACAAGCAATATTGCATAGACGCAGCCCTCGGCTTACAACCGTTGACCATGCGGCCCTGCGGTCGAGTCTGATGATTCCCGAATGGTTGACCAAATGGCCTCCCAGCAAAAATGATAGGTGAACCCTTTGCAATGAAGAGTGGCGCTCCAGCGGAAGATATGCACCTCCGGGCTGTGTCTCTATTTTTACACACTTTACCCACTCCTGACAATTTTGTTCCCGAGAAAGATTGCCCTGCACCCAATCTCTTGACTCTAAAATCGAACTCTCATCCAAATTAAGGGCCGCATAAAAAAACACATGCCAATCGACGTGCCCATTGGGAGCGGGCGCTCCCCATGTTTGAATTCCTCGGGCGGGTGGTGTATTTGCTGTACTCATGCTTGATATGTGTTATATGATGAGTGAGAGTCCTGCTTTGTAGCATCGCATAATCAGTATGGATATACGCCACAATACGGGGTCATTGGTTACCATCGAAAACGACATGAGCGTTACCCAATCGCGGATGCGTTATCTTAGGTGAGACAGTTATCACTTATCTGTAGCAAACTAGATTAGTGCGTCAAGCCCATAATTCTAAGTTATATTGATGTCATATATTTCCAACGCTGTAAACACTCCTTGAGGTAATACCTATGAAATAAATTATCGTGCCCAAGAAAGATCTATCAACCCACTACGCCTTTAAAGGAGCCCCATCTAAGCCAAGGAAATCTAATCGATATCAACGACAGCAGTCGTTATAATGATGAAATGCATAATCTAGCAGTAGAACGGAGGGAAAAGAATCAATAAGAAAAAACCATCAAATACGGGTTAAGCACAATCGGGAAGAGAATGTGACTACCCGCAACAAGCCTGTGAAGAGCGTAGATTTTTGTCAGTAGGATATCCCTCACACAGCCTCAGCGAAAGCATCTTACGTGAGGGGCAGAATGACCGCCCAGTAGTCACCCGAGATCTGCCAGTCAGGCCCGACGAAGGGCAGACTCATGATGATGATGAGCGCGAACGTGGCAAAGCACAGCAAGAAAGCGAGCCAGAAGCGCTTCAGGATACGCGGCACCTCGATGAAGAAGTTGGAGCGCTCAACCTCCTTCTTCGTCGCTCCCCATGTGATGTTATACGAGAATAGGTGGGCGAGGAGGGCGGTGGTGAGGTGGATGCTGAGGCCGCCGAAGAAGAAGAAGCTTGGAAGGGCGTCAGCAACGTTGTAAAATAGTAAATGATCATCAAGGTTATAGGAAGACGTACAAGAATGGAACCCAGGTCGCAGTCTCAATGAGCGAGGCCATGAGGCCGCGGTAGCCTAGCCTGTATTCGAGCAGAATGTAACCCAAATTCCCAGATCCAGGGAAGACAACCAAGATAGCTAGGAAGATCTCAAAGCTGTGAAGATAGTATCCATCTGTTGATATTGCTAGTCCGAGCAGGATGTAGTTAAGCAGTGATAGGACTGCTGACGCGGAGATACCATCTAGGGGGAAGAATTAGTACAGTCACTTTTAAATGACGGAGAGTTCTTACAATAAGAGAACATGTCTGTGGATCAAATATGTCAGTAGACTCTTCTCAACGAAGGAGAGCTCTGATCACGTACATGCCATCATACTGAACTTGTAATGGATCGGAGCGTCTGACCACACAAAGACGCGAAGCTGTTTGTTGATAGGACCAAGCCTCCACCAAGCAATGAGTGGGTTGAAGATGAGTTCGCTGCAGCCTAGCGGATTGTCTGTTGTGAGCCCAAGTGCACAGAAGTGAATTTTACCAACTTACCATACGAGTATTTTTGCCAGCGATTCAGTTCATCGTCGACTGTCAGAGAAACACCCTCCTTGAATCCACCATCAGAGTACGTGGCCCAGCGAATGATATAGTTTTTCAACTACAGAATATGTCAGAAAGCTGATGCTAGTCCATGGACAAAAGTACGGCACCTGAAGACGAAGAGCCATGTCAAAGTCCTCTGATACATTCGACTCGGACCAGATCTTCGATTTGCCGTCGTCCCCATCAATGAAAGCCGCGTCCTGGAGAGCGGACCACCGGAGAAACGCATTATGCCCCACGAAAGGAGCAACCTCTCCGTTCGCGGTGCCGAGCGAGATACACCTGTTGATTCTCCGCGTAAAATGCGCAATGCCATTCTCGAAGTAGTGGTGTGCGACCTGCATGACGTCTGAAATCCGATGTTAGGGCATAGCGACACGTTCGAAGATAGACCACCTACCTGACTCGTGCTGGATGATCCCAACCTCGGGGCTCTCAGCCATCTCGCGCGCAGCATCGCGGAGACAATCCTCGGGGACGATCGTGTCCGAGTCCACAAGCAAGATGATCTCCCCAACACGGATCGACTTTCCATTACACGCCCACGGCCTCCACCGCTTTCCACTCTCTACAAACATATCCTCGACAGCCATGTTCATGGCCCGATCCTCAAGACACTCGTCGTCGCCCTCCTCGAGCTCACCGCGTGCCTCCGCAGCCTCGAGTTCTTTGAGGTGTCTCTCGAGCTTGAGCGAGAGCGCAAGCCCATAGTTCATGTTCGACGCCTTCTTGAACCGCCCCGCGCGCTTGAACCCGTCCGGGGCACCCGAGTGCGGCGGACGCGCGACCCAGCCGATGTTGTGGTCCGCGTAGAATGAGATGCGCTCCGCACGATCTGCTTGACTGAGCAACTGTAATCCATCATCGTGCACGAAAATGGCGGAGGTGCCGCCCTGGCGGGCATATGTCTGCATTGCCTTCTTGATAGAGTATACAGAGGGTGCGCTGGACGTGGGAACGGCTAACGTTAGCAGGGGTGGAGGTAGGGGGCGCGAATTAGCTTACATCACTTCCTTGAGACTTTCCTTGTACACCGGAAGCTCAATGCTGATGTGCGGAAGAGCCGAGTCGACCTCTTTGTTGGGTCCTGGCTTGACGGCAGAATAGTATCGCGAGTTTTCGTGGTATTGAGCGATTGGCCCAAGTCTGATTATAGTCAGCCAGTGTTTGACGAGATAAAGGTCGGCATCTCACATCATGCCAAGGTTTCCAACAATCTGCAAGGCAAAGAACTACGAGCAAAGCTATCAATGGTGGCATAGTCAACAATGGATGCATGTCCTCGTACCAGCGAAACGCAAAATGTAAAAGGCGCTGTTGCGAGCAAAGCAAAACGCGACCAATCGTCATCCAAGAGGCTTTCTTGAAGAAGCATGCTGACACCGCATCCGATGAAGACTGGTGAAATCAACATCGTTAGGCATACTTCGCAGATACCGTTCATCTCACACTTACAAAGAGAGAGTGCAACGCCAAAGCCGTTGTACGCAGGGGCAAGTAATCTTACCCGCCTGTGCCGGATAGCAGCTTTCTCAGGATCACCGCCTTCCTGGTCTGGTCTCGCTCCCGATAGACGCCAGCTCGGCATCCACCAACTCATGGACTTCTTCTCCTTCTTGCGATTATCTAATTCCCTCTGTGTTACTGGGATCACTTCCTCGGATTCTTTGGTCTTCTCCGCATCGGCGTTGAGGTTTTCTGCAGATGCACGATTGGAAGGAAATTGCGAGGTAGCAGGGGTAGAGGACGGAGCAGACGCGAGGCCACGCGATCTCCAGACAAGCTTGATGAGCTTATCTTCAAAGTCGTGGCAGAGTGGGATCATGTTATCGAGGTTGTCGGACCACAATACGAGTACACGCTCATCCCTCTGTCAGGGGTGTTTTCGTTCTTAGCACTGAATATGTATACGAATGGGGAAAGGCGTACTATGAAGGCGCCACACTGTTCCTTTTCGGCTCTGGGCAGTTCGCCCATGGTGTCAAGAACCTGAATGCGGGTATCATGGTCGACATATAGGGCAATTGCGTTATCCGTTCTGGGACGCCAAACGATCCTCATATGAGCCAGGCTGTCTATCTATATACGACGATGGCAGTTACTTACATCGTTGCAAGTGCAGCATGCACGGCGGCACTGCGTAGTTTAACGGCCACGACGGGATTAAGGCTACGAACAGCTGCCTCAAAAGGAGCCAGCTGCTCCTCCTCGTACGGGAAGAGGCGAAAATGACCTGGCTGGACACGGAGACAGACACCAGAGGTGACGTTCTCCTCTGGCCGGAACCAAGCATCACCCTGGGTCTGACGACGTTATCATGAGTACGGTTGTCTACTTATATTCAGTAGGAAACCCTACCTGCTTGAAGATGTGGTGAAGAAGAGCATCGTAGGCATCGTAGTCCATCGCCGTAGCCATAGTTTTTCTGCTAGGGAGAAGAGTAACTTCGCAGTTAGCCCCAGGACCTCGAGCTGCAACTATCCGAGGGATGAGCACTGCGACCTCTGCTTCTTATTCCTTTCCACAGCCTCGGCTTTATACAGGCGCTTCATCTCTTCCACAGGGCATGGTGACGGTTAGGGGCGCCCTTCAAGAACAGAACAAGGAACATCGAGCACGCGTCGTGCCTGGAATGACACACAAACGACACATCCACCAGAGCGATCAGAAGGGAATACCGGTATTGCTGTGAGCTAATAGAGAGCCATCGGGATGGGTGGCAATTTCAAAGTACTGTCATCCGACGTGCCTAGACGGACTTCGACGAGTAAGATTAGAGCGAGTAAAAGACAACCGGGCATATCAAAGTCCGTAGGGGACAAGGTAGGAGATATCGCGTGGATGACAATATTGCCCTCGAGAGGATAACCGACAATCGGGTAGATATTGGCACGTTTAGAACCATATCAGCGGGTTCCTGTTTGGGGACTATTTTTATGGGTGCGGCGGGCGCCAGGCGGTGTGGAACGCGCACAGCAGGCCTAGGCAAGTAGGTAGATCGAGATGTATCTTCGCACCAGGCCTGCTCGGGCCCGTTGACCTGACGCAGTGATGACAATATGACCTGATAGTACCGTATGTCAGCAGGAACAGAGGATAGCCGGGATGAAACGCACACAGACTCGGAAACTCGGAGAGTCACTGGCAGCCTGCAAAATAAAGTTCAACGACTGATAAAGAGGAGACGATCTACCGCTACACCGCCGGTGTGACCTGGGCCTGAATGTTCTGCATGAAGAACTGGTGCATCATCCACTTGTCTGTCGTCTGAGCCTCGAGAAACTGATAAGGACGCGTTCATGAACTGCGCGGCGATCCTCGGGGAAGAAAATCAGGTAAAACAAATACGGTTGCCTTTTTGATCTTCAGTACCGGGGTTATCCGCTGAGTCTCAAATATTGCATGTCCGGGAGCGTATCCTTGCGCGTTTATTGGTCAACGACCAACGTTTACTACTCCATCCCAACTCCATCCTCGCCTGGATGCCCAAGCTAACTCCTTCAAGGCATACACTGCGAAAGATAAGAACGTAAAGATGAGCGAAAACCGAATCCTCTTAATCGGAGTGCTCTATGTAGCACTGTCCGACTCCGCCGAGGTCTTCGCCAGCCTTTGATATGCCGATTCGGCGTCGGCGTACTCTTTCAGATGTTTCAGTCACAGCTACTTATTTTCATTAAGCTTCTCTAAGGAACCAGGACTTATGTTGGTGTGCCTCACAATCAAACCCAGACTCCCAAGTAAGTGGTAATCGCACTTGTCCCGATCAGCACCAGATCAGCACCAAGTAATTCACAGAGGTCGTCCTTAGCATACAACCATCGACCATGCGGCTCTACAACCAAGGCTGACGATTCACGGGTATTTGACCGTATGGCCTATGACAGAAAGGAAGGGTAAGCCTTTGTGACCAACTTGATGGCTCTCCAGCGGCAAATACGCTCCTCCGGTCTGGGTCTCTATTTTTACACACTTTACCAACTCCTGGCTCATTCTTTACGACGACAGATGGCCCTGGACCTAGAGGCTTCTCTTTGCACTTGGACTCTCACCCACATCAAGGACAGCAATCCAAATACCAACGTGCATGTCCGCCGAGGGCCAGCACTCTGCCCTGTTGGTATTTCTCGGGTGGCTGGTGTATTTGCTATACATCTGACGCCTGCGATATCCGGAACATGGAGATAAGGGACGTACATTTGCGCCTGCAACAACTGTGCAGCGGATATACAATGGAACAGCAGCTGCCATGCTCGATAAACGAGCGTCACTTCATGGTATCACGGAGGTATAGTGGTCGTTCAACCAAAATTGACCTGTCTGATGTCGATGTCTTCCCCGCATCCGTAAGGAGCCTTACCAGTTGAATGACAATCTGCAATCGACCCGCGAGACGCGTCGATTGTGCGTCCCAGACCTTCCGCAGTATCAATCACGTCAACTCCTCGACTTCTATCCATGCGGTGATGCAGCCCCTTTCTGGAAAATCTTCGAAAGTATGACAGGAACAAGGCACGTTCGAGGGAAGGCGAGTCCTCGCACCGGAAAACTCTCTCTTGCTCTGTATGGCTTCTGTGGCTCAAAACGTCGGAAGTGGAAATGAAATATGCCGGCGAAAACTACATTCCGCGAGCCGTCGGGCATGATACCGTCCGCCGAAGAGGTGATCTAGGTCTTTTCTTGGAGCTGTTGTTCTATTCATGACGCTGATAAGATTAACATCAGGCCGCCGATGCACCGCAGGATAAAGGCGTCAGCCAAGTAGCGCCGTATAACGTTCCAATGGACCAATCCCGCCTCCGAACTGATCGTGTTCACTGCCTTCAACTCCGAACATCCGTTGGATTGACGGTTGACGGATCCGGCACTTTTCTTTTTCAATTATAGCATGCAGCCTCCGCCAGTTGAACACTGTGAGCCAAAGGCCATACTTGGAACAGCATCCTCGCTCAGGCACCCGTCTACACATTCGACCTTACACCCAGAAGGTACTTGTCAATCTCCCGCATGTTATAACGCGAACTTTCAGAAAAATTGTAGGACAGCGAAACTCGCCAATTCGCCTCCTTCATGCTCATGTCTGCCCCTTCGAGTCTCTCAGATTCCTCCGTATCCCTCGCTGAGGTCCAGGAGCCCAGGGAGAATGTCGAAACCACTGGGCCCGAGCAGGGCTCTAACCCGTTCGACACGCCCACTCGCAGCATCATGGGTGACTCTATCAACGACTCGGCTCGCCAGATGCCAGTCGGCGACGGGCTCCATCATCAATCATCGAGTACCGTCCCCTTCACGTACTCACCTTCGCGCGATAGCTCGTGGCGGCCAGCTGTACCCCGACAAGAATCCTTTGCCAGTGTTGGCAGTCCGTACGCCGGCGACATGTTTTCCAGGCCTGACATATCCGCCACCGGTATGCGCCAGTCCTATGCTGCGCCTCGTTCACGCCTCGTCCCCGCCACCAGCACGATGAGCAATACCCCAGGCGTGCTCAAGAAGGCTAAGCGGCTACGTTCAACCTTGCTCGAGGATCCGTCAACTATCGACAAGCCGTGGGTCGCGGTCAAGGACCCCTTCCTCAGGATCTCGTACTGGCTCACCTGGGGCATCGCGTTCCTCGGTATCGCTGGTTCTGCCATACGGTGCTACTTTGGGTATAAAAGCGTGCTCATGCTCGATGGGAACTTGTGTCCCGTTCTCGACGAGGAGTTCAACACGGACACAGACACGGTGTTCGGCACTAACAGCAACTGGTTTCGCGAGGTTGAACTGGGTGGATATGGGTACGTCATCAGCAGTCATGCTCACACGCGTCATCTTATCTGGCTTCTACCCAAACGTGTAGAAACGGAGAGTTCGAGATGACGACGTCGTCATCGAACAACTCCTACGTCCAAAACGGCTATCTATACCTCACGCCCACGCTCACTGCGGATGAAATTGGGCAGTCGAACGTCATGAATGGGTACACTTACAACCTTACGGACTGTACATACAACGTCACCAACCCGGCCACGCTCCCTGGGTCGTCCACCGCAAGCGCTACTGGAACGACGTTCGACGCGACCGCGTACTACCAGTCTTGCGGCGCTGTCAGCAACAGCACGAGCGGTACGATCATCAATCCCGTGCAGAGTGCTCGTATCAGCACGAGGAACAGCGCCAGCATCCGCTATGGAAAAGTTGAAGTTCGCGCAAAGCTCCCACGAGGGTAAGTCATGCTCACCACTTTATCGCCTCGAAGCTGGTATGCTTATCGCAATTTTTTTTGGTTCCTCCGCTTAGTGACTGGGTGAGAGATCTCACTGGATAGTTTGCTGTTGGTGAGGTGGCTAACAGTTATCACCCAGCTCTGGCCCGCGATCTGGATGCTCCCAGTGAACAACACCTACGGGGCGTGGCCACTGAGCGGTGAGATCGACATCATGGAGTCGCGCGGGAATGGCAGGACATATCCCGGACAGTACGTTTGTCGCTAAAATTAGAACGGTATCGATACTCACTTAGCGTCATGTACCAGAGGCATCAATTACGTTCGGGGCTCGCTCAACTGGGGACCCCTCCCATTTTTGAATGCCGTGGCGAAGACATTCGGCTGGTGGACACAGCGCCGAACTGATTATGGCGAGGGATTCCACACATACACTCTCGAGTGGGACTCGAGCTTCTTGTGAGTACTGTTGTGCAGTTCGCCCATAAGTCGATTACTCACACGCATGGATGACTCAGGCGGATATACACCGACTCGCGTCTGAACTATATGTTAGATCTGAACTTTAACGAGCCCTTCTTCTCGCGAGGAGACTTCCCTACTGTTGTCGAAAACGGCACGGCGCCAATCGTCTTGACCAACCCTTGGGTGAACGGGACGAACGCGACCCCGTTCGATCAGCGTACGTCGCTCGTTGACTACACTTGATTACACATTGCTGACCTCATTATATCTCATCTAGCATTCTACCTCATCATCAACCTTGCTGTCGGCAGCACAAACGGATGGTTCCCTGACAACATGGGTGACAAGCCTTGGCTCGATGGCTCGAGTGGTAGGCGAACAGCAGTCTTACTTAAGATGTTCAATGTAACTCATTGCGCGAGCAGATGCTATGAAGAACTTTGCATTAGCGCAAGACCAATGGTATCCGACGTGGGGTTCTGATGGGGAAGAAAAGTCACTCGTTGTGTAAGTAAAGTTCAATTTTCAACTTGTCCATTATGGTGTTGAACACTTTGGCGTGCAGAGATTATGTGAAGATGTGGCAACTGTGTTGAGGCTGACAGGAGACGTGGTGTTTGGTGCTCTTTTCGACATGGTTCCTCGCTTAGAAGTGTAGAATTAGTAGGTTTGATGGGTATTAATAAAATAATCATAGACAACACATGCACATAAAGACTCCTGTTTCTCTGTCAAAATTGTGGTCAGTTCAGACATATGACAATTCCGCTCCGTCTCTACTCTCACCAATCAGTACCGAACTCTAAAGGGCATTTGGGTCGGTTTATTCGATCGCGACATATATGTCTGTAATAATCACGACAGGCCTAGCTGTACGATGTTTGATCCATTTGAGCCGTCTGCTAATTCGCGCATGGCATGTATCGTCGATTGCTACTGGTACACATTGAGTTCTATAGTACTATACAGCTGCTGAAGAGGGCGCGTCTGAATCTCGCATCGTGAAACGAGATACGTGCCGACACTCTGCTTTGATTATCCTACACCAAGGCTCGGCGCCGTTTCTTTTGCTTTGATGTTTTCAATTGTTTACGTCGTATTTCTCCCGCAATCCCATGCCAGAAAACCTTCTTATTCACCTACAGACTTCGTTAGCGGCAGTGTGTCTACTGATCTGGGTTATATATCCGCTGTTTGGATTCTGAGAAGCGGACCCAAACGTTGATGATCGACAGGTTGGAGATCCTCGGACGGAAGTTCTTCCCCATCGTCGTCCAGCTCCAGCCATGGCTCCTTGGCATTATCCCATCTGCAAGGATGCCATTATGAGCGACGATGTTTCATAGGTCGCCCATACGGAGAAATATCTTACTCGATTTCCACGTCGGTCTCCGAGTCCGAGTATGAGCTAGTCAAGCTAGTTGAACTGGTTGAGCTGGCTGGACTGATAGGTGATACATCCGGGGACACGAAGAAGGCACCCATGTGAAGGGACGAGGGCGAGTGAGACCTTGTCAAGAAATTCCGCTTAGGGAACCTTTTCAGCGTGAATAGAGGGTCGTAGATGCTGTGTCCCTCCGGATGCGCCTCCTCGCGGGACAGCGAGGTCTGCGTGATAGTGTTCCATTTGAAGCCGCAGTTGCCACCTGCAGATACTGGGGAATGGGGAATGAGAACCTTGGAGCCGAGTTCGACTTTGACTTTTCCTCCACCTGAATATTTCAGTTTTTTCAATATATATTCAATCGCATAATTTTTAGGGAAGTAAACTCACTCTTGTCACAGAGGTGGAGGGAGTAAGCTGGACACGATGTAACGCTCGTAACGAGACACCTGTCTTTAAACGCTGGAAATGTGCAGAGGTTTGCTAGGACTCGCAAGGCATCTGGGGGCATGTGCCTGTGGCATGGAGCATATACCACAAGCAGAGCACTGCTCTGTCGCTGGGGAAAGTGCCACTCTTTCTTGATCGACGCTTCCGAGAGGGCTAATGGAAGTTCACTAAGGGAGAAATGAGGGTTAGTCGACACTACATCAAAGCATGAGGATACGCTCACCAAGATCCATCGAGACTAAGTTCCAACTGCTTCACTTCTGCAGAGCATATCTCCATGTACCCCTTTGACTCAGTCTCCACGGGCTTGTGATTGGCAAGGTCAAATCCAGGGCAAAGCGCCGCGAGGAGTGGGATATTGCACTCGTCGTAGATGTTGCCCTCGACAAGTAGCTCACCCGTCTTCTTGTCTACAGTGCCAAAGCTGCCGACCTAGATGACGTCGAGGTTAGAGAGACGAATAAAATGCAAGAAACAGCCTTTTTCAAGGCTTCACCTTTATACGGATGGACGGTTTCCAATTCGCCCACTCGGATGAGGCTCGATGTATAAGGTCAATATATTTACGAGACGCGTGCTTGTTGTGGTCGAACATTGTTCGTTAATCTGAAGTCGAAGAAGGGGTCCGGGTCCAGCTGACGATGGTCAGCGGATGCTAAGTGATGGGGGAAGATTAGAAATCCAATACAGCGCTTGTGGTGACACTGATACTTATATCTGGGCATTAGTAACGCATACGTTCTCAAGCGCCGGTTATCTCGCGCCCCCAAACCAATACTAAGTAGTATGGTAGGGACGCTGCGCTCATTGTCCGTACATGAATACTGCATGTTTTCGTATCAGAAGGTCAGAAGAAGCAGAACCTCCAGTGAAGCTAAAACACCTGCAATGCATATCCCTGGGTTTGTAGTCCGTGGTAACGACTTTTAGAGTTAATATTTTCTTAAAGTACTGGCATGAGGAAACTACTAAGAAAGGTTAACGCACCAGCACATTGACAGGGTAAAACCAACAGGACCCTTGATGCACTCGAGGCAGCTTCGAATAGCTTCTTCTCTTCCTGTGGTTAACTTAAGCTGAGCAAATCGAATTCTACGAGTACCATGTTTGGGAAAAGCGTTCGCATTACTGAGTCCCACAACGCGGTTGCCTGCAGGCACGGAATGTCGTCTGATTGCCTGGCGCTACGCCCAAGTTCACCGTGAGTTTGGCCGTGCGAGTAGCGCTTGTTCGTTGTTCGGTCGCGCTCAAGCTGTTCCTGGATCTAGATACTAGATCAGATTCTCTGCGTACCAGTCCAATACCAGTCAAATACTAAGCAAGTCTTGCGAGATACTACCCGTTTTCGTACCTTGAAAGTAATCACCGCCCGTGGTTAGAGTCTCGGGTTGAACTGATCAAAGAAAGGTGAAGCACAGGAGCTGCTGGAAAAAGAAAAACAGGCGGAGGAAACGTGGCAAAAAACGTCGGGGTCGAGATGTCGTGTTCTCGGACGCATCTTCACGACAGCGGCCAACGAACAACGAAGGAGCTCGCGCAATTGCGTTACCACCTTCCTAGTACCCGTTAACGGGCCCTTCCGGTGGACAAGATGTTGCAGGAAGGCATCGGCGTTTGGAAGTGCTATCCTTTGCGCCTCATTCTAAGATTAGACCCAAGGACGAGAGCAGGTTCCGAGTGATCTTGTTGAGTTTGAAATACCTATCCTGCCTTCCTGTACTTCTCCAAAAGAATCTTCTGTAGTACTTCCTGAGTGACTAGTGCCTCAAGAGAGAAAAGAACATATCACTGCGCGTGAGCCTTGGTGAATGTATGATCCATGATTCGACGTGCTGTGAGTGACTTTTTTCGAGGTGCGGACAGCGCAGTAAAGTTGCGAGTAATGCGCAAGACGTACCACATCGTCAAACCGCATCGACACGATCTCGTACTGCAGCGCAGCTACTTGACTTACCGAATGTGGGCGCCGCATGTCGCTATCAACAGCGAGCGCCATCTCCTCCTCGCCCCACTTTTCGAGGGAGAATTTCAAGGATTCCGCAAAAATCTCAACGATGGCATTAAGAAGCGGAGAGCAGGCTTTGCGTCCATCTTCAGGTGCGCGCCGTGCATGATCAGCTCGTGGTCTGCACCCTCACAGCCGAACGCGAAGTAGGAGCGTCAACGAAAGGAGGCTGTTTGAGCTTCGAGCCGAAATCCCTGAATGGTGAGCGAGCACACAAGGTTATATGCATGCTATAATGTACATGGATTGATGTGTGACTGATATACAGTGGGCTGTGTGGGGACCTGTAGAAAGCGGCAGATGGGATAGCTCGACGGATTCTTGGGTTCACGGTCAGACTGACTCAAGGATGTTAATAGTGGATACAGACGTGCTCACCAAAAAGAAATCAAAACCAAGGAAGACCAGTACGCAGGTACGATACTATGAATCTGACGAACTCTGCATGGGAGGATGGGGCTGAGGTTGTGCCGAGGCAGTAGAGGTCGGTTTGGAAGCGTTCAGAGAGTCCTCCTCTGTATCATCGGGGAGCTTTATCCTGGAATCTCCTTCACAAGTGCAAAGGTTCTCAGCACACATGTGCCCTGCGAGACACGTCCAGTGAATACATGGGACACAGTGTAGGAACAGAGCGCGTGCTACTCACGAATGGAAGCGAAGTCTACGCAAAACCCTGTCATAACATCAATGCAGGCGGTGATAGCTATCGCGGCGCAGGTATCCGACATGTTTCTGGACGATGATGAAGTGCTGTAGCGTGGTGGTGAGGAGGAAGACGGTGGGGGTCAAGCTGCGCGTCGGCGGCGGAAGCAATACAATGTACTAAACAAAGCTAGTAATAGTAACAAACAACGCTCTTGAGACTCCCAACCACACCACCTCCACTACACCCATGGATCCCTCCCACCGTGGCATCGGACGCGGGCGAGCAAACAGTGCAGCTCACGACGGTGGGCGACGTGGACGAGGAGGCTTCAAGAACAGGCAGTGGGTCGCTGACGGCGCCTCTAGCCGGAGCACATCCAGCACTCCTCAGCCCGGCGGAGACGGCGAACGCTGGGAGCATAATGGTTTCCTCGGCGTGCCCTCGCGTGGACGTGGTCGCGGAGGGGGTCGAGGAAGGCCACGCCATGGCCATAGGGACAGTGATCAGGGAGACGTGTCGGGTGGGGGCAGCGAGACCGAGATGAGCGGCATGGAGGACGAACACGAGCACGAGCACGAAGAGGATGTGCATGGCGTTGCCGACGACGAGGCACCCGACACACCTCAGGAAAGAGAGAACTTTTGGCACGAGGTGCGCCCCATGCATTCATGGTTCCCTTCTCCGTTCTCGTTCACGATGACGCTTGACCCTCTGCACAGCTTGTAAAGGCGCGCGAAGCCGAGCGGAAGAAGGCCATAGCAGAGGGCAAGATGGATGACCCCCTTGTACCCAAGAGGCTCGAGGATGCAATTACAATGGTCGGCACCTGCCTCGACATGTGCCCCAGGTTCGAGCGCTACCGCCGTGAACGCGAGAACAACCTTACCGAGTTTGAAACCGTATGTCGACTCCATCAAATGAAATCGAACAGGTAGTTGCTCTGCTGATAAAACTTCTTCAAGATTCCCGGTACCAAGCGTGTCGACCACAAACGCGCAGTTAAGATATACGAACGCGCAGCCGGTGACAAGACTCTTCCTTCCGACCTCCGGCCTCCTCACGTACTCAAGGTGCGCCCAACGCCTTATGCGTCTGTCGCGATCCAACCACTGTCTTTCCGCAGAAAACGCTCGACTACTTGTTCCATCAACTTATGCCCGAGCGAGGCTTCGGCACAACGTACACGTTCATCCGCGACCGCTCAAGAGCAGTCCGCAACGATTTCACCATGCAGCACGAGACGGGTCTGCTCGCTATGGAATGCCACGCACGCTGCGCCCGCTTCCACATACTTGCTCTTCACCTCGAGCGGGACACCACCAACTTTTCGGTAGCCCTCGAGGAGCAACAGCTCATGAACAGTGCGTCCCCCTGCATTCTTTCCCGCGACTTTGAACACTCATATCCTCTACCTTCTAGCTCTCCAATCCCTCAAGGAGTTCTACACAGACCAGCGCAACACCTACCAATCTCCCACCGAGCTCGAAATGCGCGTCTACCACCGGCTCATCCACATCCGCGACCAAATCGAGCGCCCGGAGCCGGTCCCTCTGCCCGACGCAATCGCCTCGCACCCCGTGTACACGCTCGTCACGCGCTTCCGGAAGCACGTCCAGGCGCGCTCCGCGCCCATTTCCAAGACGTCCAAGCTCGTCGTCGGCCCCGAGGGCATGCAGATCTTCGGCGTGCTCGCGGCGACGCTGCAGGCGACCGGCGCGCGCGGCATGGTGTACCTCGTCGCGTGCATTCTAGAGCGGCTGTTTGGGAAGGAGACGGTCGATAATATCGAGGCGATCCGAGGGGACATGACTCTTCCGGACGTCATCGATGGTGTCGACACCGGTGTCGAAGAAGTCGGTGTTCAAGAGGACGGAGGAAGCGCCGGGGCGACAACGGAGGGAGAGGGAGACGAGAGGATGGATGGGTTTTTGACGGAAGAAGAGATGGATGGCGACGGCGACGACGAAGGGGACGGAACACGGGACCACGCTGCCATTGGGACCAAGTCGGCGGAGATCGTTCAGCGGCGGGGTTCAGAGTGGCTCAAGAACACGTTCGGAGTCAAGCCGACGCAGAGCGCTGTTATCGGGTCCTCGTCTGCGTCGACGTCTACTGCTAAACCGAAACGCTCGCTCGCGGACGCACCGGCTCTAGGGGCGGATGCTTCAGTCCTCACAGCGACCGTCTCCGAACCTCTTCCTGCGCCTGCCCCGACTTCAGCGGCCACCGGGTCAGCATTCACGAGCTTTTCACCTACGCCGAGTGCGTTTGCCTCATCTGGGACGAGTGGGAGCGCGTTTGGCGGGAGTGCATTTGGAAAGGGAACGTCGAACGCGTTTGGCGGCTCGACGTTCAGTGTTTTCTCTGGCGACGGGGGGAATAATGGGTCTCAAGGATCAGGTACGCCGAGCTTCATTTGTTATTATATAGTGATGACGTCTAACTGGGGATGCCTTGGTGTAGGGAGCATCTTTGGGACACAAAAGCCTGTTTCATCTTCTGGCCCGGGCGGGGCCGCTGCAGCGCATACAACGACTGTAACGTCGACAGGTTTTGGTGGTGTTACAGCTTCCTCGGCGAAGCAAGAGGCAACCCTCAACGCATTCGCTCAACCATTCACACCCTCGGGTGCAGCCAAGGCTGGTCCGGCAACAAGCAAGTCAGCACAGAACGGGGCAGTCTCTGCAACTGCTCCGGCGTCGACTGCTCCTTTCTCGTTTGATGCTCAGTCGGCGACACAAATGCTCCCTCCGCCTCAGCCGCCCCAACGCAATATGCTGGCGCCTTCACACCCGCAAGCACAAGCACAATCGCAATCACACGCCCGTCTTCCTCCGCCGATTCAAACTACCGGTCTCGGCCTCAACCTCAGCCAGCCACTACCCACACCCCTCCAAATGCCATCGACACCGCCCTCCGCACCTCCGCCTCTCGGCAGGCAGCATCTCCTCTCCCTCCCGCCTACACCGAGCGCATCAACTCCTACTACCACCTCATATTTCGGCTCCTTCCAAACACCCCCCACAGGCGCTTCCTCAACTCCCGCCGCCGCCGCATCAAACGGGCTCACCCGCACACCCACCGAGCCCTTGCTCGACGGGCCAGCCACCACAGGATCAGGGGAGAGGGGCAGAATACCAAAGTCGATCTTTGGCACGCTCGGCAGGCTCCAGACCAGCGGTGGCGCCGGGGGCGCCGGGGACTCGGTGCTGAGCCCGCTCGTGCTCGGCTCGCCGGGGGTGTCGCGCATGCCGAGCTTCTTCGAGAGCAGTCCGGGCAACGGCAACGCCGTCGCACCGGGGCTGGGACCGCTGCGCCAGAGCTCGCTGCCGTTTGCGGCTGGGTTTGCCGGTGGGGATGATATGCTGACGTCGTCGTTTTCGCTAAAGGGCAAGGGCAAAGAAAGGGAGAATCAGACCGCGTTCGGAGCGGAGGCGATAAAGACAGAACAGGAGAACGCGATGCAGCTCGCGGTGTCGGACGAGGAAACACGGGCAAAGGAGAAGGCGGACGCGTTCCGCTTTAAGGGCGTCGTCGGGCCGTGCTGGAGGCGGTGGAAAGACAGGTCGGCGCGCGTGCGCGTGTGGGAGGAGGCGTGCCGCGCCAGCGACGCGTACAGCGAGAAGGTAGGGCGTGAGCGCGTGAAGGGGCGCGCGGGCGCGTCGCCCGACCGCAAGCGCAAGCCGAGCGTAAGCATGAGTGTGAGTACCGGGAGCGTGGATGGGTCGGTGGATGGGAGTCCGGTGCGGAAGAGGCTGAAGAATAGGCTGAGCGGGTCGTTTAAGCCGCCGGTTGGGGATGAGGAGATGGCGAGGAGGCTGGAGCTGGTGAGTGTTGTTCTAGTGCAATGTTTTGCTATCCGACTGCATTTATGCTTAAACGCGTGTTCCGCTTTTTTAGAACCAGGAAGAACAAGAACGGCGATGGGCGCGCGGATCATTCCTCGGGCTGTTGAGTCTAGCATTTGAACGTGCTGGCTCAATACCGAGCGCCAATGGCCTCTCAAATAGCATAAGTGGTCGCAGCATGAACGGCTTGAGTAACAGCATCAGCAGCTTAAGCACCAGCGTCAACGGCCACAAAGCTTCCAATCTCGCCCCTGCCGGTGTCTCGCCATATAGCTGCGCCTGGCTCTCGCTCAACCCCGAGAACGACGGCACGGCGATCTGGCTCGAGCAGAAGTTCGGCGTGCCTGAGGCGGGGCGCTGGCGCAACACAAACGTCTTCCAGCTCCATGTCGAGGCGCCGTCCTCGTCTTCTTCCTCCTCGAGCGCGCCCGCGCCGACCATCGCGCAGGAGTTCATGTACCCCGCCATGATCGTGTTCGAGCGCACTCCGGCCGGCGACTCGAGCGATCCGCTGGAGCTCAAGTATCGCACGCTGGACGACTGCGCTCGGCTGCGCGAGATCATTGGCGCTTTACCGAGCGAACGTCATTTTGTGCCGACGTTGTTGTCGATCTCGTGGACCGGCGGGAACAAGAAAGATCCTTCCAAGGATGAGAACAGCAGGTCGGGTGACGACTTTGATGGCATGGTGGCAGGATACATCAAGGACGGGACATTGAAGGCCCACCGAGACTTTAAGCTGTCAACCACAACTGGCGATCTCGATAGTCGCTTTAGCGAGGCGCTAGAGGGATTGCAGATAGACGTCTCGGGGGAGCTGGTTATCAAGACTTCGTTATCAGGTAATCTCCATTACTTTGACGCTATCATACGTACTGATTGGCACTCCCGCAGAGTTATTGAAGGCTCCTCGCGCAGTATGGCTAGAGTTTGCCTCGCGATGGCTCGAGCGATGCTTCATCAACGGATTTTGTAAGTTAATTGTGCTGTCCAACCTTGTTTGAAGACCTCATCGCCACTTGAAGATGACTGGACACTGCACGGCAAAGTCCTGACAATCTTGATCGAGTACCTGAATCACATTATTGGGGCCTTCATTGGTCTCTTGGGACGCCCACAGGACGAACCGGATATTCTTCCCGTTCCAGACTTGCGGAATTGCGTTGACTCTGAGTATGTTGCGCGTCATGTCATCTTGAGACCTCATCTCATTCAGGTCACAGACAAACTTTCGACGTCATAGGAGACTGGCTGAGCCATTCCTCTATCCAAGTCGCCTCTAGCGACATGATGCACGACCTCGATTCACATCGCGCTCTCGGCCGAGGTGAGTTCCCCGTTCAACATCTCGCGTAACAACTTCGTCTGACCGCCGCGCTTACCTTCCCAGATTTCCCATCGCACAGCTTCCTTCCCCATCTTTTTACTCTCTCCGAGGAACTCCTCCGCCGAAGCCGTGGCATCGACCTCACCCGTGCGCACTTCATTCGCCGCGCGCAGCTCGCCTCCGCCTCTGCAGCCGTCAAATCAGCCGGCGAGGAACACGAACAGGAGCTCCAAGGTCTGCACGAGACCGCACAGCGCCAACAGCACTCACACACCCACGTCCACTCTACACCTGCATCATCATCAGCATCCAAACGCCGCCCCTCCGTCGACGCGAGCTTCTTCAGCCGCTCGCCGACGCCAACGAAGCGCCGGCGGCTGTCGATCACGGACCTGACGAGCGAAGACAGCCCGCCGCCGAGCAACGCCACAGAGACGCCAGCGGACTTCTCGCCCCCGCTGATGAGCAGGTCCATCTCGTCCGCTTCGCTCTCGGAGCGGACGTCGCCGCTCATCACCGCATCGATGCTGCGCGCGCTGACCAAGGACATGCGCACGAAGTTTAGTTCTCCGCTGGGTAAATCTTAGGTTGTTGTGGTTCCTGGGCAAACGCGAGCAGGGCACTCGCCAAAGGGCTTTGCTTATTACTTACGCTGCACTTGTTTTTATCTAATGTTAGGTCTAACTTGCTTTGCTTCTGTATCTCAAACTGTCGTAGATCGTATAGAAACATTGAACTCTGCTTTGATTTCGCATCACTGTTCGAAACGGTTGCGTCCTTTGCTTCCATGAGTGGGCCGCCCATACCCGTGAGACAATGAGCATGACTTCTGTCTAGTGCTGCGGCGAGTGTCAAATGCGCGAAAGAGGAGGAAGCGGCGGAAAATATCAGCATTACGTTTAACATTGGTAAACCGCCAGCAGGATGATCGAAGGGGAGCAAAGACGAAGAGAAAGGGGGCTGCGTATTGCGACGCTCGCAGTGCTCATCATTTCTTGTCTCACCTGAGGCCGGACCTGGAGGAGTGAACGCGTGCTCACACTCTGAATTAGCAGTACTTTCGCATGTTTTAGACAGCTAAGAGCGTTCACTCCAACATCAATCTATGATTGCAATAAACACCGGCTTAAAGGACTGTATCACTGCTCCTAGAGTACTATCCTTAAGAACTACCGTGATCACACAAGGCTATTAAAGAGATGGATAAGTAAGAGCGACTGCATGAACTAATTCGGAACATGAGAAACTGTAGAAGGGGCAAGGTTAATGCACTACACTATATAGTCTACACAAGTAATGAACAAGATCTCGACCGCCAATAATGAATAGAATGAGATGTAAGAATTGGCTACCAACAGTATCTGAAGCTGTAGTGGCATGTCAGTAGATGTTGCCCTCTTCATCAAGCTTCAGATTGAAGAAGGTCCTCGTTTGGTGATGTCTCTAGCGAGTCATCGAGAGCGAGTGGACGACTGGCGAATGCGACGGAGCTGAGTGTGGCTCTATTCATACTTGGACCCCCATTCAAATGATTCATGTGGTTCCGACGGATGGACAAGATCAGCCATGGCCCCAACATGCAAAAAAGTCCAGTGTCGACGACTACACTGATGACGGCGAGGGTTCTTTGAGCCATAGGGCTCTGTAATTTCAGGATATCTCAGTCAGTATTCACGAAACAAAACACCATTCTTTCCATCTCGTAGCTCACCAGATTATTGCTAATTACTGGGACACTATAAACAATGGAAAGAGTCGTGCCTGTGAGCACCCTAAACAATGAGATTTCATATGTCGCATCGCATGAGACGAAAATGCGGGCTTACCATATGAAATATAAAAAACCTTGCCCCACCAGCAACTTGATAAGCTCCTTAAGCCCCGTTGAGGAGTTCGTATATCCACCCTCTCGTAAGTACACAATTGAGCGGTAGACGAGCATTGCAACAAGCAGGAGCTCGTACGCATATGTACCAACATCATTCACCACGCTGACAGCCCAGGAGAAAGGGCTTTGGGCATTTAACTCCACGCACACCCGAATGCCCAATAATATGCCTTCTTGAGCTAGCAAAAGCAATCAGTTCCCAGTGATACGATCCGGCTATACGTTTGACCCACAAGGATAAGAATAAGGTGGGAAAGATTGAGCGACACATGTAGCGAATTCCAGGAGCTGTGTGAAAATAAACACGCCAGAGAGAAGGATGACCACTCTCTTTGAGTTTCCGTAGAACGCAAAGATCCGTGCTGTCATGACTCCTGAAAACGCGAAGTGAGATTTTTAACTGCCCGCTATTAGATTGTGCTACCTTGAATAATCACGACTAGCACGATAGGAATGATGTTGGTAAAGAGCAAGTTCAAAATCGTGCCTTTGAACTGTGAACACTAGGTAGATCTAATGCGAAAAATCCAACTTACAACTACATGACATCGTTTTTAATTCATCCATGAGCCTAATAACTCAGGCATGGATGAAGAGACATCAGGAACTTACACCTAGTATCAAAGCCGCAGTAATAAGTGTCACATTGTTTCAACACAGTACCGCCGGCTTACTCTATCCGATAGAACAATGGAAAAAGAAGTCACTGGAAAGGATGAGTACAATCGTGTGGAACCATAGCTTGAAAGCACCGACCAAGGGAAATCCTGATGAAAGAAAGAATGTTGATTAATAATAATTCGATAACACAACTCCACAACCCACACAGAATACAGGAGGCCAACATAGCGAAGCTTGAAAACAAAAGAACAACAAGCAAAGGGTAAGACTGACTTTGCCTGGGTATTACGATTATGTAGGTCGCTTACAAAAACATAGCAGAATGTTAAGGGTGATTTTCCATATTGCTAAAAAATAATGAGACCACAAAGTTCATTATAGCGTCGTTCTGTAGCTGAGCCAAGACACACCCATATCAGCAACACCTAAATTGTTCGCTTTAAATATCAGTCGATTTTATCGAGGGATATCTATCTCACCTCCTCGCTCATGCTGAGAACTGAGCAAGAAAGAGTTATAAACCGAATCAATAAAGCGATGACTAACTGACCGTAATCGTAAACCGCCACCGTAAGAAGCGAAACTACGACATATCTTTTAGTAGCGCAGAGTGCTTCTGAATTTGTATGTCTGCTTACCAGCAACGTATGTTACGGCCTGATTCTGGATGAGGTAGGGTATAAGCGACGAAGAGTTTGAAATGTAAGGCATGTTGAATATTCTATCCCCGTGGGTTTGAACCTCATCGACAAGCGCATCCATTAACCTTTTATGCCTGAGTCACTCCGCGAGGCACTGTCACTAGCAAATATCCCGTACTGATCTGGTATAGTGAGAATGTAATTATAGATAGTAAAGAATTCCCTGCGTATTTTTAAGTTGCTCAATCTGATTCTCAGTACCGAATCATCTGTGGCGGTGCTAATTCAGTTACTTTCTTGTCCACAACAATGGGTCAAGTGTTCCGGCATTTATCGAGGTGCAAATCAAACTGCTGAAGAGTCAGAGCGCTGTGATTAGACATACTAAGTATTTGGGGCGCGAAATGACTAGCAAAAGAATGACACCCGTACCAAGCCACCCTTATCCATCCAACTCAAAAAGCTACCTTCAAGATGTATCAGTTTAATTGTCCGATGATCTGCTGATAACTATGAAACCGTTTCGGATTAATTAAGACCAAACTATTTAGGGCCCTTGATTCAGAGATGAAGCGAGTCACTAGGAACAACCAAGAACAAAAATATGCTTCACTCTTAGAGTTATCAATGTCTGATACATGCGTAATCTAGCGAGTAACAGCATAAAGATACACGGGCATTGCGTCTTAAGCCACTAGTGGCTTAGTTTCTGAAACTGTCCGGTCTCAATAGTGTGACGAATAGCGAGCGATGTTTTATTTGTAGGCATCGTGGTACTCCTGTATAGGATGACCATCAGAAAAAACAGCAGGGCGATCGACGTGGCCAACGTTGATGTGATACGGAAATATTTCATGAAAACAGTCCAAAGATGAAGATATGCCGATCTGTTTCATCATGACTCAGTGCAAGCTCAGTGACGCATGCAATCACTCACGTCTTCATCGTGACTTCATCCAACACACGCAGACGTGCCTCCGTCCTGTTCCGATGTCCTTTGGACCTTGGTATACTGATTGCGGTTTCGCAAAAACTGCTCTCCTCATACTTTCTCTCCAGAATTATGACACTTACCGAAGCCATTGATCGTTCTGCGTGTATAGTCACTAGGCCGTCGGAGAAAGACGGTAGCACTTCGCGTATGCTGGACAGGATAACTGAATTCAACTACACACAAGGGCTTCGGTCTCAATCAGTATGGTCCAGAGATATTGCCAAGTCATACTGCAAATAAACAGGCCTTTTTGCGAGTCGCTTTGTCATCCTATGGTAACTTATTCCTACCCAAAGACATGGAAGCCACGAGCATTGAAAGGAAGACTTTTCACCCACAGGGTGGCATAGCCATTGAACGTCCGAGTGGTCCTACCTTGTATTGCTAGCGAACAATGGGCCCCGCTCGAATATCGCGCATATGCGCCGCCCTGCACCACCTAGACCCTTTCAGCAGGGCAATTAATGCACTGCTGAGTTAGCTGTATCAAGGACTGTCACCTCGTACAGAACGCTATCCTGTGCTCGCATGAGAGCGTTGTTAAAGTGCCGCCCAGGCTTGAAAGTTGTAACGCTGTGAGCATGCCGGCGCAACTCTGGCCACAAAGACGCATTGGCAGTGACAAGCTGCGCGCGATGGGCAAGAGGAGAACGTCAACGAAAGAGACCACTCATGCGTCTAGGGACCGTGAAAATCTAACAATCCTACAAAAGAGCGAAGACAATGACAAGATGCCGGACGGGGTGGTCGGGCTTGATCATGCATCACTAAATGGGTGGGAAAAGTTTGACCGTTATACCGAGTGATCACCGTTATAATATCGTCGTCGAGACATTTGTGTATGATCACGGATGGTGACGCATTCCCATTGAGTTAACATATCGTTACGGTGTGGCAGTGAATTTCGGCCGAACACCATGTCGCGGACACTTTACCATTGACCAAAATTGATGATCTTGCTCGTACGTTTGTTAGTCGAATATAAAATACGGAGACCATTTCAGAAACGAAATTATCATTGAGCGATAACTTCAACTTTTCAATGTTCACTCAGGCTCGAGATCTTGCTCGAGATCGCCTTGCAAGACCCTTGCATCCGGGCGCATTGAAATATGATCATTCCCTTTGAAAAGTAAACTTAAACTACAGGTATTTTAAGCCACGCGCTCACGGAGCGAGCAAGCATGTCTGAGCACCCATGTTTTATGAATAGATTTATAAAATGAGTTAGTGTGGCAGAAATGCTTGAGACAACGTATAAATTCACCCTTGCACACTCGTGGAACAGGCGAGCGGGGGAAGAAACCCGGCCACACCACGTTGGGCGCATGAATATTGACTGCTCGGCCTCTTTCTGCTTCTGTTCCTACCTATAGTTCTTGCGAAGCAATGTCTGAAGCGGCGACATGCATTCCAACTACAAGAAGGTAGTACGGGAGAAGTCCAGTTATTTTAAGCGAGCGCTCCTGCCTGGGTTGCGCGACACTCGAACATCTAAATATAATATTGGCCAATCAGAGACAGATGATGAAACCAGCCCTAAAGCTGATAGAGAGATAAGATAAGATAAGACCTTTGTGTCGCCTTTTTGAACTCTCTCTCTCCACCTTTTCTCTCTCCTCCCTTCGACTTTTCTCTTTCTTCCCCCCGCAATAATCCTACCCTGTACTCTCTGTTTGATTTCCCTACTTGTCTTACACGCTTCTCCACCACCGATTGTCACCACACTCACTTGTCTCACCTCAAGTCCTGGAAAATTGTCCAGTTCTTCCGGTGTTTTGGCTCTGGTACATCTTGTATGTTTTATTACGCATTTAAGCATCTCACCAAACCCAGAACCCCTCAAACACGAAGCCAACAGCATGCTGGAGCAATATACTCGATGGCAATGAGGTGCATGCTTCTGCTCCATCCCCCAGCTGTCGGCGAGGACCTGGAGCACAAGCCTGAAGTCTGAGGCTATCACATTCCGAGCCGATTGTCACTATTTGCGTCCCCACCCGCCTTCTGTCAGAGTTGGAGCCCGAAAGTAGACGAGTGCTGTCATCGACTGCTAGCTTCACGGTCTGTAAACTCTAATTATTTCCTTGGACTTCCTGCACTCGTCTACTGCTGCTGCTCTCTTGTTTTAACTTTGTTAATCGTTTTAACCTCGAATAATGCTTTATCATGTAATATATAATATTCACAATGAATGTCTTGTCATTGGAATCATGGGCGAGATTGCGAGTCCTCATCATATGGTGTGAGTTTTTATCATACAGCATAAAACACCAGCCGATCTTATCATGTAATTATCATACAGGCACCGTCAACGGTAAGATAGCCATCAATATTATAATATCATCCGTGATCTGACCATTTCACCGTCTGATTTTGGTCTGATTTCCCGTATGTTAAAAACGGACTTTACGCTCCACTCGTGCTGGAGATTCAAAATATCATTAAGGTACGGTGTCAGTTATAACGGATTCTACTACTGCTCATGTACTTATATTCGGTCCGCCCATTTAGTGATGTGACAGCATTGTTGTCGACGGGTGTATAAATATGGGTAGAGACGAATGTGTCCACATGTTTTATCTGTGAACAACGTCGGTGGGATAAGGTACTCGTGTCGTCAAGAGGGTGTATCGTCGTCCCAGCTCAAAAGAGATTGGCTCTGAGCTACTACATACGCGCACGGGTAACCCGATTCTCGCGCCGGCGACCCTGCTAAGAGGGAAACACCGAGCCAAGTGCGCCCTCCTAACTAGCACAAAGCGCAAGACACCACACCCACAACCGTCTCAAAAACATCACACATCTCTCTAGGGGTGGATACAACAGAGTCATAATTAACTTGCTCTTTCAACGCAGACGTAGAAGTACGAAGGGGGAGGAAGGGTACAGGATCGAGAGAAGTGGAAGGGATACACGATTTTGTCAATGGGCGATAGACGATGGATGATGGCAAAACGATGTCAACGGAGTCGTGGTGTACACGCACACGCACGCAACAAATAAAAATACAGCGCAAAAAGAAGTCAGCCAAACCAAAACTACGAGGGACACAGGATGGGAGAAAGACGAAGGAGGTGCGGCAGAGGAAATGTACATGGATGGATGGATGGAAAATTGCATGAGGCATGAAGGCTGGAAGTTCAACTGAAGTTGGATGGATGGAAATGAACGAGAACGAAACGAAACGGGGAGAGAAGTCGGAGAGCATGTAAGTCATAACGTGGCATGAATATGCCAGCGGAGCGTTCAAATGTTAACGCTTCCGAGGGATGGTCAATGTTCGATCGAAGTCTATTGGCCTTGAGCCAGAACTTCAAACCGAAGTGCCCCCCTGAGTTGTAGGCCTTCAAAAAGCTTCGAGAGCTTTAAGAGAAAGCAAGCGCAGACCACGTCGCAACAGCACCGAACGCGACCGCCGTCGCAGTGCGCGCCGTCAGGGACAACACGCGTCTCATGCGCTTGCGCGGGGGTGGAGGCGGGGCCTGGATGATGATCGACGCCGGGTGAGGCTGAGCAGCTGTGACTGCGGTGACGTCCAATTGAGAAGTAACATCCGCCACCTCGCCGTCCGTCATGTCGGAGTCAGAACGCTTGCGCTTGAGCGTCTTGAAGGCCTACATAGTGCACGTCCAATCAGCGCCGAATATAGACCAAGAATGAAGGAAATACATACCTGGACCTCAGACTGAATCTCAGCCAGTGCCTCCTTGCGCGCGGCCAAAATCTCCTCAACAGCACCAGCGAGCCTTTGCTTCGTCTCCCGATGGAGCTCGCGAATATCTAAAAATCCAGCGTTATCAGCCTGCCCATTCCCATTCACAACAAAAACCACTCACCGGCAACAACATCGTTCAGATCCCTCGCCGTCTCCCTAAGCTCCTTCATATACACCTCCTTATCCTCCTTATCCTCCTGAGATGGCTGCGGCATCGCAGCAACAGCGTCCACCCTCGCCTGCAAGCCCTCCACCTGCGTCTTGACGCCCGCAAGCGCGCTCAGCCTGCTCTCGACGGCCTGCAGGCGCCCCAGGGACGTATCCGAGAGCCGGTCGAGGCGCTCAAAGTGCGCGTGCACGTCCTCGAGGTCCTCCGAGACCGTGTTAACGTCGTTCTCGAGCGCGTCGACGCTCGAGTAAAGCTCGCCGAGCTCGGTCTACACAAAACAAGTAAAACATCAGCCACCACTGGCCCAGATCGTGTCCAAGACGATAGGAGAGAAAAACCGTACCTGAATATGCTCGCAAGACGCCTGCAGCTCCGAGATCGCCGCCCTATCCGCCTCATTGCCCATCTCATCGTCTTCATCCTCGTCGTCCGCAGACGAATCACCCGCAGAAGCATCCGAGACAGGCACAGACACATGCCGCTCGACAGGCGATCCTACGGACTGCGCCCTGCTCGCATTGGCGACGGGGATAGTGTCCCGCCCAAACGGCGTCGGCGTGATATCCGAGAAGATCGTCCTCAGCGACGGCAGATCCTCGCGCGCAACCTGCTCTCCCATTGCAGTCCCAACGCCGTCCTTCAAGATCTCCTGAAGCTTGTTACTCTGGCCTTCATCCTGTCCAGCGAAAGAAGCAGCAGCGCCGGCAGAGATAAGCGTGATCTCCTCGGGCTCGACGCTCGGCTCGAACAGCAGCTCCGGGTGGTGCGTCGGCACGTCGGGCAGGTGCAGGTCAAAGTGGGAGTGCGACGACGCGCGGCTCTGTTCGCGGGGCGTCTCCATGTCCATGTCCGCCTCGGACTGCGCCTCGTCGCCAGCGGCGGAGAGAGCGGGCGCGGGCGTGCCCATGTCCATCTCGCTCGGTGTTTCAAGCCTAGATATGACGGGACCTTCTTCCTCCTCCTCGTCCTCGTCCTCGTCCTCTTCTTCTTCTTCCCCCTCTTCTTCGTCCTCATCATCGTCTTCTTCTTGCTCCTGGGCTTCAGCCTCGAAAGCATCCAGCGCACGCTCGCGTTCATGATCGGGCTCGTCAATAAGGTAGTCCGCATCCACATCCTTGGGGAGCAGATCGCCAAACAGCGGCTCGTGCAACGTCGAGCGCCAGTCCTCGACATCGATCTGGCCATCCGCGCCGTCAAAGCTAAAGGTCGGCATCGGCATCGGCATCGCGGGGCTGTTCTCCCGCGCCGTAGCGTCGGCAGTGGCAGTGGCAGGAGCGGCAGAAGCAGAGTGGTGCTCGCTCCTCTGCGCGGGTTTATCGCCCTCCTCATTCTCATGTTCATGCTCGTTCTCACCATCCGACGAGCGCTCAGGCTCGCTCGGGGGCTCAAAGAGCCCGTATCTGCCCGCGCTGCCGATCCGCTTGAGACCACCCCCCTCACCGCCGCCCTTGCCGTCGTTCTGGAACAGCTCCGCGTAGATATCCCTGTGGCTCCTATCCTCCACACTACCCCTCTTGTCCGCGCGCGGCGGACTAGGCAACGACGTCGACGAGTCCGAGTCCGACGGATAGCCGCTGAGCATGATAGGGTTCTTGTCCGTGCCAGCAGCAGCAGCATCCGAACTAGCGCCGACGGCAGTGGCTGTGGTCCGCACCGTGCGCCTGAGAAGCTTCACCCGGACCGTGACGGGCTCGACCATCTGGCGCCCGGCGCCGACGGTCTTGCCAAAGGTGACGATGTCGCCGTCGTCGAGCGCGGTCTCGACGCCCGGCTGGATCGTGTGAGAGATGTCTTCGCCGCGCTTGAGGAGGTGCGTGCCGTGACGCGAATCGAGGTCAACAAGATAGACCTATAAGAAGAATTGCGTCAGCACATTACTCATACACAATACGATGCGATCCGAATCATGGGCGCTTAAACCCAAAGATGCGATAGATGGCGCAGAAAGGGGGGCACCCGCACAACAGGGGGTAAGGCGCACCACCGACGCACGATAACGAAAGCGAAGCAAAGGGAGAACAGGTCACAGACTGAAAGACAACCAGCCCTCACCTGCCCGCCGTTCGTGAACACCATCTTCGCATGCTTCGCGCTCACAACCTGACACGCAAACACCGCATATCTCTCCGTATTCGTCGTGCGCCCGCCCCCGCCTCCCGATCTCGACGAGGACGACGAGGACGACTTGCGGCCGATCTCAACGGTACCCCCGCCCGATCTATGGAACGACACATCGTACGGCGCCTGGTCGGCACGGCGCTGCACAGCGAGCGTGATGCCTGCGAGCACAGTCGTCAGCACGTCCATCCTAGCTCCCGCCCTATACAACGGCGACGACGACGACGATGGAAATAACGATAACGATGACAGTGATGGGGATGGGGATGGGGACGGGAATGAGGCGCCCGGCGGGCCCACGGCGACGCCACGCAGGCTCGCCGTGGCCGTGGCCGTGGCTGCAGCGGCCGGGTGCCATCCGAGTCGTTCAAGCGCAAGCTGCCCACCGTAGGTGTCCATGCGGGGCTGCACGCCGCCGCTGCTCCCGCCTGTGCCGCTGCGACGGGCTGCATAGGTGCCATCTGGAAAGTCGATGGGGGGCAGCCGCATCCCGACGTACTGCACGTCTTCGTCCATGGCGATGGTGGGAGGCTCTATCTCAGTGAGTTGGCTAGTAGTTAGCTTGTGAGCTAGTCGTTCGTAAGCTAGTAGAGTATCAGCTGGTATGGATGGTGGTGCAAGTGCAAAGGTGGGTCGCTGTGGGCAGGAGACGAGGAGTAGGGCGTTCGAGGAGTGACTCCCCTGTCACCTGTAACACCCAGCCACAGCACGGCTTTCATCTCTCAGATAGGGGCTTTCCCCGGCCCGGTCCCTTCTTTGTACAATCTCCGGTCTTCCTCCTTTCCGTCTCGCTTTCGCTAATACAAACAAGTTACAAACTAGTGACGTGCATATTATAGGTGACAACAGCACTCTGCACCTGACCAAAATGCAATGACATAGTCGAAAAAACGGCTGGGAATACGTGATACAGGGATTATCTAGAAAACAAACGGACCAGAAACGAACAACATGCGAGCCTCCCTCTCAACCTTCAGGCCTCAGGACCCAGCTCTCAGATCTCAGGGCTCGTAGTTTGCGAACCACGGATGAATGAGCGCCCGCTTGGCCGAGATACGCTTCGCAGTATCATACATCAGCGTTTGCTACGCGCGCAAATCAGCATATACGACTTCTCAAAGCATCAAAGGGCACAAACTCACAATAAGCAAATCAATCCCATCCTCATCCAACTGCGGCAAAATGTTCCTCAGATCCTGCGTCGACCACTGCGGAAACGTCTCCTTATAGTCCGGCAACTGGCTCACGCCCGGCCACACCTTTTCGCTCGGCGTACCCAAGATCCTGTTTCACGACCACCACCACCACCACCACCAACAACCGAGGTATCGTCAGCATCACGCAGCAACGCAAACGCAGAGCGAGCGTACCTGAAAATCTTGAAAATCTGGTCAATCTCCGAATCACCCGGGAACAGCGGGTTCCCGCGCATAATCATCTCCGCAAAGATACACCCGACCGACCACATGTCGATCGCGGTCGAGTAGTGCCGCGAGCCGAGGAGCACCTCCGGCGCGCGGTACCACAGCGTGACGACCTGTAATGGCCGATGCACGTTAGTGTTTGTTGCGAAGAGGCAGCCAGACGCGGAAGAGGCACAGGAAGGCGCAAAGGAGAGCACGAAGCGAAGAACGCACCTCATGCGTATACGTCCGCATCGGAATCCCAAACGCCCTCGCCAGCCCAAAATCCGCAAGCTTCAGATTATCCCTCCGGTCAATCAACAGATTCTGCGGCTTCAGATCGCGGTGCAGGATCCGGTGCGAGTGGCAATAGTACAGGCCCGCGTTCAGCTGGTGCGTGAATTTCTGCACGTCCACATCCACATCCACATCCGCATCCACATGTCAAAAACCAAATCGAAACAAAAGCACATTTGTCAGCCAGCCAGAACGAATTTCAGCAGAAAGAGGCAGAAAGAGATAAGAGAGATAAACGTGAAACAACGCAAGAATCAGATGCCCGCGCGAGCCCATGTTCTACTCAGGCGATGACGTCACGTGTGCGGCGCGGTGGCGGGCGCCTAAAACGCCTGGCAACAAGCACACCGTCACAATCTCACATCGATTGTGAATTGTGAAAGTGGCATGAAAGGAGGGGTGAAAGCGGCCTGCGCCGAGGGCAGAGGCACACCCACGCATGCAGAACGACTCGACATAGGTGACACGCCTCTTCCTGCCCGCCAGCCTACTGGCGGGTGGCAGATGGCCACCCACGCATTGCGCGCACGTTTGATGCATGCAGGCAGGCAGTAGAAGGGAACACAGCGACTCACCCGGGTAATGTCGACGGTCATGGGCGACCCGGTGCTGTTGGCCCGCTCCATGTAGCGCTTGAGGTCGACGTCGAGGAACTCGCACACGAGGTAGAGCTTCTGGTCCGCGTGCACGATGTCGAGCAGCCTGTTTCAGGTTCAGTATCTCGACCACGAGCACGCACACATGACAATGAAACATTGCGAGGGTGGAGGGCATGATTTGATATGACATGAACTGAGACACCCAGCGCGGGCGCTGAGACGGTCAAAAGAGCGGAACGGGGGTAGGTGGGCAAAGTGGAGTGGAGTGGGGCGGGCGGGGCGGACAAGGCACGCACCGGACGATATTGTCGTCCTTGAGCTCCTTGAGCAGACTGATCTCGCGAATAGCAGTGCTGGGCACGCCCTCGTCCTCAGCCTCGAGCCGGATCTTCTTGAGCGCGACGATATGGTTGTTCGTCACGTCGCGCGCCTTGTACACGACACCGTACGTGCCTGTCCGCGCGCAGCAACCGCAATCATGGGGGTGAAACCGAGCTGGGGTGAGGATCGGGGATGAGACCGCGCAGGATGGGGAGCGTACCTTCGCCTGTGGGACCGGGCGCGGTGGTGAGGATGTGTGTGAGAGGACAGAGGACGGGGCGGCACGCACCGACTTTCTCTATCTTGGCATAGCTGGCACATGCGGTCGAACACATCAGCACCTCGCACCGACCACGATACCGACGACTGGCTCACCGATCCATGGGTACTTTCAAACGGGGGAATCAAAGGAGGCGGAAGAAAAGAGCGGGAGGGAAGTGGAGGGACGGAAGAGGGAGCTGTGGGAGGAGGGAAGGCGGAGGCGCAGGTGAGCCGAAGAAGAGAACGCTAGAGGGTCGGCGGACCAACAGATAACCTTTACGTTTGATTATTATAATAGTAATTGAATCGGATTGATGAGCGGGCTTGCGCAGTTGGGATCCAATCGCCAATCGCCAACCTGGAATCGCGGGGCCGGCGCCTAACGAACGTCTGCAGACGTCAATGAGTGCGTAAGAGGGAGTCCGGAGATTGGCGGTCGCGAACAGCGGGCCTAGAGTCTGCTGGCGGAAGTCTGATCGAGTTCTGACACCGCAGCGCAGACTGAAAAGTCGTACACGGCACAAGCTGCAGCTGGTAGTTGGAGGGCACGAGACAGTCGGAAACATCCTACTTATACACATGCTCATAGATAATACATCCGATTGCAATCCGGAATAGTGTTGTTCTTGGCCTGGCCTAAAAGCCAAAGCCAGGCCAAGCCAAGCCAGGATTTAGGCCAAGCCAGGCCAGGCCAAAGCCAGTACCGGGCCAAGCTTTGTTGGCCTGGCTTCACAACCGAGGCAGGCCAAAGCCAAGCCAACAGGCCAGGGCTTTACTATAATAACAGTAGTCCCCATAGCTTAGCTATTATTAGTTAATGTACGACACCTTTACTAACCGTGGGAAATTTTCAATCAAAAGCGCGCTGCCTCCTAGATCTAGGTATGATACTATCTGGCTCATCTTTGAGCTTACACCAGTGAATATACATCAAATGTGATTAAGCAGGCTAATGCTGTCATGAAACATGACATCAGGATGCAAGAAGATTGACAAGTATTACCAGAAGACAACCAAATCAGACGTCTATATAATGGCCATGGGTGAGTCAAAGGGTGATAATGCCTACAAATATTTTATCTATTTTTTTACAGTGCTTGTTCCGAACCAGAAGCTAGCATACTTCAAGAAGTACTGGCCAGAAGACCTGCAGGATGGTTTGAAAGAAGAAATTGAGTCTGTGGTTTGTGTCTGGCAATAGACAGTGATTGTTATCTTTACTGATTGGTTCTCAGTTTCAGGACTACTTCTGTTCTGCCAGGAGCGCCAGGAACCTGTCCTCTAGTGGTTCTAACACCAAGAAAATCTCCCAGAACTGTCTTATACCCCTCAGTGACAGTGATGATGATGATGAAGAAGACTCTGCCTCGCTTTTCTCTCACAGTACATCCTCACAATGGCAGATTCAGTATCACAGCTACTTGGATGTTAAACATGATCTGCCAAGTGGCATGACTATAATTCAGTGGTGGGCAATAAGTCTTACTCTTATAAACATCTGTCATTGAATTCTGACTGTCCTTATAGCGCCATGCAGAGCAGTACCTCACTTGAGATGCAATAGCTTGTGACTATTTGTCTGTTATGGCTTCTTCTTTGTCTAGTGAGCGTTCATTTTCATCTGGGGGAATAACTATCAGCAAGCAGTGCAATCGTCTTGAGGGGGACATTGTTGAGGCACTTCAGGTGCTGAAATGTGCTATTAGGAGTGACTTACTCCTCCAGGTGGCTGAAGAGGCTGAGGAGGAGCAAGAGGCGTTGGAAGATGAGGGAGAAGGTGAGGAGGAGTGGGATACTGCTTGATTAGAAACAGAGAGTGGTGACCTTTATGCTACTGACTCTGAGAGCGAGAACGAGTACTAGCCTAGATGGTATTTAAAGAGGTTTTTGTACTGCTGACCTAGTGGTTTTTGTCCTCTAATCGAATTACTTACTGCATAACTAGTTGTGCCACCGCTTAAGTGAGAATCTATAACATGGTTTCAGTGTCTAATATCTTCGCCATTACAAGACGGAAATTCATGAATAATTGTGCGTTCAATAGACATAAGTCTCAGCTTCAGTTTCCTGGCTCACCTGTAACTTTCGGACCGTTTAAACTTAATCTATGCATAATAAAATGAAGGCTAGTCAAGTATAGTATATTAGAAGTAAGAAAATCGAAATGCACTATGTAAGCCAATGGCTTGAGCCAAGCCAAGCCAGGGCCAAGCCAAACACCAATAGCGTTGGCCTGGCTTGGGATCTGATCAAGCCAAAAGCCACCCAAAGCCAAGCCAAAGCCAGTGGCTTTCAGGCCAAGCCAAGCCAAGAACAACACTAATCCGGAAGCCCAGAATTTCAACGCCTCGGCAGTCTGCGACCCCGACCCCGACAACCGCCCGACACCACGGTGCAACCGCCCTAGTCTACAGTAACCTCGACGCGTCTGTTTCTCATCATAGGCACTACAGTACAAGTAGCAGGGCACTCAATGACACTAGGCAACACAACGCAACATCTGAACTACAGTTACAGTCTAATACTCACACTCACGCCCCACACCCCCTTCGCAACACCCAACTCCAAACTCATCTCCGCAGCCCCCAAAGTCAAACTTTCTCCTCCCAATCCCACCTCCCATAATCACACACGCTAATACTCTCATGCTCTTGTCCATGACCGACCCTCCCCGAGACTCCGACTCTCAGATCACCCCAGCCCCGGAATCCTGTGCACTTGAGCCACGCCCATTGCGTGCCTACATCTTCGACAGCGACACCACGCGCCCACGCCCATCTCGGTCCGAATCCTGACTGGTATTGATCTTGATTTTCCACTACGTAGCTGCGGTAGCTGTGGCGCGTCAGAGCTGACGGTGCCCATGATGTCGTGCTCTCTCGCATGATTCATCCCTCTGTACGCACTTACCACACCTGACTGACGCGTTCTAGTTATTGACACCCGCGCACCCGCCGAAGCGTCCGAGTCGGCACTGTCCTCCATCCGAGTCACCGCACGTCAGATCCAGGCAACACACGAACTCGCGATGGCCTCATCCCGACTCCGCGGCTATCTGGATCTGAATTCAAGAAACCCTGTCTTCTCGCCAGCTCAGCGTCAGCGTCAGCTCGAGCGCAAGCGCGGGCGCGGGCGCTTAACACGTTGGATTGATGCCCCTCGACACATTCTTTCACATATCGTGTCAAAGGGCGGCCGGTGACTCAGTGCTTATTATCAGTGGAGGCGACTCCAGTGCTAGACTCATACAGGCTATCAGTCATCTAGATGTTTCACTGCTATATCGGAGAAAGTCATATGTATGATCAATGGAGCGACATCGTCCAGAGGTATCACGAGATATTCTGAGCTGTGCCACCGAAACCACGAAACTCGAGCCCTGAAAACCACGTCCAGAAACACATCTCCCTTCGCGATCGCGGCAGTGAAATCGATACGATACATGGGATGGATACCCGTAGTCTCGGTGAATACACACACATGAACATGTAGTACGTACTCAAGCGCACATGCATACATGTCGCCAGTCCGAAACTCTGCTCGAGATCCTTTTAGTCTAGATCCTATGACACACACCTAATCTCGCTGAAGTCCTAGTAACAATCTTGATAGATCCCGTCACAACAGAGCGCCAACGTCGAACTTTGAACGTCGGCCGTTTACCCCGGGCGCGGCCAGTTTATCTCCTCGGCTCCCCCTCTACGCATCGACATCACATCAATATACTGCCCCGGCCACCGCTCCTCGCCTGTGCACCAAAACAAAAACCCAGAAGTAAGCATCACATAGCCTCTCAAGGGTATATTCGAGCGCCAACACGTACTTCGATCAATGATGTTCACTTCCGCATCACCATCGTCCTCGTCTTCCTCGTCTTCTTCGGCCCACCGGTCGTTCGCCGCCGCCTGGGGGTTCTTCGCCCGGTCGACCGCAAGGTCCTTCATGAGCCTGTTCACCGAGTCATCCTTCGCGTCCTGCAGCGTCTTCTCGCGCATCGCGCGCGCGCGCTCGAGCTCAGGGAGGTAGTCCCTGTGTTGTGCGAGAAGCGAGCAGAGGCGCACGGTAAGCGCCGTGCGATGAAGGCGTCAGTCAGCTCGGGTCCGCAGGCGGTTCCTGTCGGGGAGAACACGCACCTTTCGTATATCCCCCGTGACTCCTCAACGGCGTCGAAGAACTCTTTGACGCCTGCCCCGGTCATACTCGACACCCCAACAGCCTATAAGCACGGGGTTTCCCCAACGTCAGACATCAAACATCAATACATGAGAATGAGAAACAACGACGAAAACACACCTTGAGATGCTTGTAGAACTCGTCCAGCACAAGACTCATACTGTTCATAAGGCTGTTCATGTATGTCGGCTCGCCCTCGGCATCGCGCGCGCCCGGGTGCGTCGCCAGCGCCGCCTGGAACGCCTCAAAGTCCGCCATCCAGTCGAGCGCAAAGTCGTGCGGCTGGACATCCGTCTTGTTGAACACGAGTACGAACGGTAGCTTCGTCTTGTACATTATACTATGTGCCACGAAACAGATTTCTTCAGCTCAGAATCGAGTTTACTCGGCTGGGGGCGCACGAGGGGGGAGACTCACCTGCACGCGTATAGCATGTTGGACATGAACGTCGCGGGCGCGACGCACCGGGCTGTGTCAATAATGTACGCTATCACCGTCGGGAACGACGACGCAATCGCGTCGGTGATGATCGCCCCCGACGCGGACCAGGTGAAGATCTCGATCTGCCCGGGCGTGTCCAGGATGATGTGACTATGAACAGCAGGTTGCGTGCCGCACCAAGGCATGACTAAGCTCAGCATATGTCGTGTGTCAGAGAGAGGGCAACGCTACGCACTCAGTCGTCTCCGCGCGCTTCTCTACCAACTCGAGCACCTGGTCGAACTTGGTCGTGAACAGATTGAGCGCGGTCAAGATCCCTCCATTCGGACCAAGATTGTATCTTCATCCAGAACGCGACCGCAGACACAGACGCGAGCACAGCCAGTTGCACCAAAGGCGAAGGCGGAGGCAAGAATCGAGCTGCATCGTCAGGCGCTTCCGCACGAGCACAACCAAAACAAAACGTATCGCAGAAAAAAAGGAGGGGCACACTGACTGCTTCATGACCTCGGCGTAGTTCACCGTGTCCCGGATGTCGATGTTCGCCTCGAACGGCAGGTTGAGCACCGCCGGGTCCAAGTTGAGGATGTACGGCGGCCGCGTGTCGTTTTCGCTCGTGTGCAGGTACGAGTTGATGCGCTGCACGAACGTGGACTTGCCTGCGCCGGCCATGCCAATGGTGATGATGACGCTGGGCTTTTTTGAGGTGGATGTGTTGGTGTCAGATGCGGCGGCGGCGGCAGCGGAGGTGGAAGGGCCGGGAATTGGTTCGGCCATGACGATTTCCTCTTGAGACAGAGCCTTGGATAGAAAGATGAAAGCAAAGATCGGAAGTGTGAGATGTTGAGCAATGCGCGGTGGTGAGCAGTGATTGTAAAGAGCAAGGATGAAAGGGGTTCAAGATCAAAAAGAGTGTCGCGCGGCGCGTCATTTGTAATCTCCCCGAACTACTGCCGAACTAGTCAACCTCTCTCGACCTAGGGACGGCAATGATCTGTGGCAATGATCTTCTCGCGCCGACGCCATTATTTTATGTTGTCGAGGCGGCTCTGTTCGCATACAAACACATGGAACCCGAACATACACGCTCCCCAACAACGACTTCTTCAAGCCCACATACAGGTCACCTCATTCGGCACTTTGTTCCGTCTCGCACTGTTCAAGGTCTATGACTGCTAGGCGCATTGCTCGTCCCTCTCGTTGATTTCCTCCTGTTGAGCGTCGCGTACCACCCGCCAGCTCCCTACGACGCGCCCTCGCAGCCCGTGTAGCATCAGCCTACTCACATCGTTACAAGCAATGTGGACGACACTTTGGCAGGCGACACATGAATATTCCTGGACTCCTTACGCGGATCGAGCTCAAATGGACGCCTGATGATGCATGCGCCCAGCAATACAATCAACTGCAAGTTGTCGCGTATCTTCAACAATGCTTTCCAAAAGACGAAAGACGACGCCGTATTCAATAACGTTCAGGAAGAGATGGATGGGTAAAAGGGAGTGCCCATCCAGCAGTTTCTTACTAAGTTAGCTTCACCATCGGCAAGATCTCCGAGATGATCATAATGAAGTTCTATTTCGGTCTCTCCAGGAGTAAATTTACTATATTCGCATTAACATGCGCCAGCACACGCTGTAGACCCGACACCTATGTGGGCGTCATTGTTAAGGTGGAACTCGGAGGGTAAATACAGCGTCCCGCCAGAGACTACACTTGATCTAATGAGCCCATCTTCAAATTTCAAAGGGCAACGTGGGGGAACTAATACCCATTGTAGTCGCCGAGGTGGAGTCCATTGCAAAGCGTATCTCAGCGGAAGTCCTTGTTGTTGCCGGCGAACGTTGACATGATCATTCAAATTGGCACATCTTCATCTTTGGACTATTGGAATGTGCACTTTCCTCATCATTATACATTGCATTGCGGGTTCTGCTATCACACCAGGCATGGTGCACAGCGATGTCTTTGAATACCACGTATACGCAGCTTAATATGCTGGCCACCATTCGGTCTGGAAATACTGACTCTAGGATTAACGATGATGCTCTCCGATGCAAGGGGTATATTCTGTCTATTTATACTTTACAAAGCGCTTAAGCTTCTACGTGCCGGACAGACTATCGGGCAACAATGTCAATATGACTTAGAAGCTGTAATTGATTGGCCACCCACTCGAGAAATCACATATGCACATGGGGCAGGTGACATACCCTGCTGGCCTTTGCACTGTCTTGATGGTAATAATTTATGTCTGATAATTTTGTTTGCCCAGCCTCCCGCATCTTCATCATTTTCAAAATGAAAAGGGCTGGGATGGATGTTATCTGAATGACATATGACTGAACGCATATCATCATGACTTAGTTTAGACTCAGAGCTGGACCATAATCTCGGCCTCCGACGCACGCATAGAAAACCTTGCTAACTATAACTACTCTCTCACTTCCAGTACATCAGACTAAAATACCAAATGGCAGTGCCACACGATAGAGCGCATGCTTATAAGGCCAGCGAGTATGCTCATGGGTGTAAACCGATCCCACAGACTTGGAAGATATACACCATGCCCTACATCTCTAATTCCCCGGAAGACGTACCAGTACTCATTGAATATCAGGCTACAAACTATCTTATTGGTGCGCAAATGTATCTAAACTCAAGCATTGCAAACACGCTAAGTAGATGCCGTAGTATCGCTCCTTACAGTAGTGGTCTACGATTATGGTTAGTCTAAACCAGCTCCATTGAACCACCATTTCCTTCTTCCAAATAGCCCTCAACCTAAGCCAAGAAGTGAAGCTCATGTCGTCTATGATCATACAACTGTTCTCTAATGTGCCTTTCCTTAGGTATCGCTTATATGGGTGCGTACGTAGTCGATAATGACGGGACGACACGGCTGAATTTTTTATGTAACCATTTTTTAAAACAAATTTCAGCAACATAAACGATCCTCTTTAACGTATTGTTACGTCTTCGTGAGTGATCTGCGTAACCATGACCCGTTGACGTGAGCTTTAATTCCCTGATATATATATTCAGCTTCGATATGTCGGCTTTCTATATCTTGCGTGAGTACTGAAACGAGCGTATCAACTTCATGGCTATTGAAGCATTGAATGTTTTGATCAGGACGTGCCTCGGTTAGTGCCTTGCCATAAATTCCATGAACGAATGTGTTTAATCATTTTCAGTCACCAATTTCTCCGTCGCATTATCAGACAGAGTGAGCTGGCTTTACTACCAACGAGAAACATAATTAACGCTTATGGGTTCGGCTTTGATAGGCGTGAGCGTAGTACTTGCTGTCGTCCGGGTTTAGATGACTGACGGCTCGGGATTCCATACAGCTGTAGGTCAATATCCTTGTTGATGTCCAGCTAAACTTAAACCCCAAAGGTGAAATATGGGAAATACTCTTCACCATCGTTCTCCCTATCGTGCTAATCATGGTCATCCAAGGTGGCAGATTTGGCTGAAATGCAGTGAAGTAGCTAACTTGAGGGTTTCAGGAGTTATGTGCGCGCGAGTGTGTGCACTCTACGACAATTCAAAGACGGTGATCGTCTTCCTTCTCAGCGCATTTATCTTTACGCAGCTGCTGAGCATTTCAATGGCTGTCACACTATCTTCCCCAAAGTATAATTATGCATGTGAGTCAAGGAAGTACCGCTCAGGTAATATCGATATTCCTTGTCGATTGACCACACCGTTTAGATTCAGAAAGCATCTTATTAGGCATCCGCCAATGCCTCGGTTTTGAGCCGAAAAGTCCATTCTTTTGGATCTTGAATCTTGTGACTGATGGAGGAATTTTTACGTATGAGGCTTTGCTCATTGCAATGCTCGTCTACCGCTCAGTAGTTTACCTGAGAGAGCACGGAAATTCAGCTGCCGCCACAGAACTCAGGGGGCTAATCAAGCTACTGATGGGCCAAGGTGTGCTGTATTTCATATGGTAAGCTCGTTCCTTCGTCTTATAGGCCATAAATCCTCACGGCGCCTAGGGTGCTCATGTCTGTTACCCTGTCCATGATATACAGTCTCCCAGCAATCTTTGATCTGGTGAGTAACGCTGTGTCTTGTAAACCATAGTGTTATGTCGAAACCAACCTGACAGCCTTAAAACTCTAGGCATCACCCACGGTGGTCAACACCCTTGATAGTATCATCGTGGCGGTCAATATTGGACTCTTGTGCATGTTGGGGCCATGGCTAGTCCTCTCCCTGCGCCGGAACCATTCGACTCGTTTAAATGCGGAGTCCGGCATGAGTAGAGGCACATTCAGCTCAGTCGCGTTTTCAGCGCAGCCTTCGACCTTCAATGAACCGGACACACGAGCGAATAGAGTGTTCTGAATTTTCAGCTGGGACACGACAAACCACGATGAAGGCGTGGTTATCTTTTAGCTTTCTTTAAAGGCTTCAGCCTCAACCGCCGCAATGCAGATCCGCGGCAATCTTTTGCATACTTCAAGTTAACCTCGTACATTAACACGATTTGGGTCTTTTCTTAGCACTTCAAGTATCAGCATGTCCGCCGTTTTCTTCTTCTTCCATCTGACTTTGCTATTACCCAGTTCAATCAATCTCAGGTTTATTATGTATCCGGGTCACGAGGCCTCTTGTAGGACCTGATATTTTGATTGTGACAGGTATTGCGTCCCAATTATACTTAGCAACAGAACTTCTGTAGATGATTTCACCCGCTTGCATCATGCGATATCACTGCAAACAAAACCAGGATCTTCCATGTACGCGCAGGCGCGTGCTTTTCCTCTCTGGGATTCGGATCCAGGCAAGGAGCGGTGTGCGTGCGATTAAATTCGCAGACACACTCTGTGCAACATAACCCGGCGCTCCAGACAACTCACTTGGCTGAAGGATGTACGACAGCGTGACCGTAGATGACCATGGCACCGGTACTATTCCATCGTCACCACCTGCTTTGTGATTGTATACAATATGGCCCCAGAGAGCGATAAACGTGATTCATCATCATCATAATCATGTCAAAGGGTCCGACTGCTGGTTGTCATACAAAACAGTGAGGTAGTGTTCAGTAGACTCTCTTGCCGCGAGGGTGCAGGTCCGGCGATGCCGGGCCATACAGTAAGGTGCTGTCGTGGTCTATGGTAAGTGCTGTCCGTCGGGCCTAGTATCGGTTATGCGTGAAATGAATGGGGAGATGTACGGCATGGGAAACTCGCGGTCACTGTAGTAATAAATAAGAAGAGAAGATGAGGAAATGAGAGGAGAGGAACGGAGACATAGAGAAGAGACAAAATGGCAGACGAGCCACGCCAGGGACATGAAGAGAGAGGGGTGAATTAAAAGGGCCGCAGAGCCTAAGCTTACCGGTTGGAGGGGTGGCTTTCTCTGGGGCTAGGCGTGGCGTAGGCGGAGGAGCGGCCTAGCCCTTATCATTGCTGGGTCTCTTGGGAAGGCGTTGACGTCTAGTGACTGCGTGGTTTTGAGAGTGGGAGCACCAGGAAAGGAAACCACCAGACGAACAACAAGGAAATGAGCGAGTACCGCGCGCTAAGGTTCCACGGAAGCAGAAAGACTCGCGCCGTTATGCATTAGCCGTTGGATCTATCACTTGGAGGCAAAAGTACAAAATTGTTTCCGACGCCGGGAACCGAACCCGGGACTGCTGTGGTCATCATTGCTTCAATACTTGGTAAAAGACAATGTAATGCTGTACCACAATCCAGTTCTAATGACAGGGAGACGTCGAGGAGTGAGACGAGCACGCACCATGTTGACGGCCTCGAGCGTGAGGTCGGACGATTCGTACAGGAAGAGGTAGACGACGACCGCACCGGTCAAGCTGCACGCGGCGAAAACGTAGCCATAGCGGTAGTCGATTGCCTTCGTGATGAAGGGCGTGAAGAAAGCGAGGAGGAAGTTCCACACCCAGTTGGCGCGGCGGTCGACAGACTGGCCTGCTTGGCACGCGTCCGGGTTGGGAATGTTTCACGGATGAGAATCCATACACCGCTGCGAAGCGGACGTAAGGTATTCATTCTGATATTAGGGTGTATCTAGACCACTTACGGTGCCCATGTCATGGCGTAACCCAAAATGAACATGCAAGCGGAAACAATCATGACTATTGCCATAAATCAGGTCATTAGCTGGCAGCAACGTAATGACGCTGAACACTCACGCTTGCCAATGCCTTGGTTGTGCGTCGGATCCTCAGCGGTTCCGGCAGACGCGAACACGACTAGCCACGCAGACTGCCAGATATCACCTACTATGAGAGGTGTGCGACGACCAACCTGTGGTGCATTTCATGAGCTCAAATGAAAACTTTGGCACAGGAAGCAACCAACCTCACCTTCTCCATGATGTACATGCCTCCAAACCTGCAGAAGTTCGCTCTTGGCGGAGCTCACACACTCGGAACAGAGACCTTCATGGCGAGGTGGAGAGCCTGTGGAAGTACGACACCGATCTCAAAGCAGCATTCGACGAAGAACAAGACACCTTTTGTACCAAGCTATATAAGATGGAGTCCTCGCTCCTTGACTACAGCGTCTACGCGAACACGCTGCGAGACAAGATCGCCAAGCTTGAGGCGCAGCCCAAGCGCAGCGCCGCCGAGGCCCACAACGCATCCGCGTGGCTGAGGGACTTCAAAGCCGCAAGGGACGCCGAGCGAAGTCAGCTCCTGGAGCGGGCGGACAAACTAGAGAGCCAACTCGAACGCAGCGCGATCATGCTCTTCGACGCCAACATCGCCTCGAGCGCTGCGAGGAACAGGGCGCGGACGGCGCGGAGCGGTTCAGGCTCGATGTTCTCGCGCTCAAGAGCCACCATGCGGAGGAGCACGTGCGCATGGAGCACCGGCACCGGGTCGAGTGCGAGGGGATCCGCGAGGCGGGCGCGATTTGAGGGAGAGGAGAATCGGAGATTAGTGGAGCAGGTCGAGGAGCTGCGTCACTAGGAGCGGGAGCGCAGTCGAGGCTGCTCTCAGGCTGAAGAGCGGGTCGGCGTACGACGAGATCATCGACGGGGACGCGTTGTTGTCGATTGGGCCGCTGGAGTTGAGGCGACGGGCCTCGACGGACGATTGTTGGCCTAGGATGGATAACGCCCCGGGGTGGATCGACACGCGCCTGTGCGGGCACTCTGAACGACTCTTGGACGCGGAGACGGACATCGCTTGACACGTAGAGCAAGCCTCCTGCGCAGCGAGCGAAGCCCTCTGGCTGAGCACGTATCAAGGTCTGCTCGGAGACTAGGACATCGCAGCATTAAATATTGAAGGACCAAGTCGCGGCTCTGCAGAGACATCCGTGCGACGTCGGACCGGGTTTCCCGAGATGGGCACGTAATGCTGTGCAGTCCAGTTCTTTCAGACGAACCAGCACCTTACAGAACCAACAAGGCCCATACCTGCGTTTTCACTCCGGTTATTTTTAGTGCTATAGATTCCAGCTTTGAGACGTTTCATAAGGGGCCTAATACCCTCAATATTCTCCGACTGTATGTTAAAATGCTTCCCAAAATATTCGGCTAATGGCATGCATATGTGCGTACGATTTTGGAGACATGAAAGAAAGACACTGTTATGCAGCTACATTAACGAGTCTCGTACAATCGCAACCACTGAATACTCTCATAAAGTGCTGAGACATCACTTAAGGGCTTTGATACGATAGAAAAGGCTGACATACTGTATGCAGGGCTACTGAAGATTATGGGGGGCCAAGATACGATTGAAAGAGGTATAAGAACTACGGTACAATAGGAGCCGCAAAAACATCTCCCTTGAGCGCGAACTTGATAGACAGGATTAAACACCACGAAAGCTGCTCCAAGGGGAGGTGCGGAGGATAAACTCGTACATGCGACAGATGTTCTAGACACAATGTCGTGCCGCAATATATAAATGTATATATACACTACAAATCAATGATGTACTTACCTTCATTCGTGCGATGAATGTCAAGCCGTCAGATATTCGGACCCTGACTAGGACTGCATGGCGCATCATACGTACACACAAAAGGACATTTAGTGTCCTATACAACCAACATCCAATGAGAGCTGCGAACAAACTCTTGAACACTCAAGTCAAACCAGTCTAACCCTCATAAGCCTCAGTGAAATCCGAGACATAGCCTACCGCCATAAGAAACGGATGCTGTATGTTAGGCGCCTATCAATAGTGCCACCAGGAATGCATAAGAACGACTGAAGCTGGGAGTTTAGTTAAATGTTGGCACTCGGGGAGAAACTAAGGTCAAGTGAGTACGAGATCCAGCCCACCATCCGTGACCGACTGACCGTAGGTACTGTAGACACGCAGCTCTGCGTGCAGGCAACTCTTATTACTAGTACTAGCATCACAGTTGTATTGATGAAAGCGGTATATCGTGGGGGCAGCGGAAAACCGTAACGGTAGGTCCTGCAGCTGATGACTGCTGGACGCGACACCCATTATTCATTCAGAAGGACGATCACCGACTCGGACAATGCAGCACTGTGACTGAGGACGAGAGAACAAAACTGAGCTGGCGATTCAATGAATTTCTTTGGCTTTTTATATGCGAGCAGGGTTAGCCCCTTTCCAGCTCACGAGACGCGTGTTGCGCGTCATGACGTGTGCGCCCTGAAAATGGCTTAGTTATGTCAGGGCAAACCTTCCAGGAACGAAAGTGTCATGCCTCAATTTGGCAGGCTGCATCAGGCACATCAAAAATTCGTTCAAAATTTTAAAGATACGGGTTATACCATACGCAGGGCTACTCGCGACCGTAGACCCAAGATACAACCTCAGAGCCAAGATACGATTGTAGGCCCGTGATTGTAACGGTCATCACAGAGTACTTATACAGATGGAGTGGACTATCATACCAGGAATCATGCTATGATAGAAAATGAGCTGAAATGCGACAAAGGGCTGCCCAAGGGCTGCCACTAAAGCGATTCCCACCGAGAAACGAGGGCATTCCAGCAGCATCAACAAACGTGGATAGTCCCAGAATTGGAAGCTTAAATCGAGCGGTTCCTTAGTAGTTGTTTCATCATAGATCACTGCGTCAGAACAGCGTAACACCCTGGCCAGTCTCAGTCAGCTTGTGATGGAAATGCAGTGCCAAACACTACGGGAAAGTGCCACGTAAATGTCAGGCAAAGACGCCACCGGTGCTTCCGGGCAGTGCAATAAGCAAATGGTAGCAAACGAGATGACACGGACGGATGATACGGGACAGAGGGACACATTCGGCGTGAGGAGAACCCCGACGGGACGCTCGGGAGAGCTTGAACATACCAGAGTCGCGGTCGAGGTTGCTGAGTCTGACCTCACGGAACCACTGCACATACGCGAGTGGCTCTTTGACGTGGCCGAGGTGTTCTGGCAATGTAAATATAACCCGCACCTCAGCAACACGAAGACCTAAGAGGGCAAACAGTTAGCAAATAAAAGACTGAAATTTGACATAGACACGCACCGTGCAGTCCTCCGTGCTTGGAACGCTGAGCGTGATCCACCTCAAATCCACCTCTACCAAGACTGTGTCCCACTGGGCCGGCGCTTCGCGCTTACGTGCTCCGTTCCACTTGGCTGAAGTTGCTTGAATATTAATCCTGGAATACTGACTACAAAGGAGAATAATAGTAAACCTAGTCCCAGATAAGCCTTTGTTAAATACACGTACTATATGTCATACCACCCGTGAATTCTTTCGCCGCCCGGCGGTTAGCAAACCCGAACCAAGACAATGGTGAGACGAACATGAGATAGACGTAGTTCACATCTGAAAAAAAGTGCATGCTGTGCAAACGGGAACAGTCGATCGTGCTGTGTGAATGGGAATAATCAGCTGTGCGGCGCAAACGAGAGATGAACCCTTGCTGTGCAAATGAGCGAACAAACCCTTGCTGTGCAAGCTGTGCAAACGAGAAAAAAATGCTAATGTTGCCACCATATTGGCGCCAAGAGCAACGGCCTAACCAATAGCAGTTAGTTGGGCGCTAAATAGCCACCTCAAGAGTTTACCTCACATTTTTTGGTGCAACACGCTACGGAAGAGCGCCACGGAAGTGTCTGGCAGAGCACCACCGGTGATTAGTTGATTCAGTGCCGTGAAATACGGTAGGCAGACCGTGGAATGAAATCTTGCCATGATTCACATGACTAAGCTGATACTGATGATCATAGGACCATGCCACGGAACTTTCAATGATCAATGCACTTGTCATGCATATGACGGGGTGCTCAACACTCATGCTAAAATGTTACAACCACAAAATGAGCTGTTCGTAGAAGAGGCAAAAGGATTGTATCGTTGTTGCAGCTCAGCGCTGAATCTCATTAAACTTGATCAAAGAGTCTTTGATGCGATGAGCAAAAGCTTTGGTGAAATTATACAAACTGAAGACATGTATCCTGTGTGCAAGTAAATCCAACTACAGCACGTCGATAAATGTCATGAAAAAGGTCTACTATCATCATTATCAACTAGTATTCGGAGAGGCACAAACTAAACTCTACAAATTACATAGACATGAAAAGCAGTTTTACGCCTGCCGTCTCTAGAGCACCAGCAACTTCGAGAACACATTAATATGGCAAGAGCAAAAATCTCAAATCTTGTTCGAAAATTCAAAAGCTCAAAAACGCAGGATATTATTGTTGCTTCTTAATCATAAGAGAGCCATACGACACGTCTGAACACGGAAACAAAGAGACCATGCTATGAGATTGAGTTTGGTATCTCGGTACTTATTCTATCTGGTTAAAAGAACAGAGTGGGTTACAAACATTAACAATATGAGAAACATCGCCCTCAACAATGGTATGGATGAAACAATGCGTGACGGATACTGGGAGCGACATCAGCCACATGGATTATGGCGAAAGCATAGGAGAAGGGCATTAGGAGCTCATCAATGATAGGCTGCTACATGCGATAAGCAAAACACAACACGCAGCTGTTATTGGGGACACCAGAAATTGGGAGGGGATGCTGGGCGAGCTATGGAAGTAGGAGCAACGCACCATCATTTATACATTGCAGTACGAACTATATCCGGTAACTTGAAGAGGCGTGAGGCAAAACGTCATGCTGTGTTATTGCTTACCAGTGGCGTTGCGCCTCCCAGGGCGCACGGAAGCCTTGGACTTGCCTAGGACAAACGGGGCAAAAGCAGGTACGATCAAAAATTCGTCCACAATTTTAATGATACGGGTTATACCTCGGTAAATGTGATGTCCCATGGGAGGAAGCGGAGGTTGGACACCATGCCCTGTTAAGGCTGTACTTGACCTGTGGTCCAAGAAGGGATGGACATTCATCAGCGTATGGTCGTCCAGGCGAAGTTCCTTGCGGAGCATATGATGGGGAACGCCCTTGTTGAACAACATTCCTTCTTGGAAAATGATGAAGACTTATGCGATGGCCAGCGAAGTCGAGCCAAGAAACAGATTAGTGTATATTCATCTTTGGACTGTTTCACTGCGCGTTTGAACTTCTCCGCCTAGATTAATGTCGCCCCTGACAGGTGTAGCGATATGTATAAATATAACATATCTGCTGAGTGGCATTGTATTTGTACCAGAAACGCTGATCAACTTCCAAAATGATGATGCTCCTGACCACAAGTCTAGTTCGCACGGCAAAAGGCCAAAGTAGGTACGTGGAGGACAGTTGGACAAGGATATCGACTCGATAATTGCTCCCGCAGCTGGCTTGGTAAAATATACATGGCACAGCCGCCACACTGTACCAATATTTCCTTGCACTGATCTATGTCCACTCATACTATTGATAATGTTCTGCTGCTTCGTAAGTTACGTTCAGCATCTGGCTATCTATAGGATATTCTTGATGCATGTGCGCAAAACCAAACCACGATCGAATGGATACCATCATGACATATCATTGCATTTTGGTCTTGGACTGGACACCGGATCGAGGATATTTGGGATATGCGTGGAAGGCATCACGAACTACATTTATGATCTCGCTACTAGCGTGAAAGAGTGGCGTGTCCAAAGAACAGCTGTCGCTGCTGTTCCATGCATGTGCGCACGTATAAAAGGTCAGCAAATATACTCATTAATAGAAACACCCACACGGAAGACACCCAACATGCCCGCAGTCTTAAATTCTCCTGCTCTTATACCTATCCTCATCGAATATCAGAAACAAAATTATATTCTTGGTAGGTAGCCGCCCGTAATCGCAAGTGACACAACGATGCTGAACTAGATTGAATACCGTAGTGTCACTTCTGACAGTGGTGATCTACGATTATGGTTAGTTGAAGATAGCTTCACTGAATTGTTTTGTGACTCTTTTGAATTAGCTCTCAACCTGAGTCAAGAGGTGAGATATATTCCATCCTCCAAATATAAAACTACCTTCTGAAGTGAACTGTGTCAGGTTTTGCTGATATGGGTGCGTGCTTAGTTAGCGAATGCAGAATGACGCTGTATTGATAATTTTACGGGTTTGGGTTCCTTAGCAATATGGAATATCTCCCCTGACATATTGTTATGCCTTTGTGAGTGGTAGTATTGGCACTACAGCTGATATTATATACTGAAGACATTTTAATCGTTTCTCTTAGTTACGCTATGTTGGCCTAATAATCCCTATGTATGTTTTGATGCAGACTTGCTTTCTACGTATTTTCTAACCTTTTCTCCCTTCATAAAGAATGACCATTGGTTGGTATTCTCGCAGCTATTGTTCTTCATGGTTGCGTTAACTTTACCAGTTACAAATCTTCCCGTTATTCTGTCAGACAGAGTAAGTCGGCTGTACCGATAATAAACACGAGAAACTTACCATTGTGGCTCTACTAGGAGTGATTATACTTGCTATCTCTCTAGGCCTGTTTGTTTTGTTTGGCTGACAGACGAAAAAATATCTCGCATAGATGTAAGCCAAGTATTCTATGGTGTGTAGCTTGTGCTCAGCAGTATAACTTGAAGGCACGATTTTGAATGTGTTGAACATCACTGTTCTTCCCACCGTGCTGATCATGGTCATTCAAGGTGGTGTTATCGGCTAACATCCAGTGAAACAACTAACTTGGAGTTTTCAGGAGTCATGTGCGCCCGAGTCTGTGCACTCTACGAAAATTCAAAGAGAGTGACCTTCCTCCTCTTTGGCATATTTATTATCACACAGCTGCTGAGTGTTTCAATGGCTGTCGTTCCATCTCTGCCACTTTATTCTTTCGTCTGTAAGTCACGGGAGAATTTCCTTAATTCTGTATGATATATATAATCCCGATCAGATCAAGAAGGCGTCTTATTAGGCATCCGGGAATGTCTGTATTCTAATTCGAATAATCAAGTATTATGGATTTTTGATGTCGTGGGCAACGGAGGCACCTGCGCATACGAGTTTTTGCTCGTTGCAATGCTCGTCTACCGCTCAGTGATGTACCTGAGAGTTCATGGAAATGCGTCCTCCTCAACAGACATCAGTGGGATAATCAGGTTACTGCTGGGGCAAGGTTTGCTATATTTTTTATGGTAAGCAATTTATCCCATAGTCTGAGAATATTAAGCTTCAATATTCTGTCTAGGGTGCTCGCAAGCTTCACCCTGGTCATATTCTCAAACCTCCCATTAAATTTCAACTTAGTGAGTAGCACAATTTAAGCGATAACATTGCCCTGCTGGGAACTGACTCGGATATCCGGCGATTTTAGGGCTCCGTTACTGCAACAGCTACCTTCAGTGACATCGAGAGTTCCCTCAATATTGGACTTTTCTGCATGCTGGGACCTTGGCTGATCCTATCTATTCGCCGAAATCATTTGACCCATTTGAATGGAGGGTCCAGCATGAACACCGGCACAATCAGCTCCATCGGATTCGGAAGGCACCCGCCTGCTCTCGACGACAGGAATCAGTAAACAGAGAACTTCCTCAGCTGGAAAATGACGGACCTTGATGAAAAGGTGACTACCTGCCAGAATACTTATTAGGTCATAGGTACTGCAGGTAAGACAGGTCTATGATAACTTTTCGAACATGTAGCTACATATATCAGCGCCTTGATGCTAGCGAGGACCGGGATTTCATTTAGCCATACTTGCCGGTCTCGCTACTCTTTGTCTTCCTTTAGCCTTTCCATATTGCGACTTAACTTATTAGTTCATTCTTATTTATTTATTTGGCAGAACTCTCTCTTGTATGATCAGCGGCCTTTCACTATTTATGACTTTGTACTGATATTATCTCCGACTGGTTTCTTGGGCTTGACGGTGTACTTACTTATAGGAATTCTCTATAGACGCTCCGTTACTTCAATGAGACTCAGAGACGCATCATATTGAAGCGGATTAATGTGGGGGTACCGAATACGAGGGGCGGTATAGGCAGAGGACGCGGGGATGAGTGAAATACCTCTCGCGAGGCATCCTTTGCAGGCCCGCCACTAAACAAGATGAAGCAGCGTGGTATTTTTAAAGGTCCGTTGCAACAAGAGCCGGTGGAGATTACCGTTCACATCGTCAGCGCCGATTTCCACAAGCGCCACCCATCGGCTCTGTCTCTATTCGAGTTCGCCATCGCGTTGACGCAGTATATACATCCTTCTGCCTCTGACGGGTTTCCTCTCAGTGGAACGTCGCACGGTCTACCATGTTAATCGCCTTGACGCCGCCCTGCTGGATAACTCGGAGTCTACTTTTTCTACACGCGGAGTTTCGCATTCGTGGTCCAACTGGGGAAGGATCCCGACTGAGCACATTGTCTTCGACATGCCTGATGGGCACAACTCCAGGAGCGTCTTCTTGACCATCCGTAAAGAGTACATATCGACCGTCATCTTATGGCCACGCCTACACCCTGCGAGGTGACGGATATTTTAAAAACATATCGGGACAGATACACACACCTAGGCTCAATCATCGACGCAATGAGCATTTCGCGATCGCTCAACATAGCTGAAAGATTCATGAGAAGGAAGTTGTCATTATGCGTAGCGTACATTGTATTCCGTAAATCGTAGGATATGCAATAACACTCAGTGATCAGTCCATGGACACAACCACAGCTTCACCGTCATCGCTGTTGAGTTGGCTAGCTGAGCCAGAAACAGTCTCTATGCCTCAGATTGAGACAAGTGAGAGAGATGTGGATAGACGTCTTGGAGATGTGGTTGGGATATAAACGGATAGAGGAAGCAAAGGGGTGAGAGTACGTGGGCATTCTCTTTAGTGCTCCGGGTCGGAGTCAGTGTGGGATCGCTTTTCGATCCGCTGCTCCTCGAGCGCGCCCGATGCGAGGGGCTTGGACGACTCGGCCGCCCGAGCCTGCTCGACGAGATCCTGGCGGGAGGTGAAGCCTGGAGGTGCCCAGCGGCCCGAGGTCCACGGCTTGCAGTCGGGGTCGGTGTACATCTACCAAGGCGAACATGAGTTAGCTGTAAACCCCGGAGACGTCGAAGAGTGAGACGAGCACGCACCATGTTGACGGCCTCGAGCGTGAGGTCGGACGATTCGTACAGGAAGAGGTAGACGACGACCGCACCGGTCAAGTTGCACGCCGCGAAAACGTAGCCGTAGCGGTAGTCGATTGCCTTCGTGATGAAGGGCGTGAAGAACGCGAGGAGGAAGTTCCAAACCCAGTTGGCAGCGGTCGACAGACTGGCCTGCTTGGCACGTGTCCGGGTTGGGAATGTTTCACCGATGAGAATCCATACACCGCTGCGAAGCAGTCGTAAGAAAACCAATCTGATATTAGGATGTATCCGGACCACTTACGGAGCCCATGTCATGGCATAGCCCAAAATGAACATGCAAGCGGAAACAATCATGACTATTGCCATAAATCAGGCCATTAGCTGGCGGCAACGTAAGTGATACTGAATACTCACGCTTGCCAATACCCTGGTTCTGTGTCGGGTTCCCAGCGGTTCCGGCAGACGCGAACACGAACAGCCATGCCGATTGCCAGATACCACCTACTATGAGAGGTGTGCGACGACCAAACTGTAGTGTAGTTCATGAGATCAAACGAAGGCTGATACGGCAAGCAGCTAGCCTCACCTTTTCCATGATGTACATGCCTCCAAACGTGCAGAAGAAGTTGACAGCTCCAAGGATGATCTGCGTCACGAACGAGTCCTGGAGACCGACAGACTGGAACACGGTCGCGCCGTAGTAGAAGAAGTAGTTGGCCCCCGTGAGCTGCTGTATACTCTGCAACGTCATGCCCAGGATCGTGCGGTAGAGCGTCTTGTTCGCTGGGCTGAAGCAGTCGAGCCAGCCACCACGGTTCTTCATGTAGTCCGTCACGTTGGTCCGAATTTCCTCGGCTTCGCGGAGGATGATGGGGTGGTCAGCAGCCTCTGCGGTGGAGAAGCCGCGGACCGTTGCAAGCGAGGCTTTGGCCTCGTCCATGCGGTCATGGGCTGCGAGCCATCTTGTGAATAGTGTCAGAGCCTCGTGTCGAATATGAATGGGGGCAGACTCTGATGGACTCACCTGGGAGATTCGGGCATGAATTGGATACCAATACCGAGGATCAAAGCCCAGAGGATGCCGATACCGACGACGATACGCCAGGAGGCCGACATGGGGACGTATCTAGTACCAATGGAGATGGCGTCTGGAAGCCGCTGTCAATACCAGCGAGGAATACGCAGAGGGCGCAACTTACAGGCAACCAAGATACCGAACGTGATGAACAGCTGGTATGTTGCGGTCAGCGTACCACGGATTTGCGCTGGAGCAGTTTCAGCTTGATACTAATCGCGCGGAAACGAGTCATCAGTGACGAAGCTCCCACACAGCCCTGAAGTAACTCATGCTCACCATGGGTACGGCGGCACTGAGCGAGCCAACACCGAGACCACTAATGAAGCGACCGAACGCGAACTGCTGCCAAACGTTCTCGGACGCAATCTGGATGATGACACCGATGATGAAGACAATGCATTCTGTCGTCATAGCCCAGCGACGGCCAAGCTTGTCAGCGGTCCTGTCAGTGTCCGGCGATCCCTGTCAGACGACGCGACAGATAGGGGTTAATTGTGGATGCTTACGGTGCACCGGCGAGGGCACCAACGAGGGTGCCGATGGAGAGGAGAGAGACGATGAGACCTTCTCGGACGACGGAGAATGTGCAGGTAGAGGATACTCCTGGGGTTGTGCATGTTCCAAAGCGCAGAAGGAAGTCCTCCATGAGAAGAATGTCTGAAATTTGACCTGTGTCATACTGAGGAGGATATGTTAGACATGGAGATAGCGAAAGGATGAAAAGAAAGATGCTTACACCGAAGATAAATCCTCCCATAGACGCGAGAAGCGCCAGCATGATGGCCACCCATCCTATGGGCAGTCCTTGGCTGTGTGGTGGAGGCGAGTGTGAGTACGAGGCATACGACGTGAAAAGGAGATCAAAGGTAAAAGATAAAAAGATAAGAAACGGATAAACATACACGTAAAAAAGCGCCATATCGATAGCGTGTAGCCCTTCTGGGGTGCGGGGGATGCGATGGAGGGCTAAAGGCGATGGGGGAGGGGAAACCGGCTTCTCTGCGAGACGACCGGCTTGCTTATGAACCTTCTCGGGTTGATGTCATCCTGCCATACTGGGATACCCGGCCTCCTGCCCGCCTATGGGTTCTCTCCTCCGTGGCTCCGCTTACCCATGCAACCAGCCCACAGCGGCGTGTGTCGGCAAATGCTCTTGCATCAATCTCACGTTCCTATACCACACAGCCCACTCGGCCCGCCCGTAAGCAACATCTCAGGCCCATGCCTTTGCAATCAACATAGGCCTTGTTATGAGACAGGAAGGTTTCGGCGGGCGAGAAATGGAACAAACTTTCTGGCTCATGCTTAGTCCATTGCCGGCTTTCACCACACTTTCCGATATAACAGGACTTGCCCGATCCCGCCGGTAAGCTCTGTCAGACGACATCTGGCCAGGAACAACGATGATCGAGGTGGAGCACCGAGGGTCGGTAATATCGAGCGGCTTGCTTCGGCTTTAGAACACTCGCCAATTCATGCTGACTTTTCACCCCGACGTTCGTCAGAGATCAGGAAGAATATCCTGGAGCACATGGCATGCCTACGGCCGACGGCTGCCTTTCAAGTTGCTCCTTCTGCTCAGTATATCGGTAAGATCGGCGTCAACATGTTTCGTTCCTTCCGAATGCCCGGATCTGCTTTCATAGAGGCTAACGTGACCTTCAGTGTCGAAGAGCGCCCTCGAAAGTCAGCCACATCACAGTTCTCCTTCAAATGTTGTCAAAGTTTTGTCATCAGGGCCACCATAGGCCACTATGCCGAAAGTCTGCCGTTCGGTTTGGACTATGCGTCCTCCACATGACCCCGCGCGGGCTGTACGTGTTGCGCTAGAGCCTCAGTTTAGAATAGCAAGAACACACGTTACAACAACGACAGCCCGACGGACTGCAGAAAGGTTTAGCAAACAAGCTGGCAATCAGGCGTGGTCGTATATTCGTGGGTAGGATATAATCTCACCCTCAGCCCTATTGCCCCAGACACGGTGCACCCCCACTTCTTCTCATGATAGACCAATCGTGTAAAGTCGTGCCGTGATGTCCCAGATTTTCACCTAAAAATAAGTGCAGTGGGGGCGGGGTCATGAGAATGTCCGCAGCGATCGAGGCACACATTCTGGAGTGTGGCACTGTGTTGTTCGGTGCGGAGTGCCGGCGGACCCGAGTGGACGATATCCTCCTTTCCACCAAGTGTAGTGCATATGCGCCTGCGATCCGCGAAAATTCGACCCCGGGACTTCTTCCGACATTAAGCAGAGATGAGACGTCGGAACGATTCGTGAGACACTCTGGAGAGCTGTTTGAGAGATCGAGGGCTATCGATAAGACGGGTGCGTCCAGATTGCAGACTGCGAGCCGAGACGTGATGTGCATGGCGAGAGAAGAAGCGAAGCTAGGACTCGGGCGAACTCGCTATGCTGAGTGTATGCGTCTCTCTACGGAAGAGCAATACCAAGAACAGAGAGGTGTTCCTTGATATAGCTTCAAATTAATATAGCTTCGAGCAGATAACTCATCGCTGGGGTAGGCGGTGGCGTCTGTGGAGAGCCGCACGGACTCTTCGGGTTCGGAAACGGGGTGGACGGATGTTTCTGAAGTACACGTCCCGTATCGCCTCGTATCACTCGGTCTTGAAGAGTCTCGAACCTAGACAAATGGTGTTATCAGCCCTGCAGCGTCGTGTCAGAAGCTTCCGAAGTTCTGATTGAAACGCGGTGATGCTGTCTAGGTCTGGGGAACGCCCTCGCGACGTTCGGCCAGCTGGTGGCCGCGGTCTAAGAATAAGCAAGTTCGGTGGAGCGATGAGATCGGACTGGACTCCCAGAGACAGAGCAATTGTGCCGATCCAATAACGCTGGTCGCTGCGAGGTTGTATACGCCCGTACACGACTTGGACGACGTGCTGGCTGGGACGTGCAGGGCGTCGACTGGAGGATAAGCACGCGTAGTGCAGGGAGGCGAGCGCTGGATTCATTACCATATGCCCGCGGTCCAAGGAGCTTGAATATATGCGTCGGATTTTTGTCGGGTTGGCAGTCAGGTACAGCGTCACGGTAGGTGTGACATTCACGGGGTGATCACAGCATCAACATGATCACATTGCTGTGTTGTCACGCCGTGACGTTCCTGGAGGCAGCGCGAGCGCGTCTTTTGATTGCAGCGACGCGTTTTGTCATTTACGCGGAACATCCACCATATCAAGAACTGAACATGCCTGCACGCTCACAAAGACGCGGAACGCAGCCTTCTCAGAGGACTCGTCGACGCAGGCATGAAGAGGAGGAGGAGGAAGAGGAAGAGGAAGAGCTCCCTGCCACCCAGGGGGACCTGATGGATCTCGACGAGACTCAGGGCGGTAGGCTGGAAGCGGTACGTTCAGCCAGCTCGATGCCAGAGTATAAAGGCACTTAACCTCTGGACATAGGAACTTGACCGCAAAGCGAACGACTTGGTGCGTCTCGCGCTCTTCATGGAGCAGAAACGCGTCCCGTTGAAGCGCGAGGACATCACGAAGAAAGGTCTGTATTACCATCAAGCACATCACTTGTGATTTACAGCTAAGATGCAATGACGCCCAGTCCTTGGCTCGAGCTCGCGCTCGTTCAACCATGTGCTCGAGAAAGCCCAGATCCTGCTCCGGCGGACTTTCGCCATGGAGCTCGTAGAGCTCCAAGCGCGCAACTACCGCGAAGCAGATGGCGGCGCGGATGAGCTGCAGGAAGCGCGAGACGCCATAGGACCTCGGAAGAAAGGCACGTCTCGTCTCTTCCCACTATCACGAGGTACCGCTCCGACTGACTTCGCGCATCTCAGCCGCCGCGCAGGGGTCGAAGACGTACATCTTGCGCTCCACGCTCCACCCCAAAATCATTGAATACGCGGCGCTCACGGACGAGCGCATCCTCGAGGAGCAGACCGCGGACGAGCCCGAGCTGGATGACGACGAGCTCCCGCGGAGCTACGGCAGCGTGCTGTCATGGAGCACCGCCGACCAGCTGGGCGCCGTCGGCGTCCTGCACGTCGTCCTCGCGCTCATCCTCGCCAACGGCCGCGTCATCACCGACAGTACGCCCTCCTTTTCTCTAAAGCTTATCGGAACCAGCCCATTGGCATCCTGACGCCGACTCCTCCCTCGTCCGCAGTGGACCTCCGCGCATACCTCAAGCGCCTGCGCCTGCCCGCCGGGACAGGCACAGTCCCGACGAGCGCGCTCTCCACGCACCGCAATATGCCCATCGACACTTTCCTCTCCCAGCTCGTCCGCCAGGGCTACCTCGACCGCGTCCGGCTCGGCGACCCCAAAGGCGGCGCTGGCGGCGGAGCCGGTAAGCGCGGGCGCCCGCCTGCTGCGACGCAGGGCGGGGGCGAAGACGGCGCGCAGGCGGCGTATGAGTGGCGCTGGGGCAATCGCGCGTTTTCGGAGGTGGGGGAGAAGGCGGTGGCGGAATTTATGGCGGAGTTTATGGTCGAGCGGTCGAGGGGCGAGGCGATCGAGGAGGAGGAAGAGGAGGGTGTTGCTGCGAATGGACGTGCCGGGCGCGGAGGGCAGGGCGGGGGCGCGAGGGGAGGGGGGGAGGGGGTTGAACGGAAGCACCAGGCGATGTTCAAGGGCATTGAACGTGCCGCTGGGGGCAAGTTGGCTGATATTCGATGATGGGTGCGTGCGCACGCGTAAGAGCGCCAATACGTGTTGATCGGGGTATATATTTTACAGTTCGCAGGTTTCTGCTGATTCTACATGTTGTTTCCCTAGGTATGCTATGTCTCCGAGAGATAATCTACTATATCTTGTCGTCCTTAAAACAAGCAAAAAGCTGGCCTCACTCGACATTGGTGATCGTGAAGCGAACCAGAAGCGTGGCCCCGCTGTCCTTGCCCTTGGTGTTGAGCAAACGCACAAACCTCCACCCCTGCTCGAGTCTGCTGACACGGGCACAGAATACGGCCAGGTTCTCGTGAAGTATGAGTTCTTCCGGGTGGCAGATCGTCAACCTGGCACAAAGTCAGCGTTTTTTCGTCACAGCCTAAGTCGGGTTTCAGCCGTACTCACCGTATGAACGCCAACTCGTCATCAATAAACTCCCACTCAAACTGCCTATTGTTCCACATCACGTCGACCTGCTCGGCTTCGTCCTTGCACTTGACGCGATCGGTGTGCCACTTCTCTTCGCCGTCGGCATGGAACAGCTCTGCCTGGACATACGCCGAAAAGCTTGACTTCGTCGGCCGTGTCACTACAATTCAAAACCGTGAACGCCGTTCCGTTCCAAAGCAACGATGAGCTCCCACTCACACGAGCTCACACCAACGACCTCCCCCGTAATCCTCGTCTTCCCGATCTCAACAGCCTCCCGCCCGAGCATCGCTGGCTTCGGCACCCACCCGTTCGTGCCGACGAACATCGCCTCGTTGATCTGCATGCCCCTATCAAAGTGCTGCCAGTTGAGACACGCGACCTGCGAGCCGGTGCGCCAGAACTTGAGCGGGTCGAGGTTGCTCGAGCTCAGGCGGATGCCCATCGGGAAGATGCGCCGGAGGTGCCGCGACGCGCTCGCGGTCAGCGCGGCGGTGCTCTCGGGTATGAGCGCGGAGAGCGCGGACTCGGAGATGTTGATCATGATGTTGCGCACGAAGGGCGGGCTGGGGAAGTCTGGTGCGTGTGTGCGAGATGGCTGGGGTGAGCATGCGTTATTTGTGAAGGGAGGGGAGGCGCGTACACTGCTCGGCCCAGCCTTTGGAGGGTTTCATGCTTCGTGTGTAAAACCCGAGGGCTGCGAGCTCCTCTGAGATCTTGCCGTGCTTGTGCTCGTGCTCTGCTTCCATGACGGGGTCGATCTCTAGCTCTTGTCCTTCATCGTCCTCTGGGACAACGCAGCCGTCGATCTCGTCGCCAGGATCGACATCTTCAGTTCCGGGATAGTACTCCACCTACAGCGCAGACAGCGATAAGCAGCTACATACAGTACAGTACGTGCGAACTGAGACTCACCATCAGCAAAATCCGCCCCTTCAAATCCGCAGGCGAAATACTATCGTCGTCCACCCCATCAACCTCGCCCCTCACGAGCTTATCACCCCACGCCTCCCGCATAATCTCGACGAGCTCGCCCTGCTTCTGCGGCGCGACATGGCACTCGAGGCTGACGAGCACGGGCCAGTCATTAACGCTATCAGCCTCTGTGCGCACAAGCTCGCCGATCGTCGCGCACACGGCGGCGAACGGGACGCTGCGGCTGAACGTGTATCCATGCGTGACGATGGGCCCCTTGGGGGAGGACCAGACGTCGATCTCGACGCAGCGCGCGTTCTGCGAGAGCGCGTGCACATACGATGCGGTCGAGGCGCGTCCGAGGACCTGCCAGGAGAGGAGGTAGGTGTTGTGCGAGGAGCTGGTGGGGTTGCATTCGATTATTGTGCAGTGTGAAAACGATGACGAGGACGCACGAGATAAAGTAGTCCTTGAGCGAGCGCGACGGGTCCACTTCGACGGGGCTGACCGCGGACTTTCTGAGCAGCTCCTGTGCGTCCTGTGCATCCGAGTGGTAAGTTTACCCCGGATTTGCGGTGATTGACGTGCGCCAAGTGCAAGAAGCGTCGATCGACCAGACAAGTAAAATGAAATGAAAAGCACGCACCACACCCTGTTCGCTGAGAAAGTCGACAATCTCGGGGCTGATTCTGACCGCGCTGCCGTCCTCGGGCGGTTGCACATTGATCGCGGTCTCGATGCCGTACTCGAGGGAGAGCTGCTGCACCTCTTGTTCGAGCGTTGTTGCCGCCATAGTCAACGTAGTGTCGTGCTGGTGCGACGGCGTGCGATAACGAGCAGCTCAACGAGGCACTGTAAGGCAGCCGACGCACAAGCAGGCTCCGGGAAGGCCGGAGTCTTCGGAGAATTGATCAGCAGGATCCATATGATAACACAGGTATGCTCGTAGGCGGGCGTAATTACGAGTACAGAAGAGCTAGTAGTATACTGGATGGGCTAGATAACGTAGGAGATCGCAACAAAGAGTCAAAGGTGAAAACCGTCGTGTATACAGAGCAGTAGTAATAAAAGCACAACAAACTTGCTACAAATCCATACCCAAACCGAAAAATGTGATGCAAATACCATATCCCCATACCAATCGTCATCATCATAACCGATAAGAACTCTTCACATCATCTAAAATCGGACCCGACACCGAAAACCCAGACGGAGTCCGCGGATACCCTCTCAACGTGCCGCGCGGCGTCGGGAGCGACTTGTGCGGGTTGAAGTCGTGCGCGACGACCGCCGTAATCGAGTCCGTCGTGAGCATGTCTGCCGTGATCGAGTGCCGTAGGCTATCGTGCAGGTGCAGGCTCGGGAGCGACGTCAGCTCCTCGGACTCGTCGTCGTCGCATTCGCTGTTATTGTAGTCTGCCGAGACCGCGCGGAGGTTGAGGACCAGGCGCGAGACGGTCACGGTCGTGGCGCACCACACGAAGCTGAGGGGAGGCCTTGTTAGTAGTCTCGTGAGGATTAACATGGGGATGTGAGCTTACAAAAGGCCGAGGAACTGCAGTGACACCTGAAAAAAGTTGGTCAGTTTGTTACTGGCGCTTGCTTTGACGTACGTCATATCACTTACTGGGGTTGAAGTAGCCAAAACCAAGTTGACGACTCGTAGAGCTGTGAAAAAAAATAGCGTGTGTGAGGTGCCCTGACACTGATGTAGCTGGTTAGGGTATCTTACAAACAAGGGCCTGAAAAGCAAAAAGACGTCGTCAACAAAAACGGCCACCTTGCACCCGAATTCGAGCCCGAGTTCGACTTTGACTCACAGCGAAATAGAGTGTCCCATCTCGACAAAGAACCTCGCCCAGGTTCACATTGTGCGCCCGCGGCTTATCGTACGCGTTCCAGAGCGCCGTCACGAAGACCATGATCTGCGACGCGACGCCGGGCGCCCAGAGCTTGCTCAGGTGCAGCTCGGTGCTGACCTGGCACACGTGGAGCGAGAGGTTGTATGACGTGCTGGCTGGAGAAGACCGAATCAAGTGATAGCTAGTGTTAGCAAGCAGAACAAAGCGACTGAGGCAGGAAAACAGCAGTGAGCGAACGTACCTGTGATGTGGCCGGTGAGAAAGCCAAAGACGATCACTGTGATTACTTCTGCGAGGATGAATAGGAACAACGTCCAAACGACGAGCTTGAGCCGGCGGTCCCATATCACCCAGAGGCGCAGGAGAACCATGACTATATGCCATAGGCAGGCGATTTGGTTATGGGGTGGTGGCGCACGGCACAGAAATCGGAGACTCACAGTCGCTGATCGCTATCGAGGATACCCCGAACGCGAACGCGGATATGCCCCACTGCTTGCAGCTAACACCCGTCTCAGCTTCATGTATGTACATCAGAGGTGAGAATCAACGCACAACTGCAATGGTCTTGATTAGCACATCAAAGCACCACCACGCACGGAAGGACAACGTACCTCATCTGAGAAAACTATCCCCCCAATACCGCTGAACGCTGCCACACCGAGAAGGTCCATGTTCAGCCTAACGCGGTCTCGGGCAAGACTTGAAAAATGCAAGAACTTACAGAAAGTTTGAACGAACATCGCCATCGGCACGATGTAGCGGGTGTAGAGGAAGAGCACTTTGGCGAGCGTGAATTTTGCCTGCCATATGAGCCGCACCTCTTCGCCGAACGTGAGGAAGTGGTCGTAGAGCAGGATCTGGTGCATTTAGGGAGCACATAGTTTCCGTTTAGAAAAGATATCGACGACAGGGGTTTGAAGGAGGACACGTACGATGAAGCCGGACGCTATACAATGTGAGATGCGCGAGGGAAGGAGATACGGTGGTCAGTTGTGCAGACGGGCGGTTGGAGGTGAGGGACTCACCAGCAACGTACTGGCACGCCCTAAGGTGCAGCAGGAGCGTCTCCACGTCGTGCAGTGTCTCGGCCATGTGCGCCTGCGAGCTGGGCGACTCGTGGGCCTTCAGCTGGGGGCTGCAGCGCCGTCGTCCAAAGGAAAGGGGGACCCGAGTGGGGAACGTCGACTAGCACGAGCACTGTGAACGAGGCGGGCGGTGGACAAGATGTCACGTCCCCCACTCACTGGGACTTATCACACAAACGGTTTTAGACTTATACCCGGTTATGTGCGATCAGGATATGTCAAACTGTTCGTGTCGTTTCGATGTCGGTTTCTCATTTCATCTCCATTTCAATTTGTCTCAACAACTCGACTAAATGATCCGACGAAAGCTTCTTACCTGCCATATCCGTAGCCTCCCCGGCCCTGCTCCGCCGTTCTTCATTGGCTACTGTCTGGTCAAAGCAGCAAGGCTGGGGCCTGGTTTGGTGGCCGATGGTGGCACATCACTGCCTCTAGCAACCAGCGGGTCTCGTGCACCCCAGGGACAACAGCGATGTCCACCGTCTACTTTGCAAGTCAGACTCCGGCGGCTAAAACGTTCCGGCGACATGAAGCCCAGAAGCTTCGTATGTGAAGCTTCGAGGATATGTTTAGCTTGTTGGTAGTCAAGGGTCGATCGAACGTTGGCTCGCACGCGTGTCCTTCTCGTGCGTCAATCTCATTCCTCGTCCTCGAGCTTCGCGGATGGACCCGGGAAGGTAACAAATGGCCAGAAGCGGCTGTCAATGGCGGCGTAATGTCGGTTTCTTGGCTGGCAGCGCTCACGCAACAGGATGAAAGCCCTGGCCCAGATGTCAATAAATGACAGGTTCGGATGAAGATGGAAGAAGCTTTGAACAAGTCCAGGTGGTGGGTCGTGTGGACTCATGTGGACTCCAAGCCCCGGTCTTGCCAATGATGCGACAGAAGCAGGCTGAACGTTTGAACTTGGTTTGAACTCGAGTCTTCCGCCGTGTTTCAGAACTGGGATTGACGACCTTTCCAGCATACGACAACACCATCATCTCCTCATTGAAGATGTGGCAGCACGCTCCCCGCGTGCTTTATACAACCCCTCGTGCACCAGCGTGACTAGTTCATATACACATATTAGCACATATTCGACCGCGCTATGATTGCTCGCTGTTCCTGCCTGTCTCTCCTGCTGTCGCTGTCAGCACCTGTCAGATGCGGGGCGCCCGCTCGAGGTCGGACAGGGTCGGACGTGGTCAGGCACAATCTGGTGCGTGTATAATGCACAGGCCCCGAGCATGATACGCAACTTGCTTCCGAAAACGCGCCAGCGTGCATTAGCACATTGTTAGATTCGAGATAGATGATCTGTTTCTGAGCTTACGAAACGAATGAGCGTATAAGGATTAGCGTTCGGGTGGCGTTCGGGTGCGGGCCCGACATTATTGTCTTGGCAACCTCCTCCGGCGTCCACGCGAACGAGAACACTTCAGGTCACTACCTATTATAACCGTACCACTGTTTCATATGTACAAGGTGCCGAAAGCCTAACACGAGACAAGTCAACATGCCGGTGTATTGGGGAATGTGGAGAACGCACATTAAAGATCTCATGCCATGCATATGATGCAGGAGTTCTTGGGACAGCAGGCTGCTGACGAGACCAACGCGGCTTGCAACGTCGTTCAACGTGCGGGGCCGGCACATCGAATCAGTACACAGCAGCTGGATACAAAGGCTCCAGCCAGCCGCCTCTGCATGTCAGACACGCGTTGAATATCACCGTGCAACCCGAGTTTCAGCTGTCCTCGGGCTCGTTTTCGAGATCTCGGAGAGATGCACCAGTTCGGAGCATGTGTGTTTCACACTGGTATGTTAGTCGAATTAGTAGGAAACAGTCCAACTTGAAGACACATCATCTCACCATGTCCTACCGGCCCCACCGGGATTCAACTCGCTGACAGAGTCCTGTCGCTGCCAATCTGTGCGCGCTGCCACCGTCCTTCGAAGCTTCAATCTCTGCTACTGCAAGCTCGGATAAGTCAGTGGCAGTAAGTAAGCCGAGGTAAGCCGCATCTGGCACACACATTGCACAACGCAGTCTAAACCAAAAGGGCATCGATCGGTCTTGCGTGTAATGTGCCTAATGACCGACGTCCTGTGGACGATCGAAGTTTTGTCGAACGATGCTTACCATCACAGAAAGTGCGGCCGGACAATCGACCACTGTGGCTGTTGTCAGAATAGGGTTGACCTTATCATGCATTCTGAGAAATTACATTAATATACGAGCTCTTGTAAATTATACCGGAAGTCTGCAGAACTCGAATCGCGCGTGCAAGGCACTGTGAGGTTCGAGATCGAATTGTAAAGCCATGTGAGATATTGTCTAAATGGGGTGCCATTTGGCAAGGCATCAAGTTAGCTTGTCATCGTCACTATATTTATGTCGCTGCCTTGCCAGAATCGTATATGTTTGATACCCGAGTACAATACTACTCACACTCTGACCAAGAGGCGTGCGTTAGCGCGAAACGAAACACCGACTAATCTTTGGAGCCACCGCATATAGCAGGTGGCTTCTCAGGTGCTCCACTTTCGCGAGTTGCCCATAATCGACGTTAGAAAGTGCACAAGTCGTTATTCATCATCTAAAATATAACCGTAATGTACATGGGGTTATGGTAATAAACATGAATCTATCAGAATATGTAATCTAATCGATATGTTGCCACCAAAAAAAACGAACCCGGGCGGCATCAAGGTATGGAGGCCGGAAAAGTCGTTGCACGTGACCCAGACGCGATCGTAGTAAACGATATCGACCGTCTTCTTTGCATTCCTCGCTGCACCACCCCATCAACGGCTGTCATCCACTCCTCTCTTCATCCATCCACCCCTCAACACTCCTTTCAAGTCCTCAAACCACTCTCAAGTTGTCCAAAAGACTCAATATGAGGTACGAAAAGCAGTCTTTTCATTGACCAGCTACTCATATATGGATGTAGCGACATCCCGCCGTCAGAACATTGGAACGACTGGTTCGACGTCGGCCAGGTGTACCCGAGTCCGTCGATCCCCGGCTACGACTATCTGAGGTATGAGTCTCTCTTCGAATGAGTTTTGATGACCAAAACTTACGCATATATCTGCTTTCAGCGATGTCCCTGCCGACTACCGGCCCTGGTTCAATATCGGGCCCATTCACGACGACCAAAATGTCGACAACGTCTTTCAAGGTGACGATCTGGACGACCGCCGATCGGAGGCTTCAAACGACTCACGCAATGATCGGGTCGCAGACGTCCTCACAGAGCTTGGCTCGGACAATGAAGAACCCGACCCGGACCGTATGCTCGCTGTCAACACCACCGATGCACTACTCTGGCTATACGAAAACGGCTACCTCCACGACCGAGCTGGCCCCAGGCGCCGAGAGGTTCAATGCCCCGAGTGCAACAACTGGATCCAGACGTGTCTGGCACCCTCGGACCCCACGTTCTCTGTCCCAGGGCATCTGCACTCGCTTGCCCAGCACAGAGGCAGCCGCAGCTGCCGCCCCAGCTCTCGCGCCAACACCTCCAGCTTGACCCCTCAGAGCTCTGTTGGAGTCCTGGCGGCCAATCATGTTGCTACTGCAGCACGCGTCAGCCAGTTCTCGTCGATGGCCTCGCTCTCGTCTACCACCAGCTCGGCCTCAAGTTCCCTCATTCTCCGCCTTCCTGGCCCACCACCACCTCTTCCGGACGGCTGCCAAGGGTGTCCCATCTCTTGGGACGTCCCTGGTGGCTCGTTCCTCGAAACCTTCCCAGTCGGCCGGTTCTCAGACGGTCACGGCGCTTTGCCGTTCACCCTGGAGATGCCCACCTTCGACAATCCCAAGGGGCGAGCCAAGACTTGTCAACAACAGCTCGCCACCACCGACCCCTGCTCCGAGTGTGCGGCTATCCATAAGGAGGTGGACCGACTTCGCCCAATGGCTGTCAGCGCGGCTCCTCATACCCGCTATCAGCTTCTCAGCATGCTTCAGCTCGGCTCGCTCGCTCGCTCGCTGCGAGCCCAGATCAATGACCTCAAGCTCAATGTAAGTACCTTCTTTGCTGTTTTATATCTCGTGCTAATATTTGAGTCTTGCAGTCGCTCAACAACACTCGCCGAATCGGCAACACGCTCGCGCGCCTCGACACCTTCAACGTGCTCTTGATGGCCCTGGCCAAGCATGATGTGCCACGCGTGCACCAGCTCATCAGCGCAGCCCGCCGTCATGGTGACAGCCTGCACACCATCCTCAACCGTGTCGGGGAGGCCATCAAGACCGTGTACAGACCCCGTGGCTATGCCAAGGAAGATCTCGAGATGGCTAACCTCATCTATCGCCTCGGCGGTGAGCAGCTCTCTGTAGCTCTCAACCGGCGTCTCGGACTCCCCTCCCGCCGCACTCTCATTCGCAACGGCACCTTCATCAACATCAACGCGACGATTGGTGCCATCCAGCAGTCCGACTTTATCACCAACATCCGGAACGCAATCCTTTCTGCATCTACGACGCCCGCCTTTTCGGGCCATACCGTTTGCATTGACGAGATCGCGTTGCAGGAGAAGGCCGACTTCGACAGCAAGTCGCAACGTGTTGTTGGCATCTGTCATCAGCACGCTGACGCCGTCAACCTCACCATCAGAGACGCCGAGTCCGCCATCCGCATAGCCGAGAGCCTTTCTGGAGAGGAGTGTCATCTGGGCAAGGAAGCGACAGTCATCGCGATCACCACCTGGGGCAACGATTCAATCCACCCTGTACTCGCTGCAGCTTCGTGCAAATCCGAAACGCCGGCTCAGATCGCCGCCATCATCAAGGACGCAATCCGCAGCTGGAGTGACTCTGGCGCCAAGCACAAGCTCGGGCCCATCTGGTCTGTTGCTACAGACGGGGATGCCACCCGGCGTCGTGGATTTCACGACGAGTTTCTCAAGCACAAAATTAACGAGCTCGCCGAAATCAGCCAGCTTTCCATCCCTTTTGGTGATGTTCGCTTGCTCCCGGGGCTGAACTGTTTCGTTGGCGACGAGTGCGTCACCCTCGACTTTGACCCCAAGCACATATTCAAGCGTAAGTTTTTCTATTTCACATTCATTATGCATTGCTTATAATTAAACTAGGACTTTGTACGTTTTTGCGTAGCCCGAAGGGTATCACGCTGAATGGTGGCTGTGTCATCAATCCGGGCACGCTCGCCATTTATCTCTGTTGACTTCCCAACGAGACCGAGCAGAGCGTGGCACGGCTCCTGTACCCCGACGATCCGCAAGACGTCCCACGTGCCATCAAACTCCTCCGTGCCATCATTTCTCTTGCAGACATACAACCTCCCCCAAATGACCTTCAAGCAGCTGCAGATCTCGACGCGATTCGCCTCCTCAGCGCTCTCTTCAAATTTCTTCTTGACGCCTTCACTGACACTTCGTTTTCGCTCTCTCAGCAAGTCTCGTCTCTCTCCGCTTTTGCCCATCTTGCATTTTCTCTTTTTCGCCAGCATCGTCGCCAGTTCTCTCCCTATCCGCTGTACTACGACTATCAATCCATGGTCAAGAACTTCATCTTTTGTATCATCAAGCAGTCTCTTCTGGACCCTTCTCGCTCTATTTGGATTGGTGACACTGGTGACGACAAGCTCGAGGGCCTCTTCGCCTATCTCCGCATGCTCGGCAGCCACGACTTGGCAATGAGCCTTGTCCAGCTCGAAAGTCGCCTTGGTGCTGCGTGCGACATCAAGTCAACGTTCGATTCACACCCGGAGCTAGTTGCAGGCGCTCGTCGGCTGCAGTTTGGTCGGATCGAGGCATCTGATCATCTACGCCGTCGTCACTGGACTGGTGACCTCACGCCGGCCAGCTGTAATCTCCCCGCATCTTGGCATCACGGTCGTTCACGCGCCGCTGCTATTCTTTCCATCTCTCAAGTCCCATTCAGGTTCTACGACTAAGACAACTTGCTCAAGACTCGCGATGTCGACTTCCTGCGTCCATTCGGCAACAACAAGTACTACGGCATCGGATCTGACGATGCTGCTGATGAGCCCACCGATACTCCTCCTCCTCCTCCTACCTTGACCATGCCCCCCACTCCCTCTGGTGACGACGAAGACGGCGAGGCTGACGGCTTCGTCACCCCGGGCCAAGAGTTCGAGCAGGCGATTGGTGATATGGTCTCTGATGAGGCTATTGATCCGGATGCTTGCCCAGACAGCTCATCTGCTGCTGACTGCATGCTCTCGCTTCCCACCGGCCCTGGGATCCGCCCACTCGACTGGTGCGTGTACAATGGCAACCACGTTCACAAAGCCTCGGTTGTCCGCCTCGTCATCAATTGGTATTTTGATCCCAAGTCACGCAATCGCCTCGAACGCTGTGGATCCTTCACCAGAACGAAACCGAGGTCCCTGCTCAGTACACCCATATCTGCCTCTCCCAATGACACGTTCCTCCACGGCAACCTATTCTTTTGCCTTGCACGAACAGGGTCTTTTTTTACAGTCGCTCTCGCACGCTCCACTGCCATCATCCGAGAACGGTACACCGTGCCCTCTATCACATATGGGGCTATGGCAGACCCCAAGTACCGACTCGAGGGCCAGGTCTTTCGCCTTTGTCCCATTGCTGTCACCACCACCACCGGCCCAGTCATCAACTGGTACTGGACCGGCGAGTACGTCACCGAGGACACCACTGCCCATGGCAGCACCGATATTACGGAGAAGGCTGCGGTTGTGTCGTCACTGGGGTCCCTCGTCGAGCCAGCAAATCCCATCCTCGCCACATTCGACGAGCGCCCACACCTCAACCGCTCCGCGTTCCCAGCCCTCCCAAGCTCCGCCAGCTTCACTTGGGAAATTCCCCACGAAACGCTGAGTGCTGCCTTTTCGAAGGTGTACCAGCGTTTCGTGGAGGCCAACCTCCCCAATGTTAGGAACCGAAGGTTCCAGTCCACCGCGTCAGGGTTAGTGCTACCGACAGAAGCACAACCGAAGCGTCCAGTATGGAATGCTGGTGAGATATACTCGAACCAGCGTTCCTCGTCTCGCTTCCCTCACTCGTTATGCACCACACCGAGTGAGGGTAAGCACGCTTTCGTCTATGATACATGACCACGACGCTCACATTGTTCTGTACCTAGTCTAACATATCATAGGTACAGAATACACTCGTTATGCACCACACCGAGTGAGGTCTAACATATCATAGTTTTAACAGGTTATGAGCGCCCTGCGTTTCTTTTGATCCAGACCTGGTGCTAGAGTCCCTGCTTGACCCGCAGGACCACCTTTTGTGTCCTTGTTCTTGTTGCTCTCCACATGTCTTCTCGTCGAAGTCGCGGTACTTCTCCCAGCGGCTCATCCATGGATTTGACGTCTGTCTATAACAGCAGCCCGTATTTGCCCTTACGTTCCATTCCCCGACCCAGTTCTTTATCCTCTCGTCAACAACTCCCTGCCAATTTCTCTCGTCGCATCCACATTCGCCGCCCTTCCTCCCGTAGCTCGTATCGTACCGCCGACGCGGGCTCTGAGAACTCCGAGGGAACCCCACCTCCCATTTCCCCTCCTCGGCGTTCTCGTACACCGCTTCTCGACTCCCCACCTTGGCGTTCTCGCCCTGCCCGTCAGGCCCCTCCCCACATCTCCGAGCCTGACGCTCCCTCCGTTTCTCAAGGCCGTGTCCGCCATTGCATCGATGAACCCATCCCGCAACAATTCACTCCTTTGCAGCACCCTGCTCCAGTCGATCCCATTGCCCCCTTGCAGCCATCTTTTCCTCTCCAACAGTCTCTCCCTCAGCAGTTCCCCCAACAGCAATTCTTCCCTCCGCAGCAGCTTCTCCCGCAACAGCCTTCTTTCTCAGCACAGCAGTTCCCCCAGCAGAATTTCTTTCCCTTCGCGCAGTATCCTTTCCCGTATTCCATGCCCTATTCGGCCTTTGCATTCCAACAACCTATGCATCCACCGGCACCACAGTATACCACTGCGCCCGTCCCCGAGCCCGTGCCTGCCCACTTTGCGGCTCCCGCATCCGCTCCTGCGCCTGCACCGGCGCCTGCACCAGCACCGGCACCGGCGCCGGCACCAGCACCTGCTCCCGCCCCTGCCCCAGCAGCGGCGTTAGCATACGCTGTACCGCCTCCTCTGGGAGTTCTGCCTCGCGGCCTCGGCCCTCGCGCATATCTTCTACCACCCCGCCCTGGAAAGCTCTCGAACGTCAGGATCGAGCTCCACCACGCTGCCGCTATCCCGGTCCTCGATCGCTCCAAAGGGAACTGGCTGCCGTTCAGTATTGCATTCCAAAACTTCTTGCGGATGCATAACATTGACGGCTTCTTTGATGGCCTCTATCCCGTACCGGACGCCGCTACGCCATACGATGACGCCGTCACTTGGGGACAACTGAACAATGCCATTTTTGGCTTGCTCATGGAGAAACTGGCGCCCGAGGAGCGTCAGTATATCGCCACCGAGGAGACCTGCATGGCTGCTTACTCGATCCTACGGGATCGTCATGAGAAACTTGCCCCACTCATGGAGGTTGAGCTGTGGCAGAAACTCTTCAGCACCTTCTTTGCTCGGAGTGATCGCCTTGACACCACGATCAAATGGATTCGGGAGACATGCCATTCCTTGCTTCTGATGGGCCCTCTCTCCGAGGAGAAGCTCATGGCCATCATTCTCATGAACGCACTGACGCGCGACTTCGGTCACATCAAACACGATGTCGCGACGCTGCTGTCTGATGCTGGGTCTCACGCTGATTTCTCTACAGCTCTGACTCGGATCCTCCGTCGCATCGAGACGGAGCAGAGTGCTCTTGACATTGATCGTCGCGATCCGGAGGCCGCTTTAGCTGCCCGCTTGCCTGGTGGCCGACCGTTTCCTCCGTGTCGGACTTGTGGTGGGCGTCACCCTACCGACCGCTGCTGGCAGCCAGGCGGTGCTCTCGAGGGACGCCGCCCTGAGGCGCCTGACTCACGCCGTCCTCGGGCATTCGCACCCTCCTCCACGCGTGCTAACGCACCCCCTCGGAAGCTGTACTTCTTTGACGATGCATCTCAGGCCTACTTGCCTGAGTACTCTGAGGACTCCGAGTACACGTCCATCGCTGCCGACCAGCTCACTGACGACCAAATCGCTGCGATTGATGTCGATGCTAACGTTCAAGAACATCAGTCATACTTTCTCAACTCCGAGGAGCTTCGCGCTTCTGTTGACTGGTCTTCTCTGTCGTCGATGCCTCCTGTCACTGCTCTTATTGCGTCGACCGCCCTCAACCAGCATGCGCCCACCATTGTTGATCCCAACGTTGTCCCTTTTTACTTGGACTCCGGCGCATCGGCACACATTTCCAGTGATGCCGCTGACTTCTTTCAGCTCACACGTATTTCTCCGCGCGAAGTCCACGGCGTCGGAGGGACTAGTATCCATGCAGAAGGGATTGGGAAGATTCGTCTCTCCTTCGGAAAAGGGCTTCATGTCGATCTAGACAACGCACTGTACATTCCGGCAGCTTCCGTCCGTCTTGTCTCGATCTCGTCGCTCGCTCGCTCGTCCAAGTTTAGATCCACTTTTGACGATGCTAATTGCCTCATCCGCAATCCTAGCGGTGCTATTGTCATGCGCGGATCGCTCACGCGAACCAACCACCAGTGGCAGATGATTAGACCCTAATAAAATGGATTAACCCACAAATGGCTTTTCCAAAGACTGTGGTTCTTAGGTATCCCTGCAGGCTGGTCCCCCTGCCGTTGGTTATGGTTTCATCCATGTGCTACTTGTAGTTCTTCTGTCACCCGGTCTGTTGGCCTCTTTTCGTCAACCTGTGGTTTTAATCACAATGGTATCACTAAGGTAGTTATTTCTCACGCATTGCAGGAGTTGATGTTTCGCGCTTTGTTATGTTGAGTCAATCTATTTCAGGCCATCATAATGAACATAAACCCATCATCGATTGTCTATGTTTAGCTATTCTGATCGCTACGCTCTGCCGCTTCCGCCGCTTCCTTCCCCGCCGCTTCCCGCACTTCCCGCGCTGCCCCTTCTGCTGCTCCCTGCCGCGCCGCTTCCCGCGCCGCCGCGTCGCCTCCCCGCGTTGCTCCTGGCGGCGTCGCGCATTGCTCCTCCACATCCGAATCAACGTCGGGATGTCCTCCGACCGTCGTCAAACTTGCCGCCTCTTCGAAGCCCCATTTACGCTCCCACAAGCGCGTAAACTCTTCTCGAAGCCGGCGCTGTTGGCGGGCTTGACGAAGAGCATGAGCATGCACACCTTCGGCCAAAGCCTGCCGCGTCAGAACCTTCTCGTTAGACTGAGACGAGAACCCCCATGCACGGCCATCAGGATGTCCCGGTGAGTCTGTCGAATCTTCTGTCGCTGCTGATGTCGCCGATGTTGTTGCGATGGGGTCAGGATCATTCAGGACCGCGCGCCCTTCCCACCAACACGCTTTGTGTTCCAGGTACACCCGCACCCGCCTCATTTCCTCCTTCAGTAAGCTGACTTCCTCTTCCCATCGTTTTGTACGCTCGGATGCCTTTAGCCACTCGACACGGAGACCTTATAACGTTCATGGTGAGTTTTCGAAACATACAAAACCGGCTGTGTTACCTTCTGTATCATCTAGCCCCTTCTCGGTATCGGAGCCATCGCCCCGTTTTGCCGTCCATATCCACGAGACGGTTCGATGCCCTTCCCCTAATCCCTTCTTCATCTCACGTGCTCGACGTGATGGCGTGCTGGGTTCAATCTCGGGCTCGCGAAGAGCGCGAATATCTTTGGAGTGGAGCGGCTGTAAACGAAAGCGGGATAGGTCTGGCCCTTCGAGGGATTCAAGCGCCTTGAGGGCCTTATCGTACTTGGTACGTTCAGCCTGGATCTTCCTCTCATAGTCGCTAATGAGTCTGTAAGCGCGCGTCATCGCACGCTGTCCTCGAGAGTGGAGCTTTTGGTGAGTCGAGAAATGGTACTTGGTTTGCAGGAGGCCCCGAATCTTATTTAGCGACGAGTAGCACTCCCATTGTCGAAGCTTGCTTTCGGCCTTTTCAACGTCGTGAGTGCATATGCTGCGCTCTTCGGGGCTAAGTCCCGAGGGGAGCCAGAGACGTTCATCCTCCCAGCTACATCCCGAGGTTGTTCCATCGAGACGTTCGTGTTGCTTGATCAGTGCCTCGATTCCCGGCATGTAAACGGTCTGTACTTCTCGAAGTTTTACTATGTCGCCGCGGAGGTTCACTCGGCGGAGCTCGATCTGGGCGCGAGCTTCGGCTGTCAGCTCTTTCACACGTTTCATGTCCGAGCTAAGGCGGCGTCTATACATGCACGTCAGACCTGGGTCGCCGCGCATTAAATGATAAAAAATACGTACTGTTTGTCTTCGATGCTCATAGCCATTTTTATGAAATTGCTAGGCAACATATCGTGCGGCAAGAATGTAATGCTTTTCTCTGAATCCGCTAGCTGTGCACGAATCTCAGACTCTGAAATATCTGCTGATCCATGAGTATACTGCCAGTGCTGGGCTGGAGACAATACTTACCGCCTTGCGTGTGTAGGAACGGATTTGATTTGGTCTTGTCGTTCTGCCATGCGACCTTCATCGCTGTCCACTCTGATCGGACAGATTCTTCGATAGACTCGTCAAAGACGAGCAGGGCGTCTCTATGAATCGAGTGCGCCTCCGTTGCGAGAAGTAATCGGCCCCGAAGCGTCTTCCCTAAAGTGTAGTATTTTCGTAGGTTGTGTGAGGTGAATACAATGTTGAGGGTGTCGTGCCGAAACCCGAGTGTCATTTCCTTGGTGCTGTTACTGGCGAGATTGAATTCCGCCCATCCACGCTCGATGCCCTCCCCATCAGTGCGACCAGCCCCAGCTATAAGGTTGAGAGAATGTTCGGTGGCGCATTTCTGATTATGGCCCGGGGCATGAAACTTGGGAATGCCAAAGACGAGAATCTGAGCCATCATCACTATCGATACTTGCATCTCGGGGGGCAGGGAATCCATTCGCTTGAAAAGGTTTATTTTCCACTGACAGGCTATGTCATAGGATATCACGACGAGAAGGAGTAGTAGGCGTGCAAAGACAGAGATGAATATATAGTCCATGTTGCAGTTACTGTGTACTACGGTCAGACAGTCTACAATGGACATGATAAGAACATACCGTTCGCCAGCCTGCAGATCGCCGACCCCCAGGGCTAGGGTGAACTCATGACGCGCGCACATGACCATGCCGACGCCCGTCGCTTGTAGACCTTTCGAAAGCTTGGAATTTACGCCTGACATCGCTCGGAAACTACTGCATGTAGACGTCTGAGCGTGACAATATGTTAGATCAGCTCATCTCCAAACCACACTCAAGACAAGAGTGGCTCACATCTTTCTGACTCTGATAACCTCGAACGTAGTCCATGTATGGCTCCGTCTTTACGAAGTATGCTAACCCATTGAATAGCTCAATATCGGACGGCGATCCGCCACGATCGCGGTTCTTCAACCAAAAATTTGCGTCCATGGCGAGAAAAAGACAATACAGAAACCTACTAGCAATTAGTCCGGTGATAAAATCATGAATAAAGCTTATGCACCCACTTTTGAGACGGGTCGGCGTTCTCCCAACCCTCGGGCAGATTTATGTTCGGATGTGGACATGCAGGGCAGGCGACGGCGAGCTCACCCGGACCTGTAGTTTCTATTCCATTGGCTACATTACCGCGACCAGCCTCCTTCACGAGGCTTATGTATCCATGCTGACGAAGAACACGAAGGAATGCTTTATAGTGACTCTAGAGGCGTCCATCAATGTTAGACAGAGATTTAAAAAAAAGCCCAAGAAGGTAGACGTACCGGTGGTACATCAAGTCCGAGGGGGTCTGTAAGATTCTCGAGGGCCTGATAATAACCGTGCGGAGATACCTTTGTTCGAGACATAAGGGCTGAATACTGCGCCAGGGCTTCCTCTGTACAGGCGGTCTCGGGCGTGTCGACAGTGGAAGGGTACCAACCGTATCTTAGAAGCTGTTGACGATGGGGAATCTTCTTATCGCAGCCGCAAAAATTAACGGAGACGCGGTGTATACCATTTGTGTGAATTACGACGAATTTTGCATGTCCGGCCTGTCGTAAGATGCACTTGCTCCCGTCTTCGTGACCCATATTAACCAGTAGATCGAGAGACTTGAGCGAAACTCGCTCGAAGAATGAGCCATTCCATCTCTGCGTCAAGTTCTTGTTACGTCTACACTGGAGGGTTCGTGTATATGCACATACCTGAATGAAATGCAGAGGCAGATGCTGATGAGCTGCGACACAGCATTCTCTACACAACATTTGTCGGCCTCCACAGCTCTCGCAGCGGTACTCTCTGACTCTGCCACTCTGGCAATGACACGGGAAAGCGGCCGCATTTCCGCGACCCTCCGATCGTATGTATTCGCCGAGATACTCGTCACGATATCCTGGGCGCTCGGAACCGCCGACCCACACCAGAAGAGGAGTATCCTATGTTGTGGTAAGCATCTATATCTCCCATGTTGCGACGCACTAAACGAACCGACGACAAGTAATGTTTTCTTGGGACCGAAGTCACGACCACATGGTCGCTTGCCTTTGGCTCTGCCGTCTCTGAGCCGGTGTCTAAGTCCAAGGGTCGATCTTCGTCGTCCTCTGGGTCCATCGCGTCCATGTAAGGTTCCCAGTCATCTGACATCCGGTATAGCTGCTCTCCATCGCCCTCGTCGCTCTCCTTATGCTCGGACCTTGGCAGGTCTCTGATAAAATCGACTTTGACGCGTCTGCCGTCTCTTGACACGTCCTCTACTCGCGCATATGTCTTCCTTAGTCTAGGATCATCGTCTTCGTTATCCTCAAGGTGGTTGTAGTCTTCACACTGTCGACGTTTCCTTCTGTTCATAGGTGCGAATAATGAGCAAAATTAGCGGGTGCTCATACTCTGCACGCCTGTTCCCTCTGTCAATGAGTACATCGGCCCAGTTAGGTACACTAACTTCTTCGATTTCTAGCCAGATCTCCGCCGCCTAATCCAGCGCCCGCAGTCTTCGTAGCTTCTTTCCAAGCGCATCAAAGGGTACTTTGAGGCGACGCTACACATGCTGTTTCATTCCCGGAAGAAGAACCTGAAGCTTCTTTGCAAGCGCATCAAAGCGTTCTCCGAGGCGAATTCTTACACGCGCTGTTCTATTCTCGGACGTGAGGCCTTCAATTATCCCGGATCCAGATCCGTTGATATTTCAAGTACCCGCTTCTGCAAAAGCGTCGTCGGGCGCAGATCGGCCTGCGCACCTATAAAACGATAAGGGAAGTCGCTCGTCACCTCAGTTCCTCCTCTTGTCGCCATGTCCCATACACCCTACCCGCACTCCTCATACCCGCGCTCCCCTTATCCGCGCTCCCCATACCCGCGCTCCCCTCCCAACTCGCCGGCCTCTGGCTCGGGTTTTGTTGACGTCCCTGCTCCTGTGTCCCCCGACAACGCGGCCCCTTCGTCCACTGGCGTCGCACCTCCTTCGTCCGGCACTGAATCTCCCATACCTACTCAGCCTACCCAACATCACCCTCCCTCGTCATTCCCAGCTCAACCCTCTCCCTCCGATCCCCTGCAGGCCTTTGCGTTTCTGAGCAAGAAGCCCGCGTACGCGGTCGACTTCAACGTCGGTCACTTCAATATCCATATGCAAGGTAGCGGCACCAACTCCGAAATCGTCACCGCCTGTGTCCGACGATGCTGTTGTAAGTCTATGTCTGTCGTATTCACCGCAAACGTCGGCTCACAATACACTCAGTGGACCTCATTTCAGAGACCGTTGCAGAGCTCTTCGTCAACTCTCCTGACTATCGCGTTGATTTTCAGGAGATGGTCCAAGCGGCGGTTCGCAAGGAGGTCCTCAACATCTACAATGACAAGAACTTCACAAGGTATGTATCTCTAGTTTCGCTAAACTGTACTAGTATACCTCACTAACGTCTTATTTGTCTATTTCCTTTCATTTGTAGGTTTTTCCAGCAGTGCGCTGGGCAGGAGATACATCGACAGAACGAGCTGGCTCGAGCGCGGGTCGCTGCCGCCAATAGCGCGCGCAGTCGAAGCGATGGTGAAATCGTCGAAGAGGTACGTAGTTTTTACTCGTCTAATCCGGCTCAATATTCACTGCTCATTGTTTCCCAGCAGTTTTCCCACCTCCCCACCAATACTCGTGCTGCCTCCGGTCCTCGCTCGCAGAACGTCGAATACACTAAGGTTCGTGGAGTGAATGAGGATCGCCTCCCGTTCGGTGTAATCCCGCCGGACGGCATCATCAACCGCAACCTCAACGCTGCTTTCCGAGCGTTGGTTGCGGACCTGCCTCTTAGGTCCGTGAAGCTCTCGCCGTCAGTCGTGGCAACGTACATTACTCCGCATGCTACTTCCGCGCCGCCATACTATTGGGTCCCATATGGCTATGCAATTGGTGTCTTCTCGAACGCGTGAGTCTTGATACGCTCTGTTTGCAGAACCATTCTAACGTAATTTATTCAGGGATATATATCACAGTCTGTGGTCTGGCGGTCGAGGGTCCGTGGGGCACCAGGTATTTTCGCTCGAGGAAGCCCTCGACGCCATGGATAATGCACTACGGGAGGGCTACTTCGGGCTTATCCGCTAGTTGACTTGTTGTCGCCGTAAATTGTATACATCCGTAGAAAGCTTGGCATTTCATGTTACTATCATCTTGAGCTCATGTATCACTATCTACTTGTCGCGTGTTTCTTTTTTGAATGTCATTAAAACACCTTTTGTCCTAATTCTGTGCGACTATTCACCAGATACCAATGACATCAGATACTTCTCTTTTATGATGTTGATTGAGTGTTGAGCGGTTCACAAGCGGATGCTCACGTAGATCTGAGGTGTAGAAACTGAACAACGCGGTCAAAACACAGACGCGGAAAGACAAGGTCTTGTTATATATGTCATATAGTCACCTAAACAACACTGCGTTCATTATTAAGGTAGAGTAAGCACACATCGTAACAAGCGATGACACAAAGAGAGCTCAGCCCAGACATAGAAACTCGAAGTCTGAGGTGCAACGATGGCAATCTGCGAGTATACCGTGACATAAACAAGGAACTAGATAGATAGCAAGTGCAAGCCCTACACTACATGGCTTAAATGTACGAGAATGAGAAGAACCAAAAGAATAAGACTTACTGACGCAGAGCCAGCGATAATGCACACGAAATGGGTATAATCAGCAACGAACACAAGCAAACGTTGACGAGCGTCGGCCGACGTGTGGTATCTCCGTCAAGAGGTTTGTAACTCCTGCATAAGGAGCAGTGTGAATACGATTGTTGCGCTTGACTCCAAGCAAACCCCGAATGAGGTGCGCAATAGTACGTGGCAAGTGGGCTATAGCGGTATGGCTAGATGCAACGGGCCAGTTCAACAATATTTCATATAGTACGTAGTCCTGACATGTTATAGCTAGTTAGCTTCATGAAATGTATATAAGCGTCTAGATCTCGTCTTGCATAATGTACGTATACGTAGATGGCACTCGGCTCAGGTTCTGATCTATAATATACTACGTTATTCTACGCCGTACGGCTGCTTGTATGAAACCACAGTAATGATGGTACTTTAAGTCTGAGATATAGCTAGTACTCTAGTATCGATCTATAATTTACTACACTGATATCATGCGGCGGTCAGTATGAACCCACAGTTAGTACGATAGTACCTTATGCCTTGAGCTTATGTCTGAGATCTCGTTTCTGGATTCACGCATGGCGGGGAGATCAGGGTAATCTGCTTGATTTAGAACTAAATAGAATGTATATGCGCAGCTGGAAGAACTGCAGTCCACTGGGTGAGAACTAAACGGGATGTATATATATGTGCATTAACTGTAAGAACTTTACACTAGGTGACTCGAATTCGTTCAAACCTATACATACAGGTTGGTTCAATCGACCTCGTTTCATAAATGGGTCTATAGCTAGGTACTACTAACTACCGGTGTAGATCACAGTCTATTTAGAGCGCTTGACCAAGTTTAAGGCAGCGCACGAGATCCGGCGCTGCCAGGGTTTTTGTTCAAGAACAATCCAATGTGTTCAGCTTGTCCTCAAGTACTCAGCGCAGCACTCAGCGTCTACACCTAAGTCCTCAACTTTATTCTGGTAACCCTAGTACAGCGTGCGTGTAAGCTGCCCTCCGAAACATTCTTACCCAATGCTAATACACATGCACGTCGAGGTCTCAATGAATTAAGGTGAAGTCTACTGATACTATCCGTGTTGTCTCCAGTCAATTCTGCTTTTGTCACGCTGATACATTTCACTGAAATACTTCGTAGAGCTCTCATACGAAGAGCGCCCGTATAGTTCGTCCAAGATCTACCAAAACGGATAGACTATATCCGCGAACGGGGATTTGAGGATCTGGACTTACGCCTTATATAAATCCAACCCCCTACTCTAGCGCCGTCCCCCTGCTTTCCTTCTTACCCCTACATGCCTCCTACCTCCGAGTCAAACACCACCGAGGACTTCTTCTCCGACCTTCAGGTTGGGAAATGGACCTCTGCTGCCATCGAAGCCAGGCGCGAATGGGACCGGTTGAGGGTCCAGGAGCAGCTCAGCGGCTACAAAACGTTTGTGTATCCTCGTATTCTGCCCAGTACTAGCTGATTATTTCCTCAGGCAGCAAGCGGTTGTAATCCGAGAGCAACTCCGAAACGACGAAAACCGTCGCAAGGGAGAGCCTCTGCGTCCGGTCGTGTTTGTCGACGAGCTGGTCTGCCTCACAGCTACGTTATCGTACGCTGACTGGGACGATATGGACAACGATGACCATTTCCGACTGTAAGTGTATTTTTTCCAGTTTTCCCTCCCGCTATTTCTGAACGTGTTCAAGGTGGACCGTCCGTGGCTGCGAGGACGCTACGTATCATCTCGAATCCCTTACCATGCAGCTGGTATCGGATAGAACGCCATTCGAGCTCGGTTCCCTCGAGTTTCTCCGCTGGCAATTGGCGATAGAGCGAGGTGTGGAGGAGGGAAAGTTTGTCCTGGAGGAGTTGAAGTACACGGTGAACTGCCTTCTTGGCTACCATAATCGCATTCATCGTGTGCAGCACGCGCTACGCCAGCTTGTCGGCGACGACTCAACAGAATGGCGTGAAACAGATAGGGTCGGATGTTTGATGACAAAGTATGTTGCTATAGTCCGGGACTTACTGAACCATTTGTACGGTGGGACGGTCGACATTTTCGACTCACTACTAAGCGATCTATTACTGTACAAATCTGAACCTCATTAGTTACATGATGTTGTACTGCCGTACGCGCAACTCGACTATTGAAGCTTTTCTCGTATTGGATACTTAGCCGCGCGAGATAGTCGAGAATAAAAAATTGACAGAAGTGCCTTGTTCGCCTCGAGCTGAGCCTATAATTAGATCGAACATTGAAGCTGAAGTGCTGAAGGTTCGGAGCTTCGAAGGTTCATATTTGGGTTCTCGATATATATGTCCTACATGTGGAAGCTTGTAACCTTCGCTGTCCTTGCGTCAAAATAGAAGGAGCTGGAGTTCGAACATTCAAGCATTGACTTAGATCAGTGCCATATATATCATCCAATCAAGCTCATTCAATCCGGCCAATAACAAGGCAGTGATATTCTTCACTCGGTTGCCTATTGCTAGAAATAGACAGCCGATAATTTTAAGTAAGTAGGCAGCCATACCGGTATTATCTCATAACTCCGTATATACGCAAGAGCTCGAACGCTCAGAGGGAACCCAATCATATTAGTGATCGTAGTTATAGCCGCGGGACAGTGATCCGAGTTACATCAAGCCTGATTATTCGGTTTCTTAGATAGAAGCAAGAACCTTAGGACGGACAAGAGTATTACATAGGATTCTCGTAATGGTAGTTGCAGTTAATTAGAAGCCATCCCTTTATCGAAGCCGTCTGAACATACATACATGCATATGGATAGGCCACTTCTTTCCTGAGTCAGACAGAGGTAACGTGAAAATTTGCTATCCAATCAACCAATCGGATACAGGGTTGTATTGCCGTGATGAACACAAGGAAGATGGACTTCGTGCGCCGCCGTGCGCCGCCGAGTGTATGGCGTAGAAAATTGGCGAAAGACGCAAACTATCAGAGTGATTCAGAGTTTGAGAAGTTGACTCAGACAAGTCAGTCGCATGATTCATTCAAGTAACAAAAGACTTCTTTCTGCATTATGATATTTCGTACATGCGGTGATCAATAACAAGATTTATTCGAATGACAAGACTTGTACGTGAGACGACGTCTTAGACCGTGCGCTGACGCTTGGCAGGCCTCTCCTTACCAGTCTTTTCGACTGGCTCGTCACGTCTATTGAAAACGAGGGAGGTGGTAGTTTAGGGACAGAGGGACATAAACGTTGGAATGGCTTACCGAGAGCGAGCGCGCACGATGCAATTCATGACCCACTTGGTGTCCTCAACAGCGGTCACCCATAAAGGGTCATTGCTCGCAGTCGCCGTCTCTGAGCCCCACCACTTCAGACACACAACAACAGACAAGAACCCGTTGATGCCGGGCTTGTCGAGCGCTGACCAATCCCCATCAAGGCCGTGGCGAGGAAGGGGAGAAGGTGACGGTCCAGAAGGCGCCGCGATTTCTCGCCACTCAGGTTGAAGGCGGACCCACCATTTCCACCACTGTCCCGCGAACTTGTCGACGTCTGGGATGGACGGGCGGACCGTAAAGAGGCGCTTACGCGCGATCCACCAGTGAACCTCCCGGGGCCTCTCCTTGGAGTCCAACATTCCAGCGGGACCCTGGGGAGACGCGAAGTCAGCAGACTGCTCCAGGCGCAGCCATTCTTCCAGAAGCTGCGTGTAGAGGTTGGGTAAGGTCCAGCCTTGCCGTGCTCCGATCGTGGGGGATCCACCGCGATCGACCTTACGCCGATCGATGGGCAGGAGGATATCTGGGAGCCTGAGGTACTCCAGCGCATGGAGGATCCAGGCGGGAGGGTTGATGAGGAGGTTCAAGTTGCTGAGGGGCGCCTTGGCGGTTCCTTCAACGCCAGCGCGGGGGTCTATCAAATAAATGAATCAGTGCATTAGAATACATCGGCCAGAATGCTAGATAGACTCCTCACCTTTGTTGACGATGACCGCTCCCTCTGACTCTTGCTCGCGTCTGAGGCCAGTGTATCATAAGTCACGCGTAAAACCTAGGAATAAAGTAAAATCAAAACACTGACCTCTGATCGACGACAATCGCGCTCTCGTTATCTGCTGTAGGACTGCTAAACTGGTGAGTACCGCTGAAGGATGTATACATGCGACATTTGACTCACCTTATGGGACCCTTCTTCGTCGCCTTTTCGGTAGCTGTGGTTTTTTTCGGAGATTTTCTGAGGAGGAATAAGGGATTGAGATAACGAAACAAAGGCGCGGGGATACTTACGCGGCACCTCGGTCAGATTGGATCTTGGCGTGAGCTAAGCGACGGTCAATAAATGCTGAAAAATAAAACAAAAGGACGCATACCGTCGGAGTTCTGAGACGGCGAGGGCTCTTCATCCGCTTGAATACTGCGACGACGCATGTTGTAGACCTTCTTGATAGGTGGACTAATCTGTTCGTCAGTAGAGACGGCGCTCTCGGACTCGGAAGTGGTGTAGATCGCCTCGTTTTCTTCTTTGACGCTGGAGCGCACTACATCCTTGCGCTTTGCCTTACGTGCCGTGGATTTGCTGATGGGCTGCGAGGGCATTTTGCTGGCTGCAGTCTTGCGCGCTGCGGGTTTTGGCTTGGGGATGGAGGGGGGGATATGAGGTGAGCTAGCCAGGACGGCAGACGCCCCTCGTGGTGATTTATCTTGAGGGGGGTTCGCAGGACGCTGACTGGCGTTCGGAGGTCGTGCGTTTTCGCCACTTTGGGATAGCGCAGATCGAGGAGGGATCGCGTCAGATTGAGGGAGCGGCGTCACAGAATTTGGATGGGGTGCAGCCGAAGGAGGAAGCGCGGAGGATCCAGATGCCTCGTGGCTGGATTTCGACTGGTCGCCAGGCTCGTTCGTGCCCATCAAAGAACCAGACGAGGATTCCTGTGGATTGCTCGATTGGTCAGCTTTTTTTAGCGCAGACTGCGCCTTCATATCCTCGGCTGAAAAACGGCGCGATGTTAGCTGGTTTCCGTGACAGAACAGTAGATAGACTTACTGAAACAAGTTTCTACGAAGTCCATGAATTTTCTGAGTGCGATCTTGTGAGCCTGAGGTTGAGCAGCTGGCCAGCGCTGCGGTGACGGAGCGATGTTCTTCCCCCTATGCATTCTGCGCGATGAAGTTAGAAGCTGCGGCTGTATGAGAGTAGAATAAACGTACGCGACGACGTTAATCCGTCCGCCGAAGCGAGGCTCTGGTCCTCCGAGAAACACAGCGACCTGAAAGCCTGTGGCTTCATGTAACTCATCAAGTATAGGCGATAGGAAAGTCTGCACGGTATCGATGGCACTAAATGACATGTTCAGTAACGCGCGAAATAAGACAACGCTCAAAATGTACGTTTGTCGAGCCTCGGGGGATTTGTCAATGGGAGCGCTGAGAGCCGCGTTCCATTTGGCGACCTCGCGGGTGTGGTCTTGCTTCGCCTTCTCCGCCCAGGAAAGCTGTTCGGCCTCGGAAAGCCGGTGGAAATACTCAGTGGTGACCTTTTCGCGAAACTGGGAGCGTTGGTTGGTACCGAGCCGTCCCTTCTGTGCGTCCCAGCAACTATCACAGTCGGCCTTGATGAGCGAGGTGTAGTGCTGCTTGGACCAGAACTGCATGGCGGAGAGCTTCTTGGGCTTCGCACTGGGAACTCCGGATAGCTGTTTCAGAAGACGCGTCCAGACGTCGTTCTCTTTGCTACCTGGGCGACCCGCCGCCTTGGCACCGTCGATGCGACGATCGAGCCAGGCTTTGATGGACTAAAGCGAGACATGATCATGGGATGAGCGCTCTGAGAGGAATAAAAAAAACGAAGATCTTACGGATTTCATGGCTTCGATCTTGTGGGCCTTCTGATCTTCCTCGATTTCGGAGAGATGTTCAACGGCTTGGGGATTGAAGCCATCAGGAATGGGGTCGAGCACGCCTTTACGCCAAGGTACGAAGTTGAAGTATTCATTTGTGACGGTGTCGGTATAATCGCGAGCGCGCGAGTAGGATTGGGAGCGTGCAACACGGTAACCTTCGAGGTGCCCCTCCATGAACGTCAGGGTGCGGCCCTGAGCCCATCCTTTCGTAAGTGTCTCAACATAAAGGAGAGGGTCGTCGGGGTGGCGCTGGAACTTCTTGCCTGGTGATGAACCCTTCTTGACAGCCGGTGAGGCATCAGGGGTCGGCGCGGCGGCGTGATCGGTGTTCACAGCTCCGACGGGCGCAGCGTCGGTGGTCGTAGCTTCCGTACTCGCGGCCTCACCGAGGCCGGCTGCGGGTTTATCCATGGCCGCGGGCGCGGGATCATGAGTCGGCGCGACGACGGGGACTGCCAACTCGGGATTGTGAGTCTGCGCGACCGCGCCATCAGTACGCGCGACATCGGCGGGGTCAGGCTGCTCGACGATACGATCTCCGTTGTTGCTCATCTGCAAAAGAAAAAGGGTCAGAAATCTTCGCCGACATTATATTACACACCTTGTAATTAGGAGCCCGGGTGCGAATGGGAGGGACAGCGGGAGGAGGAAAAAAACGCGAGGTTGAAAAGTAATCGGGTGGATCTTCCCAGCTTTATAAAGGGCGCTAGCACGAGCGCTAAGTCCTGATTTGAGAGCTAAAGTGCTTTAAGTGACGATGGCAAACATTGCTATATTTGACCTACCAAATCCGACATGAAGCTATGGCTAGTTGCAGTATTCAAATCGCGGCGTCGGGTAGTATCTCACGTTCATGACCCACACATTGACCAAATCGGAGCTCCCGCATTGGGAAATTCACACGCTATCATTGCGCAAGATCCATAAATCGATCCTTCACAGCTAAATCAAGAACCATGATTTGGCCCTTCTCGGGTCCCTAAAGATCCACCAACGGTTCAATCTTTTTTTTTAATTCTAGCACTTTTGATACACCTGGATAGAACCACAACCCCGGCTGCTTCCCTAAGATCCACCACTTTTGCAAAGTCATTGGGTGGCAAGATCCATCTAAGTATGGTCTAGATCTACGGCCACGCCTGAACCAACCTCTATCGTCTACTGGGTTCTCGACCTCTTGCTCTGCACGTATTCCTTGCCTCCCGGGTCCCCTCCTTGCTGACCTGGCACCGTCGTCTAGGTCACGCCAGCTACCAGTCAATCATCGACCTGGTACGCGGCCGCATGGCGACGGGGTTGTCAATTAACCTCTCCGAACGACCACCGAAATGCGAACACTGCATTCTGGGGAAGCAGACGCGTTCGAGTGTGCCAAAAGTTCGTGAGGGTGCCAGGGCAACTAGGAGGCTGGGGCGGATTCACGTAGACTTGATGGATAACTCCGGTAGCCCGTCCTCTCGTGGCCATCTGTACATTATGAACATTGTCGACGATTTCAGCCGCTTTTCTTGGTCCATCCCGCTTCGCTCCAAGGCTGATGCCTTTTCGGCGCTGCGCGACTGGGAACGCGCTGTGTCCCTTGAGACCGGACTGACCGTCGGCATCTTTTGTTTCGACAACGGCGAACTTAAGCGTACCGATCTTCGTGATTGGCTAGCTACGAGAGGCACTCAGGTACAGTTCACAGCACCATACACATCTGCGCAAAACGGTCTTGTCGAACGCTATCATCGTACAGTCATGGGGCGCGCTCGAGCAATGCGCATTGCTTGCGGACTCCCTCCTCGATTCTGGGATGAGTTCATCACAACGGCAACATATCTCGCTGTCCGCACGCCCTGCCGCGCTGTTCAGGGCAAGACGCCCTACGAACTTTGGCATGGTCACAAGCCCGACCTCTCGAACCTTCGCGAGATCGGTTCTCGAGCGTTCGTACTAGCCCAACCACACAATCCGAAAATCCAAGCCCGTTCCGTCGAGTGTACCCTGGTCGGTTACGCCGTCGATTCCAAGGCGTACAGATGCTATCATAAAGCAACCGGCCGCATTCTTACATCCTACCATGTTTCGTTCATCGAATCTCATGATGACGAACACTTCGTGAGCAGTCCTCCACCCGTTTCACCCATCTCACCCGAGCCTGCTCCAGCTATCGATACTCCTGATGACACACCTTCGGGGGGACGTCCTCCTTCACCACAGCCTAAAGAACCTTCGGGGGAACGTTCTCCCGCACCACAGCCTTCCTCTTCCATGCCTCCCACACCGCCTCAGCCTCGACGCTCTTCTCGTACATCTAAACCCTCCGAGAAGATTGCCGAAGTTTGCCACCTTGACTGGCAACAACGGTTTGATCGTGTGCTTGGTGACATTCACGCTCACTACTCCGCTCTAGCCTTCCCCACTATATCAGTCGCGGCCGGCTATCGTGATCCTCTTACCATCAAAGAAGCTCTCGCCTCTGAGTTCGGTGCGCAGTGGGATGGCGCTCTTGTGGAAGAGTTCTCTGGGTTCCGTGCCAAAGGTGTCTACCGTCTTGTGCCAGAATCCTCTGTCCCTGCGGATAAAACCATCATGAGCGGTAAGGCCGTTTTCAAGCTGAAGATGAACGAGCTGGGACTCCCCGAACGTTTCAAAGCACGATGGGTTTACCGTGGTTTCGAAGCCATCTATGGCCATGACTATACCAGCACTACTTCGCCCACTGCCCGTCTTGAGTCCTTCCGCATCTTACTCAACCTTGCCGCCGCTTTTGACCTCGAATGCGAGCAGATTGACGTCAAAACTGCTTACCTCTACGGCGACCTAGAGCCCGAGGAGTACTGCTACATGTATCAGCCCAAGGGTTATGAGGAACCCAACTCCGCAGGCATGGTATGGCAGGTAGAAAAAGGTCTCTACGGTTTGAAACAGGGAGGGCGTGTCTGGAACAAGACCTTGCACAAGGCCTTGACGGAATGGGGATACACGCGCCTATCTTGCGAGCATTGTGTTTATTACCGACGCGAGGGCTCATCGTTCACTGCCCTCGCCGTCCACGTCGACGACTTTGGTGTTGCCGGCAAGACACAAGCCGACATCGCGCGTCTCAAGGACAAGATGAAGACCTTATGGGAAATCTCGGAGCTTGGACCAATCAAGTTCTGCGTCGGTCTGGGCATCCAACGTGATCGTGCTCGCCGCACTGTCTCCCTGTCCCAGACTGCTCTCATAGATAAGGTTCTCGCACAGTTCAATATGACGCATGCTAATCCCGTCGACACTCCCATGGAGTCCGATATCGTGTCGAAGATCCGTCGCACTCCACACTCCCTCATGGACCCATCTGTCCTCGCCGAAGTTCGCAAACTGCCCTATCGTTCACTCGTCGGTTCCCTCAACTACCTCGCTGTCGGCACCAGACCCGATATCTCCTTCACCGTACAGTGGCTCAGTCAATACCTCGACGCTTACAGCCACGAACATTGGGGTGTCGCGAAGCGCGTCTTGCGTTATCTGCGAGGTACTCGGGACCTCTCGCTCACACTGGGTGGTTTCGGCGCCTTCGAACTCTCTGCCTGGTCGGACTCCAATTACGCAGCTTGTCCGGACACCAGACGCTCTGTCACCGGCTATTGCACGACCCTTGGCGGCGGCTGCGTCACCTGGTCCTCTCGCAAGCAGCCGATTGTCACCGGCTCTACGTGCGAGGCAGAATACGTCGCAGCCAATGGCGCTGTTAAAGAAGTCATGTGGGTTCGTAACCTACTTGCCGGCCTTGGCCTCCCTCGCTCTGGTCCCACCTTTATCTGGTGCGACAACCGCTCCGCAGTCCACATTGCAGAAGACCCGTATAACTTCGCCGCTACTAAACATATCGATGTTCGCTATCACTTCATACGCAAACGTGTCGAAGACAACACCATTCGCCTTCTCGATATACCCTCGGCTGACAACGTCGCGGACATCTTCACGAAGCCTCTACCTTGTCCTGCCTTCGTGAGACTCCGTCACAGCCTCGGTTTGCGATGACTCAAGACGTGCGGGGGGGATGTTTGGGCTCAGGAGGAGTGACTATGGCTATGAAGGTTCAGGAGGAGTCGTTGATGAGGATGGAAGGATGAAGGAGAGTGTTTTCGCGGTGAGGAGGAGTGTTAGGAACCGAAGGTTCCAGTCCACCGCGTCAGGGTTAGTGCTACCGACAGAAGCACAACCGAAGCGTCCAGTATGGAATGCTGGTGAGATATACTCGAACCAGCGTTCCTCGTCTCGCTTCCCTCACTCGTTATGCACCACACCGAGTGAGGGTAAGCACGCTTTCGTCTATGATACATGACCACGACGCTCACATTGTTCTGTACCTAGTCTAACATATCATAGGTACAGAATACACTCGTTATGCACCACACCGAGTGAGGTCTAACATATCATAGTTTTAACACCCAAGCGCACGCTCAAGCCTGTCACCCCCTCTGCGGGTTCTTGTGTTTTCCCCTATGCCATGGACGGTGCGCGTTTTTATCATTTTATCTCTTCAATTAAGCTAACTTGTCTATAGGTCAGCCCTCGTTTGTTATTGACACCGGCGAGCACGACTCCAGTAACGACACACGCGGGCTGTGCAATGTCTGTGGGACACAAATCCCCAAGGGCGCCGACTACCGTTCCCATCATGGTCTACACCTCCTTCGATGTCTGCTGCACCTGCCTGACAACGGGTCTATCGCGTCGGTGCGTCCTCATTCTTGTGGGTTCACACATGTTTTCTCATTTTGGTTTTGTTTCAGGTTGCGTCGTCATTGCCCTGCGGCTGGTGCGCTGTGGGGCAGTGCGACACGTTTGTAACCATCACCAACGAGGGTGCTGTCACTGACACGGAGAGCTCGTGTCCTCTCCATCACACGATCACTTACGGCTGGGCAACAAAGAGCTCGATTGTCCGACCATCTCGTAATGTCCCACTCACTTGCCCACTCTGCCATCCGCCCGTCCCTGCAGCTCCCGGTCGACAGAAATCCCGCACCGGCACCAAACGTGTGCTCGCCGTATGGAGGTACAACTTCCTCGAGCATCTCCGCGTTCATCACGACAGCTATGGCCTCCCCGACCTGTCTCGATTCGGCGCTCCGCTCCCTCAACACGTCCTCGATACTCCCGCCATCACGAAAATCGAATACCTCGCAGCTCACGGTCGCAAGGCTTCCGACAAAGACTAGTATAGGTGCGTAAGCCGGTTCTAGCTTTGTTCGACTCACGATATGACGTTCGTTATATTGGAGGAAAATGTCAATGAGTTGTAACAGGTTGGTACAGTCATCACTAAAAGTGCAGTGGACTTACATGCAAGCAATAAGGCCCACAATCGCTTACAGGGAGCACAGTGGTCGAAGCGACTTAGGGTACCTCACAAGTCAAACAAAGCAGCTTCAACTTTGACAAGACAAGGAGGATTTGACAGAAGCCGATTCGAGCGTGTCAGCATCCAGGTAGGGTTACAAGGCTGAGTCTGCTTACAGGCACTGTGACCCTTGTAGGCTGTACAGGCGCTGTTTACGATGCAAGGCCAGGTCATGAGTGCAGTGGACTATAGTGATCACATCTCTTACAAGCCAATTTATGATTATAGCACACTTGTAATTTTCCATTGTTATAACATACATGAGCCGGACTAATGTACAGCAGCAATAGTACATGACAAAAATTAACATAATTGTTGACAACACGAGAGAGTACACGAAGCATGCAGATGGTCAAGAACACATACAACTCGAGTGGACGAGAACAGGGGCTCAAGAAATTACCTTGAAGAAAGCGCGTTGAATAAGAGAGCAGCAAATAATTATCATGATATGAGTGACAAGCTACAGAAGTGGGCGTGTTAGACTCGGAAACACGACAGAAGAAACGCACGAAAGGGTATGGGGACCGTGTTTGAGGGCCGGGATGCACGTCTGTTGCCTTGGTAGGCAGTCTGTCTTTGTCAGAGGCCTTGGTGCTGATGTCCGAATTGTGACGGGGAGACGACAGGCGGCGAGAGGGTGGTGCATCATGACGGGGAGAAGGTTAGCAGCGAGGGGAAGTCAGGCGAGAGACGCCTGTCTCTTAAGTATCAGAAGCTCTGGCATTCCAAAGTCCTTCTGCTTCTTCTACGCCCTTTTGTCCTTTCACCCGTTCCCGCTTCTCTGGTTCTCTTGCTTCTCCCGAACCTCCCGAACCGTCATGAGCTGTCTACTTCTGCATTCAGACATTCTGGGATAATGAATCTACGCTATACAGTATATATATTAGCTTGTGGTGTGTGGTTGATTTCGGATGGTCGCAGCCAAGTAGAATATAGGGGAGTTGCCGCATTTGTCATCGGAGTCTGAAATTGAATTCGCGACACTGTCAATTTTTCTCTTTCGAGTCCCCTTTGTTTCTTCGCCGCTCCGCATGTGCTGTCACACATACAGGAAGTCGCTCTTGGGCACAATAATTGTTCTGGGTGCTTCCCTTTGACAGCATATGGTGGATTCGGCTCCAAAAACTAATGCCCACCTAACACACTACCATGAAAAAGAGCTATGCATGTGTGGGTTACTAACCCTAACCTTAGCCCGGAGTAGTGCGCCAGCACGTACAAGCCCGGTGTCAGAGTCAAGAGGCGTGCGTAAGTGAGAAACGAAACACCGACTGGCCTACTTGAGGGGGGGGACCACCACCACCCCACCTGTCAAGAAGCCGCCCCGAACAGGCAGGTCGGCGACTCGGCCGATCAGATCGTGATCGGGCGATCAACCTGAGCGTTGGCCTCTGTCGCCTCCTCCCTCGCCAGCGCTGAGACGCGTTTTTCACGCGTCGAACGAAGTTTAAGCCCAAAACAAATATGCCATTATACTTATACATGATGAAGCTATGTGGTACAGTACTTTTGAACAACGAAACTAAGATTTGAGACCACCAAAGACCGAGCAGTGAGCAGAGAGAGGCCAGGAGAAGCAGAGCATCGAGAGCAATCAGAGCAACGAGAATGAGCACAGGCAGCAGTGAGACCAGATCAAGAACAAGAAGAAAGTGTATACGAGAAGCGCTAGCTAGTCCTAGCGCGTTTGTTGGACTTGTCAGGCTGATTCTGGACGCGTTTTCGAGATGAGGAGGCGGAGGCAGTGGCGTTCGTGTCGCCCGAGTCGAGAAAAGGAAGAATACTATTGAGAGCACACAGAGCATCAGCTACACCACCGACAAGTTAATTCAACGCGCACGAATGAACTCACGAACCACAAAAAACAAGATAATATAAGGAAGATGCATACATGGATCGAGACTTGGACAAGTCAAACAAACATCATACAGATACGTAGACTTTTCACATAGTAAAAATTTTTTATAAGAAAAAAAAGGAAAAGGGTGTCTGTCCGCGCCTTCGTCCACGCCTGCCACCCACACCAGTGATCGATTCCTCGCGGCAGCTTTAAAGAAAAAGGCAGGATGCAGACGTACAAGTAGACATAGACATAGAAAGGGTGCGGGACAGGACACATGGAATATGACATGGGCAGTTGGGAAGGATCCCGACGAGATAGACAGACAGACGGACAGACGTGCGACATGAGACAGCGGGAGAAAAAGCGAGAGACAAATGTCATCGTGTCGTGAGCCGGAGAGAGGGATACCTTTCGAGCAGCAGCAGCCGTGGTGATAAACCACACAACCAACCGCCTACCGCCTACAACCTTCATATTGTCTTGTCATTTTGATGATACGCAGGTGCTGCTGCCCGGCCGCTGCTCTAAAACACGCAACCGACGCCACGCCAGCATGCACGCGCACAGAACACCTGCGTCCATCATCATCTGGGTCATCCCAGACGACACCCGTCCGCAACGACAGATATGCAGACGGATGATGCCCCGGGCGACCTGGAACACTCGAGAACACCTCGTAAAGGGTGCTTTGTTACTTCCCAAATCATATCAGCATCCTTATCACAACACACAAGGAAATAAGGAAAAGACACACCTTGCTGTTGTTATCGCTATAAGCATGCTCGATCCCAGCGATCAAGAATCGGGCTCAAGCTTCTCGCCGCGCGCGAGCACGCGCACGACCTTGCTCGGCTGCGAGACCATCTCCATCATCTGCATCACCGACGGCGGGCGCTCGACGAGTCCTCCACTTCCTCCTCCTCCACCGCCGTGACCATGTCCGTGACCATGACCGTGACCATGACCGTGCGCAGCGCCCACATTCGGAGCGGCCGAGCCGTGAGAGGGGCGCCTCGGGCCCTTGAAGTTCAGCTGGCGCTTGCCGCCACCGCCACCACCAGTCCTATCTTCGTCGTCGCCGGCCCCGCGAACATTGAGATTTTGGTGATGCGGCACGGGCACCCCGCCGCTACCGCCTCCACCGCCTCCACCAGCACCAGCGCCCGATGCCGCCTCGATCTCGAGCAACTCGATCCCAGCGCGCGCCGCCCAATGGGCGATGAGCGTCCCGGACGAGCGGGGCTCGTACTTGTGCGCATGCGGTTGCGGCGCAGGGAGCGGCACAGGCGAGGAAGCAGCGGGCTGTTCGCCGCTCTTCGGAGAACCTGCGTGCGCCTGCTGTACGGGGGACGGCATCTGGCCGCCAACCGGATTCGGGGTGGGGTTTGGGTTAGACACAGCGAGAACGACGCGAGGTGCAGAGCCGGCGCCCCGTCTGTCCGCGGCGAGCTTGAGCGTGTCTTTGGCGTTGTCGGCTTCCCAGCGGGCGCAGCAGATCATGCGGCGGACCCACTCGGGCGATGCGGAGAGGAGGTGGGGCGACGGGGGTGGCTTGTCCTTCGCGGCGGCGGCGTTGGTGTTGTTGGTTTCGTCCTCGAACGGAGCGTCGTGGAAGGAGATCTTGTCCCAGGGAACGTAGGCGTCGTCGCGCTGCACCCTGATACGGGGGTTCGTCCCGACCTGTGCCTCTAAGATGCGCGAAGCAGCACGGGCACGCTGCGCGAGCAGGGATGTGCCCTTCTTGAGAAGGTCCAGAGTGTTAAGAGCTTCGTCAGAGAGGTCAGCGGAACATTTTCAGAGCAAGTATCGATGAACGCAGACCTTCAAGGGGCACGATGACGATCTCGCTTCGCCCGTCCCGACACCACTTCTTCACCTGGTGCAGCGCATGCACGAGCACACTCGCATCGACGACAACCAAGTCCGCCTGCGTGTCCCTATCGGCCTGCCCCCTCGGGCCGTCCTCGTTCGAGCGCCTGGGCTTCCTCACCTCGAACTGCTCCTGTCGATCTGGGCTCCTGCGCTGCACCGGCCGCTTAGGCCCATGCGTGATCATCCCCCCGCCACCTCCCCCTCCGCGCCTGCCCTGGCCTTGCTGTCCTTGCACCTGTGCTTGCCCTTGGCCGAGGTCCATCTGCCCCTGGCGCCTATCCCTCCACCTCCCGGAAGCGGCGCCACCTCCTACGGACTTTTCGAGCTGCTCGACCTGGTGGCTGAGAAACGCCGCCCCGAGCGCGCGGGACATGGCCATCTTGTTCGCCGTGGCTGTCGCTGTTGGCCCCTGCAGTTGGGAATCTGTTAGCTCCGCCATGGTCTACAGGAGAGGAGGAGAGGAGAGGGGGATAGAGTGCTGGAGCGAGCGACGTACCCTTTCTGCCATTGTCTATCTGGACTATCGAGTGTGCGAGGATAAGTTATGTTATGAGAGAGCTGCTGGCTGGAGAACGGAGACGCAGAGGGCGAACTGTTGAATTGCGTGTGATAGCATCCACTTATAATCTGGACCGTGCTTAGTCAGCTCATAGTCAACGCGTCTAAGCTCCTCTCCGCAGTCTCTGACCCTGCCACAGAATGAACAGCGGATAGGGGAGGATAAATATGAGCACACTACAGTAACAACAGGGTATGAAGGTATATCCAGACAACGCCTCTGTCCAAAGACACAACACCTAATAGCATGTGGAAGAAAAGTCCACTCTCCCCCCCAACACCACACACACCAAAGATTCACCCAAACCCAAACACAGCCCCAAACACATCCCTCCAGCTCCTCTTCACCACAACCCTCACCCCGCCTCCATACTCCTCCGCAAGCCACTCCACATACCGCGCGTCGAGCGCACTCAGCGGCCCCAGCTCAAACGACGCCACGTCCTTGGCCCCGAGCGCGACCGTCATCTTCCCCACGTCCGGCGGCGCATACGCGCGTGCACGCGGGTCGCGCGGCACGGGCAGCAGCGCCGCGAGCCGCGAGAGCTGGAAGCACGTGTTAGCGTGAAACGTCTGCAACAGCGAGAGCGTCGTCAGGATCTGCCGCTCCTGGCGCTCCTGCAGCTCCTCGGGGTCGATGATGTCAAACTCCGCCGTTTTGGCATTGCCGTTGCCGCTGCCGCCGCCCAAAGCGGGTGTAGACGCGGACCCCACGCGCGCGCCAAAGCCAAGGCTGAGCATCGACCCCGTCGAGCCCTGCCGCCGGTGGTTCAGCTGCGCCGACGACTGATTTCGCGCCTGCGAGGACGACTGCGCGCGCGAATGCGCGCTCATATTGCTCGCCCGCCGCATCCCCTTCGTATTCACACTCGCCGCGCTCGCACCCGCACCCGCCCCCGCCTGCGGCCGCCCCTCGATCCCGTTCCCCACCGCGCGCACGAACGCGCTGCTCCCGAGACTGAGATCGTCGTCGCCCTCGAGCCGCACGCTGCCCCAGTTCGCCATCGAGCCGCCCTGCGTCGAGTACGACGCGCGCGAGTTGCCGCGCCACGCGCCCATCCACAGCCCCGCGCACACGATGCACGCGTCCTCGTACAGCCGCATCGCGTCTGTCCATGAGCTGCCGTAGGCTTTGCCCGCACGCGAGCTGTTCGTGTCTGTGGGAGGGCGGCAGCAGTGCTCGGCGCAGGCGTCGGCGCCGGTGAGGGAGAGAATGCGCTCGAGCTCGTTCCACTGCAAGTGTGTAAATATTAGTAGAGGTCAGTATGATGTGTAGGAGGGCACTTGCCAGTTTGATGTCACTCCACGTGAACCTGACAAGCGACAATCGGTGGGTGGGCCCGCGTGATGAGCCTGGCGACTGCACGGGTTTTGAGAGGTAGAGAGTAGGTCTAGAGTTGAGGTTGGGCGTCGATGTCGTCAGGTCTACGACTATATCGTAATACGAGGGCTTGTCGAGGAAAATAGCGTCCGTCGTGCCTTTCAATAAACGCCGTCAAAATTTGTTTTGACATCTTGGAAAAGAGCAGGACTTACAAGCAATCCACCCTTTTCCCGTCCGCCCCTCGGCGTCCATCTTGTTCAGATCGCTAAGAGTGACCATCCCGAGGACGTTGATGCCCTGCTTCGACTTGCCCTCGAGTTTTGTGCGGTATCGGGAACTGGTATCGTCTTCGCCGCTAGTAGAATAAAGAGAAGGATCCAGTTGGGATTCGTAGCATATGTCAGCCGCGACCTGGCAGAGGATGCAGGCGGCCTCCACGGGCGGGAGCGTGTATATAAGTATCCGCCGTCGGCCGAGGACGTGCTTGTACACCGTGAGCGCGGAGGGACCCAAGATGCGGAGCAGATGAGGTAGATGTGGGGTTGGATTCGAGGGACACCAGTCTGAGTCGGGCTGCAACCACACGAATATCGTCAGCAAACAGTCCATCTCATTCCATGACACCGAGAAGCAAACATGCACGCACCCCATCCAGCTCCTGGCTCCACCCATTCCAGTCCCCTGCCCCGCCGAGATCGTCGTGCTGCACCCTGCGCTCTTCGAAGAACGCGCGGGCAGGACCCCAGTCGCTCTCCTGGGGCTCGAGCCTACCGTGTATCTCAAGCGGACTGTATATGGCATTGATAACGTGCCTGAGCGGGGCGACGTGCCGCCACGCGCGGGGGCGGACAGACGGGGCGAGGAGGATGCCGAGGGCAGAGAGGCGGAAGCCGCGCTGGCCCTCCTCGGTCGTGCGCCGGCGGCGGAAGACGGAGACGCCCGGGTGGCCTTCGTGCGTGAAGTATCTGGAGGGGTTGGGGTGTTGGTTGAGTGGGGAGAGGGTTTTTGGGTGTGAAAACGTACACGACGTCTTGCTCGACGAGGTGCAGCCCGCTCGGGAGTGTGCTGAATTCGATTCCGTCGAGCACGAGGTCTGTGTCGAGGGCATAAACGTCGGTTCTAGGAGATAGGTATGCGTAAGAAGCGACATACGGTCTTTCGTCTTGAGCGACCAGTCTAACACGTTTCCCTTGGTCGGGTGGAAAGACGTGTGGAAGATAGCAACTAGACATGTCCGTTAGCAACCTCTACACCCCAAAGAGAGAAAGAACCCGTAACTGACCGACATCCCTAGGTATCGCCTTGCCCTCGGGGGCAGCCATCCAGCGTGGAGGGTGTGGAGGGGAATATACAGTGGTGAAGTCGTCGTCGGTGTCCACTTGCCCCTTGCACCTGCGCCCCAGCCGGAACCACAGCCACAGCCACTGCTTTGCTGGCTGGCACCGTCGCGGAGTTCCAATTCTCAGCCTCGCCTGCAGAGCGTCACCGCCGGATCCCAGGCGCGAGATGTCACGACCAACACCGTGAACGATGGCATCCGCACAGCAGCAGACCCAGCAGATCAACATCGGCGACCTCGACCTGCAGCAGCTCGCGGAAGTGCGCAGGCAGCTAGACAGCGTCGGTGCTGGTTCTGCACGTTATATGATGATGATGGTCTGATTTCTTTCGTGATCTTCAGGAACTGCAACATCTCTCGAGCTCGTTCCAGCAGCTCAAGCAGGCGCAGGCAAAGTTCAAGTCGTGCATCGAGAACGTTAACACCGTGAAGCCGCAGAACAAGGGTGCGTACTCCGCCTGCGATCGTGCTCGCTGCTGGCTGATCTGAGGGCTTCGCAGGCACAACACTGCTCGTCCCCCTGACGAACTCGCTGTACATCCCCGGGCGCCTGAACGACGCGGAGAACGTGATAGTTGATGTCGGGACAGGGTACTACGTGAAGAAGGTGCGCCTGCATTCATTAATCCTCCCTCCTTTGATCTAGCTTTGTTCCTCGATCGAGCGCTCGGCTGTTCGCTTCACCTTGGCTCACGATCCACCCGTTTCCCAATCCCCCAGACGCGTACACAAGCCGCCGAGTACTACAAGGCCAAGGTGGACTACATCGCGAAGAACCTCGATACGCTCGGAGACACGCTGCAGAAGAAGCAGGATAACCTGAACACGATCATCAACGTGATGCAGGCAAAGATACAGGCGCAGTCGCAGCCGTCGAAGAGCTAGACGTTTCAGATAGGGCGTTGGCATTTGCGATCTTGTGTTTGGGGAGGTGGAGGTTAAAATGGCCAGCTACGTATGCTTGCTACCGCACATAGAACGTCGTGGCGCATGCTACTTTTCTATAAGTCAACGCGCTTTTCGGTACTTACTTGACTTGAAATCATTCGACTCACTCGGTAATGAGGGTTATCGGCTGTTCATATTATCGTACGTGAAGTGCCCGTTGAAAGAAAGACCAAGCGGCTCTATATACGCACGGTCATCACCGAAATATAAGTCCGATGTGGTGTAGTGGCTAACATTGCTGTCTTTCACTACTAATGATCACAGCAGCCCCGGGTTCGATTCCCGGCGTCGGAATACATTTTGCCCTTTTGCTTTGATAACCAGGTATCGCAATAGACCTTTAATACCACGCTACTTCAATTTGTTCAGCCGCGGGCCTTCATACGACGTTTCGCGAGAGGTGTTTGCTCCTCCCCGCGTCCTCTACCTATACAGCACCTCGCATTCGGTACCCCCACAGTTATCTGCTTCGATATGATGCTTCTCTGAATCTCATTGAAGTAATGGAGGGTCTATAGAGAACTCTTATAAGTAAGTACACCGTAAAGCTCAAGAAGCCAGTCGGAGATAATATTAGCACAAAGTCCTAAATAGCGAAAGGCCGCTGATCATATACATACAGGAGAGAGTTCCGCATAAATAAAGGGCCAAAGGAAGACAAAGAGTGGCGAGACTGGCAAGGGCTATGGCTAAGTGAAGTCCAGGTCCCCGCTAACACCAAAGTGCTGATGTATGTAGCTACGTGTTCGAAAAGTTATCATAGACCTGTCTTACCTGCAGTACCTATGACCTGATAAGTATTCTGGCAGGTAGTCACCTTTTCATCAAGGTACGCTATTTTCCGGCTGAGGAAATTCTCTGTTTACTGATTCCTCTAACGGGTCGTCGAGAGCAGGCGGGTGCCCTCCAAATCCGATGGAGCTGATTGTTCCGGTGCTTATGCTGGACCCTCCATTCAAATGGGTTAAATGATCTCGGCGGATAGATAAGATCAGCCATGGTCCCAACATGCAAAGAAGTCCAGTATCGAGAGAAAGCTCGATACAATAGAGGATATTTGTTGCAGTAATAGAGCCCTAGAATTACCGGATATTCTAGTCAGTTCCCCAGCAGGGCAATGCTATCGCTTAGATTGTGCTGCTCACTAAATTGAGAATTGATGGGAGGTTTAGGATTATGGTCAGAGCCGAGCCTGCGAGCACCCTAGACAATGTATTAAGGCTTGATATTCTCAGACTATGGGAGAAACTGTTTACCATAGGAAATACAGCAAGCCTTGACCCAGCAGTAACCTGATTATCCCACTGATGTCTGTTGAGGAGGACGCCTTTCCATGCACTCTCAGGTACATCAATGAGCGGTAGATGAGCATTGCAACGAGCAAAAACTCGTATGCGCAGGTGCCTCCGTTGCTCACAACATCAAGAATCCATAATACTTGATTATTCAGATCAAAAACCAGACATCCCCGGATGCCTAATAAGATGCCTTCTTGATCTGACCAGGATTATATATATTTAATAGAATGTTATTAGTGCAGTGCTCCCGTGACTTACAGGTGTAAGAATAAAGTGGAAGAGATTGAAGGACAGCCATTGAAACACTCAGCAGCTGTGTGATAACAAATATGGCGAAGAGGAAGAAGGTCACTCTCTTTGAATTTTCGTAGAGTGCACAGACTCGGGCGCACATGACTCCTGAAAACTCCAAGTTAGCTGTTTCACTTGATGTTAGCCGATAACACTACCTTGAATGATCATGATCAGCACGGTGGGAAGAACGTTGCTGTACAACGTATAAAGTATCATGCCTTGTATTGTTGAACACAAGCCACACACTATAGAAACGTTGGCTTACATCTATGCGACATATTTTCTTGTCTGTCAGCCCAACAAAATAAACAGGCCAGGGAAGACTATAGGAAGTACGCTCACTCCTATTAGAGCCACACTCGTAAGTTTCACGTATTTATTATTGGTACAGCCGCCTTACTCTGTCTGACAGAATAACGGGAAATTCTGTAACTGGAAAAATTAATGCAACCGTGAAGAACAATAGTGTGCAAGAGTACCAACCAATGTACATTCTTTATGGAGGGGAAAAATGTTAGAAAAAACGTAGAAAAGAAACCTACATCAAAGCATACATAGGAAATATTAGGCCAACGTAGCGTAACTAAGAGTGAAAATTAGGATGTCTTCAGTAGATAATTCTAGCTGTAGTGCCAATAACACTCACAAAGGCATAACAATATGTCAAGGGAGATATTCCATATTGCTAAGAAATCCAAACCCATAAAATTATCAACACAGCGTCATCCTGCACTCGCTAACCAGGCACGCACCCATATCAGCAAAATCTGACACAGTTCACTTCATAATGTCATAGTCCATTTATAGGAGGGAATGTATCTCACCTCTTGACTCAGGTTGAGAGCTAGTTCAAAAGAGTCACAAAAACAATTCAGTGAAGCTATCTTCAACTAACCGTAATCGTAGATCGCCACTGTCAGAAGTGACACTACGGTATTCAATCTAGTTCAGCATGGTTGTGTCACTTGTGACTACGGGTGGCTACCTACCAAGAATATAATTTATCTTCTGATATTCGATGAGGATAGGCATAAAAGCAGGAGAATTTGAGACTACGGGCATGTTGGGCGTCTTCTCTGTGGGTGTTTCTATCCATGAGTATACTTGCTGACCTTTTATACGTGCGTGCAATTTCATGGAACAGCAGCGACAGCTGTTCTTGGACACGCTACCGTTTTACACTGGTAGTGAGATGATAATTGTAGTTCGTGATGCCTTCCACACATATTCCAAATATCCTCGATCCGGTGTCCAGTCCAAGACCAAAATGCAATGATATGTCATGATGGTATCCATTCGATCGTAGTTCGTTTTTGCGCACATGTATCAAGAATATCCTATAGATAGCCAGATGCTGAACGTAACTTACGAAGCAGCAGAACATTATCAATAGCATGAGTGGACATAGATCAGTGCAAGGAAATATTAATATTGGTACGGTGTGGCGGCTGCGCCATGTATATTTTACAAAGCCAGCTGCGGGAGTAATTATCGAGTCGATATCGTTGCCCAACTGTCCGCCACGTACCTACTTTGGCCTTTTGCCGCGCGAACCAGACTTGTTGTCAGGAGCATCGTCACTTTGGAAGTTGATCAGCGTTTCTGGTACAAATACCCTGCTCAACAGATATGTTATATTCAAAGACGTCACCTCACCTGCCAGGGACGGCATTAATATAGGCGGTGAAGAACAATGTATCAAACGCGCAGTGCAATAGTCCAAAGATGAAGACATACTGATCTGTTCCATGGCTCAACTTCGCAGGCCAACGTGTAAGTCTTCATCATTTTCCAAGAAGGAACGTCATTCAACAAGGGCGTTCCCCATCATACCCTCCGCAAGGAACTTCGCCTAGGCGACCGCAAGCTGATCATGACTCCCATCCCTTTTTGCACCACAGGTCAAGTACAGCCTTAACAGAGCATGGTCTCCAACCTCCGCTTCCTCCCATGGATAATCACATTTATCAAGGGATTATTTCTGTAAGGTGCTGGCACATGTTCACGCGAAGATGATTAGAAGAGCTATCCAAATATGCTTGACGAGGTCTTCATAATTATCTTAGATTTGCTGCTAACGGTGTACCTAAAGTACCAGATATCGTTGGACACAGACCTCCTTTCACCCTTCCACCTCGTTCTGGAAAACACTGGAGATGGATTGATTATTCCGCGTGCATAGCGGACGTCGGATAAAGACGTTGGAAGCTTCTCCATGGCAGGATCAGATGATCAAGCTTTCAAGGAGCTGCAACGCGCTGGGCAAGGAGTAACGACGAGAACGCTATGAAAAGAGAGCTATTCCCACGAAGCGCATATACTACACGCTATATACGACACCGCAAGCACATTTTTCTGGATCATTGCAGACGGGGAACATGATGTGAAGGACGGGTGTACGAATTGGCTTAGTAATTCGATCCATGCACTCTAACTGTCTTTCTTCGTATTTTGTTATTCTGATTATGCTGTCGTCAAGTCTCCTTGACAAGAATTTGAATAAATGTTGAAGGCGCATATCGAACACTTTCTTTGCAGTTTCTAGGAGCTGATTTTGTGGCCCACACTGGTATCTGTGAGGAATAAGCGTTGGTTTATGGATCGCAGTGTCCTAATACCATGCTTCGAGACTTCATCGCGCGCTCATGTTTGAGCTTAGTTCGCACAACGAATCTAGAAAAATTGGCGTAGAGTTACAACGACATGCGGTGACCTTTGTATCCATAATAGCTACTAAGTGCCCTTTACACGTAGCATGGTGCTTCCAAGGCTATAAAACACCGAGTATGAGTATTCAAGTATTAGGAAGCAATCTGGGTGCTGAGTCGGCAGTGGTAAGAACACTAAACAGCAATGGAGTCTCTTCTCGCTGGTGACTCTAGTGTCTACCGCGTATCTCGGGTGTAATAGGCGATTTGTAGAAGATGAAGCACCGAGTTGTCTACCGGGGCAGCACAGTCGAGGCGCTCAAGGAAGCAGTCAGCACATGCTGGTAGATGCGACGTTCGAGGAGGAAATTGGGAGGAAACCTGTTAGAGCCAGGAGGATTATTGGGCCCGAGTCTACGGCAAGATGTGTGCTATCACAAGCCACTACCGCATCCACCAGTGTATCAGCGAGTGTCAGTAGATCACTGGTGGTTGCAACCTGTTGTCGCTGTTCAGGAGCGTTCGTGAAAGAACTGCACTGCACTGCCTTACGTGACCATCTCGGGAAACCCGGTCCGACAGTCGTACGGATGTTTTGGCTGGCCGCCGCGTCCTGCGTCCTCAGTGCTTCAGAGTCTCGAGTCGAGTCATGCTGTCACCATTTTACTCTTCTTCTCAAAGTAGCTCACACAAGCTCAGGTCGACTTTTGGGAAGAACGAAAAGAATCACTAGGTTGAGGAATGCAACAGAAGACACTAATACCCAAGGGAAAGAACGAACGACATCAAACACCCTAAGACAAATTCTGGCACCAGCAAGTACTACGAAACAGGTCCCCCCCACGCACGCTTGTCGCGAGCCTGCCTATCGAGAACCTCCTGCGCATCCCTCCTCCTTGCATGAGCGGAAGTCACCAGTCTCGGCGGGGAATTCTCGCCTACGGATCTCTCGGCAGTACTCACCCGCCGCACGGAAACTCGAGCCCTCGTGTGGGTGCTTGATGCACCGCTCGTGGACGATGCGTCGGTTCTGGTCTTTCTTCTGGGAGGGAGGGAGGTCAAGGGCAGGCTGTCTAGAGTTTATTAGTGATGTAGTCAGCTTTTCCATAAGGCATCTTCAGAACCTTCTGTTGACTCACCTCTTTGGATGACGGTTCTTGCGCGTCTCTCGGTGGCAGATGAACTCGAGACGCTGCTAGCTGTCCCTGAAAGAGTCTGGGTATGAACGGGGGCATGGAGGGTAAAGCAGTTAAGCTAAACCCACAATCGACATTCATGGCTCGCTCCTGCAGAGCCGCGACATGGTCCTTCAGTGCCGCAATGTCCATCTCCGCGCCCAGAAGCCGGGCAGAGTACCCACATAATCGCGTGTCGATCCACCCCGGGGCACTATCGATCCCAGGCCAGCAGTCATCCGTCGAAGCCCGTCGCCTCAACTCCAGCGGCCCACTCGGCAACAAAACGTCCCCATCCATCTCGTCGTATGCCACCCCCGCCGCCCCGCTCTCCAGAGCAGCCTCGAGTGCCTCCTCTCTTCTGCACAGCTCCTCGACCTGCTCCACCAAGCGCCGATTCTCCTCTTCCGCGACCGCGCCCGCCTCGCGGATCTCCTCGCACTCGACACGGTGCCGATATTGCATGCGCACGCGCTCCTCCGCGTGGTAACTCTTGAGCGCGAGAATCTCGAGCCTGAACCGTTCCGCGTCGTCCGCGCCCTGGGCCTCGCAGCGCTCGAGATGCACGTTGGCATCGAAGAGCATGATCGCGCTGCGCTCGAGCTGGCTCTCTAGCTTGTCCGTCCGCTCCAGGAGCTGCCTTCGCTCGTCATCTCTTGCGGCTTTGAAGTCCCTCAGCCACGCGGATGTATTGTAGGCCTCGGCGGCGCTGCTCTCGAGCTGCGCCTCAAGCTTGGCGATCTTGTCTCGCAGCGTGTCCGTGTAGACGCTGTAGTCAAGGAGCGAGGACTTCATCTTCTGCAGCTCGGTCCAGAATGTGTCTTGTTCTTCGTCGAAAGCCCTTTTGAGATCGGTGTCGTACTTCCGCAGGCTCTCGAGCTCACTATGAAGGTCCCTGTTCCGAGCGTTTGAGCGTTTTAGCTCCGCCAAGAGAGAATCGATGAAGTCCTGGGTAAGATACTCCACGGTTGGTGTTTTGGTTGAGACGACAGGGTTCTGGCGGAGAATTGCAAGCTCGGTCCTCCAGGAAGTGCATGTAGCCATGATATAAAGAATGTGAAGATATAGTAATGTTGGGAATAACGAAAGGAAGGGAAAGAGAGTGACGCCGCGACAATGAATGAAGAGGAAAGACAAGGACAACAAGCCCAAGAAACTGCGGTTGCGTGCAGCGTTCTCCTTTCCAAAAGCGCAATGGAATTCTGGTCGGCTTCTCTGACTCCTGCGAGTCCTAGCTTCACGCAAAGATGCTGGCGGATATCCTTCTACATAATCATTGACTCAGATTGCCTATGTCACGGTTCTGCGCAGGACTCCTCGTGCGTTCTCAAGCTTGGAATGGCAAGACACGTTTATCAGAGCACTTGGACCGAGTTAACCGTATAGCACGCATATACCCACTGATATATCACACAACTGTGACACTACTAGTAGTACGTACGTACCATAATATTGCACTGGCATACAACCACAGAGCCCCACTCAAATACAGGGCTCGACGTCAGAAGGCCAACCAGACTGGGCTACTAGAATATCATGAGCCTCGTTCTGAATGGCGGCATCATCCTAGGCTACTAGCAGCGCTGATGTCACTACCCTGCCGTCAAACGGTCGTCCAAACGTACCTCAACACACTCAAGAGTCCGAGACATCACACACACTGCAGAACTCGATCTCGCAGCACACAGGCCCATACCACAAACACCTTGTTCGAAAACAAAACTGACGAAATCACAAAAGAAGCATTTCATCCTCAACCACAGACTCGGAATACCACAAACTTGCGCACTATGCAACGAAACAAACGAAACAGACAGACAGACAAGAAACATGGTACGGCATGTCACACTGCCGCCAACTAAATTTTAAACGAACCTATAAACGTACTTACAACATACAACCGCCCCCTCCGCCAAAAACGAAGGTAGGGTCAGGGGGCGGCAAAAAAACCATATCCACAACGTAGAGTATTCCCAAAAACGAAAATGAAAATGAAAATGACAAAGAGAGACGCGAAAAGCAATAGGATGCAGAGAAGGAAAGTGCCGAAAACAAAACAAACAAAGAAAAAAGAAGACATGAGAGAGACGACATGGGATGGGATGGAGAACAAAGAGACTAGACAAGAGAAGTGAATGGGCTATGGAGACAATGCGCATGAAAGCGGGGATGCAACTGGTATTACACGGAATGCACGAGGAAACACAAACAAAAAACAAACAAAGAAAAAGAGGACAGGGAAAGAAGATCGAAGGTCGAAGGTCGAAAACAGGAGGGAAAGATATAGAGCGAATGGGGATTACAGAGAGAACGGAAGACAGACGAACGAGACCATAATCCAGACTCGGGCATAGGGTAAAAAGTGGGAATATATGCAACAGCACATCAACACGCAACATGCAATACGGCGCAATGTGGCCTCGGACAACCATAATCACACCGTCCTCAACCAAACTATCAGACAACCAAAACAAAGAGCTCAAAAGCCTTTTTAAGCGCTATCTCCATCCTTGTCGTCTCCCACCGTCTGGGCCGCAGGAGCCTGCAGCGGCGCGAGCGGGTACCCACCGCCGTATGGGGGCCACGATCCGTACGCGTGCGCATGCGGCGGCGGCCCGTAGTACGGATAGAACCCTGGCTGCCCCGGTCCCCCAGGAGGCGGCGGAGACGTGCCCAGTATCCCCGGCTGCCCAGACGTGCTGGCTGTTGCAGGATCACCACCGCCGTTTCCATACGGCGGATATGCGTACGCCGTGGGCGGACTCTGGCTGTGACTGTGCGGGGGTGGCGACGATCCGTGCAAGGGAGGCGGCGCGGGCGTGCCGTACGGGCTGGGCGGGTAATGCGATGGATGCGGGTACCCCGGGACCGACGGCCACCCCGGCATTGGCGGGTACGACGCAGCATACTGCCCCGGCACGCCAGGCTCGCCTGGAAACCCATGCGGCGGGCCTCCGGGCACGGGCGACGTTGGCGACGGGAGTGAAGGGGCGTGGGCGTCAGTCGGTGACAGGGCTGACCCACTCCCGTCGGAACCGGGGTTTCCCGCGGGCGCCTTGCCCTTGCGCGCGCGCTTGGACGAGGAGGGTGTCGTGGCGCCATAAGGCATGTACCGTGAGCGGCTGTTTGCTGGTGCGCGGCCGTCGGTGAGAAGGGGGAGGCCGCTGGCCAGGGGTCCAGCGAGGAGGGGAGGCTGGACAATGCCTGAGTCGACGTCGTCGGCCTCGCCGCGGTAACGCGGGATGCCGTCGACGCCAATTTCGACCTTGGGTGGGTTGCGGAAGTGGGTTTTGTCGAGGTATTCGGGAGAGATGTCGAGCGAGGCGAGCTCGGGGAGGGAGGATGGGGAGCGAAGGCGACCTTGTTCGACGTCTTCGACCTTGTAGTAGGAGATGAGGTGTTGGGAGACGCCGCCAATGGTGAGCGAGAACGTCTGAGCGAACGTTCGTTAGCGACGGCGACGGCGGTGGGGAAGGGGATATGTCTAGAAAACAGAAATATATGCACCTTTTTCATGAGACCATCCGACTTGAACTTGTAAGAGTTGGTGAGGCTACCAACAAGCGTCCGTTCCCGGTGCCTGTCGAGGCCCATGCCCGAGTTCTCCCCCTTTGGTCTGCTGAGCGTCTGCCCCTCGAGCCGCACGCCGTCCACGTTGTACTGCGAGTGCTCTGGCTGGCTGCCCTCGGGCGTGGGGTCTGGTGGTGCACGGACGCCGCGATGGCCTGCGCCGCGCTTGTCGGTCTCGCGGTAGATGAGGAAGTTGCCGAGGATGCGGGAGGGAGACCAGAAGAAGCCGTCGGTCCAGCGCTTGATGCCGCTCTCGTCCTCGTCGAAGACGAAGACGGAGCCGGAGGTGATCATCTTGCGCTCGCTGTCGACGAGGCGGCGGGTTACGCGTGGGATAAGACCACGGCGAGCAGCCTCGAGGATGAGGAGGGCGTCGCCTGTGGTCTCTATCCAGCCGCACCAGGGGGGCTCTGTCCATGTGGCTGATGGCTGCTGCTGCTGCTGTTGTGGTTGCTGCTGGGTGCCGTTGGCGGTGCTGGAGCCGCTGCCGCCGGCGCTTGGGGTGATCTGCTGATTTGCAGACATTTGGTGGGGGAGCTGTGGGGGAACATGGTGGTCAGAGCGAGAGATGGGAGATAGGGGCTAATAGTTTGACGATGGTGATGGTGGTGAGGAGGGGGCAAAGTAAAGTTTGCGAACAAGGTTGACTCACCGAGGCTGTAGATTTGCGGGGAGGAGGGCGAAAAACGAACGGAAGCCTATTTAGGTTTCACAGCCCGACATCCCGCGCCACAACTCTCCCAGCCCTCCAGCCCTCCCGCCCACCGTCTGCCCAGGGCCGTGTTCAGCGTCGTGTCCGGCGTCGAGGCCGCATATAGCCAGCGGATGTGGTGGGCAGGTCAGTGCGGGGCCTCTGCATGGGACGGGGCGGGAAATCAGAGTTTGAGGCACATAATAAAGTTTCCCGCAGCCACAATTAATAATTTCCGCGAAGGTTTCAAACTTACTCGCCCCCCCACCGTGCTCCATCCCAGCCCAGCGGTTCCTCCGCGACACATTCGTCATCGCGTAGCAGCATACATCTACTCACGATGTCCCACCCTCCTCGCCTCGCTCATCTCGCCTCTTTCTCGCACAAAGCAATACAACATCCCTTGTTTTTCCGGGCCATATCGCATCGTTTATCTTTTCACCTCCACCCCTACTCATGACATCCACCATCTTTTTTCTCTCAAATGAAGCCTATGAGTTCACCTTGAGTTTACCCGTGCCTTCTCAATTGCCTGTCAGCCCTGTCGGCTCGAGTTGGCCTCCGTGATTTATGCCCCGTACGAATTTTTTCACCGTTGCCATCACCTTGTTCTCACAATCCAGCTTCAAACAGCCCGTTACATAAATTTGCACGACTCATAGCACGTTTGGCCGTTCGAAAATACCCTTTGGTCCCTTGAACTTCTCCTACCATCGGGGGTAACTATACTGCCTTGTTGGTGAGCACCCTCGTCTCTTGATACACGTTGAGTCCTTATCATATTCACACAGAATACGCCGATTCCGTTCTCGATGCTATGATGAAGCTGTACTTGTCTCAAATCTGGTTCCATTCCATGCAACACGGATTCTACTCGGGACGCTCTCTCGCCCGCCCAACATTCTCCCCCGGCACACTTTCGGCTACGGCATCTTCCTCGTTCGCGCTATGATGTAGACCCACCAACCTGTGCCTTCCCTCCCGTTGGCTCGAGCTATTCTAGGGGCTCATTCTCTATCCAAGAAGAACCTAAACTTTCTCAAGAGACGCTGCCCCGCTCAATACCACCCTATCCTGCCCTATCCCTCCCGAATGGCTCCGTTCGCTGACCACCGGCCCGTCGTTGCGTCGCGATCGCACACCGCTGCTGCATAAGCCACCCCAGCGGACATACATCGGCCTCGCTCTGCCGCTTTCTCCACCTCGATATATCATGGAAACCCCTTTTATTGACGTCCGCCATCTCACGCCCACAATGGTTACGAGCCACTGCGTGCGTGCGCTTATTACATCGGAGGCTGCGTGCCGGCTACCCGTCTCCATTAATGCTTGCGCCTGCTCGTAAACGCCGTTCTGACGGACGGACGGCTTTTGTAAATTGGCAAGGAACAGCTGCCGAGACGTCGTGGTGATATGCACTGCGTGTTCGTTGACGTCATGCGTACAAGTTTGTGGTCGTGGATGCTGGGACCCGCGAGGCTGATTGGGGGCTGTATTTATCTTTGCTATCTGCTATACACTCGTCCGCATACATGCGTGCTGCGGGCAGATACGCCGGTCATGATGTCGATGATGAGGGAACGTTTTTGACATCATCGCATCTCCGAGTTTAGCGCTGGTGTTGGTCGCTGCAGTTTCTTTCCCAGCTATCCTTGGCTCAAATGCGGTTTTGGAATGCTGTATGCGAGCTCGCGTCATGCCGCATTAATGTTCTTATAAAACTCGGCGACTATCCGCTCTTCAGCCATCGCTCCTCCGTTTTTACCTTCATCAACGTCAACGTCTACTCTAGCCAATGCCGCGCTCATGTTGACGCTCTCGCCTACGATGCTCTTTCAAAACCGTCTGGCGGCTGACCATGCCAGCCCAGCCCGCCTCGAAGCCAACGTCAGCCGCCCAGTCCGCCGTGTATATATGCGCGCTCTCAGCCTTTCACCTCTCTTCATTCTCTCCACATCATCCCCTCACCGCCCTCCACAATGTCTACCACCATGACCACCATCGTCAACACGCTCTCTTCTCTCGCCACCCTCCTGTACATGACCCTCGTCTGGCTGGGCGTCGCCGCTCTCGACGCTCTCTTCCTGGCCTGTGACGGCGGCTCTCCCTCGCCCGACCATCAATCCGAGAACGGCACCGGCGATTTCAAGGACAACAACGGCGAACCGCCTTCACCTATTCTTTCCGACGACGTTACCTTGGTAGGCACTCCGATCTGCGAGGTGGCGTCGAGGTTCGGTGACATCTCCGAGACGGAAGGCGACAGGACAACAGTACACACCCTAGGGCTCGGCATCGACACGTTCGGGCTCGGTGTGGATACACTGCTCCAGAAGGGGTCGACCATAACCAGGAGCACGAAGGTTTCTGTTAGCTCTCAGACGGAGGAGACTGCCGCGGAGGCGGACGACGAGGTCAGTTGTGCACCTATGTATTCTTATGTCGCCCGCGGCTGACATCTGCTGGCTGGGCTGTAAAGGTCGCTTCAAACCTACGGGCTACGATCGTCGCTCTGAAAACCACTATCGCCCGGCTCACGGATGACCTTAAATCTCGGGACACGCTCATCGACCTGCTCAATACCGAGGCGACTTTTATGGACGAGTGTCTCGCTGAGCAACGGGCTGAGGTCTACGGGCTTCAAGCAGCTAGGGACGCCGACGCGGCGTGTATCGTGGAGCTAGAAATTGAAGCGAACACGATGCGCACGTTTATCAACGAGCAGCGGATCGAGTTGGAGGGTCTTCGCGCATCTAAGGCCGCCGACGCTGCACGGGTATCCGAGCTGGAAACCAACACCAACATCGCAAACATTTCTCTCGCCGACCAGCGAGCCGAGCTAGACGTACTCCGCGCTTCCAAGGTCGCTGACGTCGCACGCGTCGCTCAGCTAGAGGCAGACGCGAACACCATGGAGGGCCGCATCGAACTTCAGCAGACCGAGCTCGAGGATCTCAAGGCTTCGAAGGCCGCGGACGCGGACGCGATTGCTCGGCTCTCGGGCGAGGTCAAGACTCGCGACGCGCGGATCGCGCATCTCAGCACGGACGCGGCAATCATGGACCACTGCATTGCCGAGTTGCGCTCCGAGTGCGAGGAGTTTAGGACGTCAAAGGCTGCGGACGAGGCGCGGATCGCGAAGCTCGACGTCGATGCGGATATCATGGACGCGTGTATCGAGGACCAGCGCGAGGAAATCAACAAAGTCAAGAACACGACTCGCCGACGGGCGTCTGAGTCCGTGATCGTACGAGGCCAGCGCGATGAGGCAGAAGCCAAGGTCCACCGGCGCTGTCAGTCGTCGAACGTCAATACCGTTGCCGCTTCCTCAAACGCAAACGCAGTCCTCTCCCCCGCCGCACTCCGCCTCTCCCATCTCACAGTCAACCTCGCGCTCGCCCATCGGGACAACCACCGCTGGGCAGACGCCTACACGCGGCTCTTAGCCGAGTGCGTCACCACCGCGCAGGAGAAAGCCCTGCTCGAGACGGACGTGCGCATCTTCGAGGCGCAGATCGGGCGGCAGTCGACGGCCGCTGCGAACCTGCGCACGCGCACGCGGGAGGCCGAGCGCGCGCTCGCGCAGCGCAAGGGCGAGCTCGAGCGGTGCGTGAGGCGGCTGGGGAACGATCGGGGCGCGCGCAATATGCGGGCGCAGAGGGCGGACAGTGCGGCGGTGCAGGATGCGCTGAGGGGCGAGATTAGGGAGTTGAGGGCGTGTTTGGGGATGGCAGCTAACAGGGTGGACAGTAGTGTTGCTGCTGCCGGTGCCGACGCTGTTGCTGGTAAGCAGTCTGAGGCGCCGGGGGTGGCGACGGATGGGGACGAGGCGCCGGCTGGAAACGAGGCGATCGTGGTTCAGTCACAGGACAAGGTGACGGCCAAGGATTGCGGTTGGAAGCCGTTCAGATCCTCCCCTCTCTGTCTTTGATGAGCCGCACGGACGGCATTGCAAGTTTTGGTCTTAGCTTTGGGGATGGTTGCGTGTCTAGGATTGTGGGTTCGCGTTCTTTCTCTCTTCCGTTTTTTTGCCGTCATCGTCACTTCATCGCACTGGCATCTATCACTTCATTGCACAGAATCTCTTCCTATCTTCAAGCATATGCATCATCTGTCGGTCATATCTTCCTTGCATACTTCCACAGCATTATCTTTTGCATTATACGCATTTTAGCACATATGCACGCATCATGTAGCCTTATAGCCAATTTTGTCTGTCCTTAGCAATGATACCCCGAGTTTACAAACACGATCGAGTGCGAGCGCCTGAAGCCACCAGCCGTTTAGGCAACAATAGCCCCTGTCTCCACTTTACGTTTCGCATATGATATCATATGTCGTTACCCACGTTATCGTCCAGTACTGTAAGCACCATCATCCCCGGCAGGCACCCGTTAATTAACCCCCACCGCTCGAGCTAACCTTGTTCCATGATGGCCGACACAGCACCCCCACCGGGCTCAGCGCCTAGTCATACTGCCCGCGTGGCGATCGTCACAGGCGCCGCGCAGGGCATCGGACGCGCGATCGCGCTGCGGCTCGCGGAGGACGGGCTCGATGTCGCTGTTGCGGATGTCGCGGCGCAGCAGGCGAGGCTGGATGAGGTCGTGCTGCTCGTAAGGGCCAAGGGGCGGCGGGCGCTTGCTGTCGCTACGGACGTCGCGGTGGAGAGGGAGGTGGAGGATCTGGTGCGAAGGGCTGTGGATGAGCTGGGCAGGCTGGATGTGGTGGGTCGTTGGGCTATATGGTGCTGTGCGGTCGCGTGTTCTGTGGCTTGCTGACGTGTTGTATGTGTGTGTGTTGAAGATGGTGGCGAATGCTGGGCAGAACTTGGTCGGGTCTATAGTTGACAGTGCGTATGCTTATGCGTGATGGTTGTCGTTCAATTGGTGCGGCGTGTGTGCTCATGGACGAGCGCCTCGGACTCTAGCGCCCATGTCTGAGTGGCAGAGGATCTTCGGGATAAACGTTTACGGGACCGCGCACTGCTATCGCGCCGCGGCGAACGCGATGATCGCGCAGGGACAAGGTGGACGTATCATCGGTGAGCGTTCCAAGATCCTTCCTCGGCTCGGATGGTCTAACCGTGTCATCTACAGGCGCGACCTCAGTGCAGGGAAAGACAGGTTCGCTTCTCCTTCAACGAATAAAACCCTGTTCTCATTGCTTGACGCACAGGTGCTCCGTTGAATGGGGTATATGGAGCGACCAAGGCGGCTATCCGATCTATCACGCAGACGTTGGGTGTGTTGGCTTCCTGCCTACCCAGCAGTATGTCATTGCGTAAGCTAACATATCCCACAGCGAGAGAACTCGGACCACACGGAATCACCGTCAATACGTATGCCCCTGGTCCCATAGATACGCCATTCAGTGAGCTTTTCTACTGTCAGCTGATAATAGGCTCGGTCTTGGGCTCAACGCCCGAATAGTGCACGACGCGGTCGAGAAGATCGCAAAGGGTTTGGGCGCTCCGTCAAAAGAGGCATTTATGGGCCAGGTGCGTCTCGCTGCATTATGCACTTGACAGCTGCACGCCGACGCTCACGATGATGTCTACTCTCCGCTAGTTCTTGCAAATGTGCTCTGTGAGCAGGCTGGGGACGCCTGAAGATGTGGCAGGAGTGGTATCGTTTCTGGCCTCGAAGGATTCCGCCTACATCACCGGTATGTGGATGTCTTTTCTTGAGTGATACGGTGATTGACAAGTCTGTTAAGGGCAATCGTTCAACGTTGACGGCGGTATGCTGGATACATGAGCGTCACGTACATCATATGGTTGAGCGTAGGCATAGTGGTGCGTCAGCGCGATTGCAAGTCATCAAGCCATGCATAGGTCTGCGATATCTTGACATTTAGCATGACGTTGCGTTGCGCCGGTTTGGGCTCTGGGATCGATATTTTCCTCCTCCTGTCCTTCCCTGCCTGTGAAGCTGTGAAACTCGCCGTATAGCTTGATGTGCACGCCAGTGCCCGTTCAAACGATGAGCGTATGCAAATATTACTCCTGTGCGCATGACCGTGGCTTGCTTTATTGTGAGCGCTGAGAAGGGAGAATGTGCAAGTGAAAAATACCCAGTGATTTCCATGTACATTCAGATGGGTATCAGATACCGGAAGTACCTGGCTGATTTAAATTTGACCATAAATCCTGAATGTAGAGATGATGGAGGCTGAGGTATCCCAACCAAGACCCGGACCTCAATATCAATATTCAATGGTGAATCGCTTGACTGTGTTTAGCAAAGGAAGTTCATCGGTAGAACTGCTAGGTTTAGGAAATACACAATTATGTAAGAACATGCTCATTGTAACGACGACGGAGGATGTGGACCGTGAGTTGGATCGTTGGAGGGGGTTTTCGGTTCATGTCAAAGGAGGCTGTGCACTTGCCATTTGCGGAACAATAACGTGTTCGGCACGTGACCTGCCTTATTGTGAGAAGAACGCGCGAACGGAGACAAAGCAAGCGCGCCTTGACCAACGCCAACCGACTGGACAGTGGCATGGACCTCCTTGTCGTCTATAAAGACCACAAGGATGGAGTCGAGACGTCTGCATCTTTCATCTTTCCCTGTTGGACTATCTGCAAGATTCCCCCATCGACGCGTCTGAGACGTACTCGTGCCCACACCACCCATCAGCCTGAACAGTCCTCATCTGAACACTTATCGCAGGAGTCATATGAGCGTTAACAAAAGAGACAGTGAGGGTGCTATTAATTTATCAGTGTAACTGCTAACTCTCCGTAGATGTACCACAAGGCAGTGTGCCAGCGCCCCTGAGACTAATATCTTTCCCCGACCGACACCCAGATGGTCAAACCCACTGGAATCGCAGGCGTCTCTCAGATGGCACCGTGATCCCAAAAAGACCGGTCTCAGGTACCTTCGGTCGCTGGGGCTCTCTTCCTGAGGAAGTCGAAGGCTTCATTCCCAGAGACCAACTCCGTTCACCCGACATCGGACCGTGCCCTCCTACACCTGACTTGGACAGTGTCGATTGGGAGTCTCCCGGTGATGTCGACCGAATCATTAGTCAAGTCGAAGCCTACCAAGAATACGTCGATCAATACGTTGCTGATACCCACGTTGAAGCGCGCTTCGCTGCTGACGAGTCTGCCTATTTGAACCGAGCCATCGCTGACGAGTTGGATGCCATGAAAGCGCTCTCGGATGCGATCATCAAGCGCGCTTCAGAGACCGCTCAGAAGGATGGTCCCTCTACCACACCGAGGTAGGTCATAAAAAGTTGCTCATCCATTGAATCTATGGATTGACATGTATACAACTGTAGGCGCCCTTGGGAAGGACGCTCAGATCTCCCCTTTCCCGGACCTCCGAGCGACGATGATGACGGGGAAGACGACGACGACGCGGGTCCGCCCCCCTCGGCCCCACCTCGTTCTCGGATCGCTACGCACGCCTCGCCCCCACCCCCGCCCCCTGCACGAGCAGATTCCGTACCCAATCTTCAGCTTCCGACTACTCAAGAGCTTCAACACATGGGTCTACCAATCCCTCGCCTCCATGTACCAGCTCTGGGGTCGCATCAGCATGTTCCAATGGTTCAGCCATCGGTCGAAGATACGGATCCCGAGGTTAGGTCCGGTCCTATCATCTCCAGGCCTCCATTCAACGGCCTTGACCTTCTGCTGCTCCCGCCGCGGCGCTCTGCAATGGCCCGTTGGAGGGAGCATCACGGTGTGGACAACGAGCCGATTTTGTGGTACGATTACGATGGTGAAGATTCCTTCCCACGTGGTCTATCGCACGACAGTCGCCTTCGTACCTTTCGGAGTCGTTCACGCTCGTTTTCTGCTCGGAGGTCAGCTTCCCGGGCTACCACATCTAGCAGTCGCATCACGTATATCCCAGAGTTCGGTGACTCTATACCTTACTACTCCCAGCCGAGCGCACGATCGCCGCGCTTCTCGCCCGTTGCCCAGCGCTCAAGGCGCGATGCGTCTCGACTCCCGCCTCTATACCATCCCCATCCGGAGCCCCCTCGCAGCTTCAGCCCGCGTCCTACGCCTAGCTACATCCACCAAGGTCGCATGCCACCCATGCTGTACCCTCGCCCCAGACGTCCCTTCGATCCCACATTCCCCAACGCCATATTGGGCAGCATCACCCGCCAGCAACGTGCTGCAGCCACCGGCTCGTCCTCAAACCGCCAGTCTTCCGGTGCCCGCGCTTCTGGCTCCAGAGCTAATCGCTCTAATCGTCGGAAGCGGGGGCGGGAAGAATACGACGCCGATGCTAATGCTAATGCGCCTTTGAGAGCACAAGGCAGCTACAGTTCCTCGAATAGGTCGCGCATGACGACTTCTACATCTGTCTCGAGAGTCCGGGGTAAAGGACTGGACGTTAAAGGCAAGGGCAAGGCTCGAGAGATCGACTATGATGGCGATGAAACCTATTCGGCTGGCCGATCTCCGAAACGCGTGAGGTACCTTCGTGAAGAAGTGGACGAGAACACTGCACCGTATGCCAGGGACAAGGGCAAGGCTCGCGCGGTTTATTTCGAGGAAGGCGAGCCCGACTCCGCGAGTCGCCCTCCGAAACGCACAAGAGAGTCTCGTGGAGAAGATGTGGACGCCTATGCTGGGCCGGGTGCGGGGCCGTCCCCCAAGAGGCGTCACATCGAGCCCGAGGCTGTATCTCCTCCCCGAGCTCGGACTCGTTCTCAAACTCGCTACCAGGCGCAGCGTCTCCAGCAGGCGAGCGGCCATTTACGCCTAGGTACCATTTCGGAGGCACAGTCAGGCGCTGCCCTTGGCAGCAACGGTAACGGGCCTGCTCAGCCTCCCCAAACCATGCCCGGTACTATTCCTCTCACGCGCCCTCGCAGGATATCTCAACTCGTCCATCCCCAGAACGTGCCTTCGCGTTTGACTACCGGTCCTCAGGAACAACATGTCTCTCCCCGGAACGGCGAAGTCAGCGAAACCTCCTCCCAACTTCCAACTACCGTCCGTCAGCGCCCTCGTAGATTGTCTCAATTGCTTAACCCGCATAACGTGGCACCGCAGGTGACTGCGGGTATCCAGGAGCAGCAAGCTGTCGTCTCGCACGAAGATTTGGTCTCTCAGCTTCTTGCGTCGGCAGCCCGACGTCGTTCCAACATACAGGCGCATACTCGGCAGCAGGCTCCGCACGATCAGCTTGTTATTGATGCATCGCATGCGAACGATGCGCCTCAGGAGCAGTCCGTCGCCCCCGCAGTCGCAAACGTTGAACGTGCTCCCCGAGCCCCCGAGCCTCGAAGGGCCGCCTCTCGTTCTGATGCTCATCATCAAGATATACCCTCCCTCGCCGAAGCTGAATCATCCCGTTCTCGCCTATCACCAGTCCGCGAAGATCAAACCGGAAACGCGGAGGTCAAAACGAGCGAAAGCCCCCAGCCTCAAGCGAGGCGCCGTCCTGGGAGGCGCTCGCGCGCTCAAGGTCACCAGGCTGAAGCTGGGCCTTCACAAGCGACTATCGTCGCCAAGGAAGAGACACCAGCGCCTCAGCAGGCGCCGCCTGCTCCTCGAAGGAGCGCACGAGTTGCCGGAAGGTCCAATGCGGAAGCGACAGCGGGTCAGTCACAAGGTGAGGCTTCTTCTCGGTGACGGGATTTTGGACTCGGCGATGGTTAACGATATATCTTTGTAGTTCCTGCTGCGGGGCCGACCAGGCAGCCTAAGAAACCGACGCGCAAGAAGCGTTCTTGAGCTTTTACATGTCGATGTGACACGTCTACCGCTTTCATATCTCTAATATATCTAGCGTTTTTGAGACGTTTAAAGTTGAATCTTGTCTCTACTTACGGTAACTTATTTAATCCTCCCCATCCTCATTCTCCGTCTCCTGCCTATTCCTAATTGCTAAGCCTCTGGCTATATACCCGTCTGCTTGCTGTACATTTATTCAATCGGACGCTTAGTTATTATAACGTAGTCGCTCTAATACTGAGACTCCTCCTTCTGTCGTCAATCATCATTGTTCCCGTACTTCTTAAACGAACAGCTTCGAGGGACTGAGCAGATTCTGGCCCCTCGAACAAAGGCATACGATATGTAACGAGCGCGTACCCTTGTGCACGATCCCCGCCTCTCAGCTCGACGTCTGCAGTACTCTTTACTGAGCCTTGGTGCTTGTGTCGTATGCGAACGGCCTTGCGAGGAAACAAGGTGCTCGTCTTGTTTGAGGCTAGGAGTTCGAACTGGTGTTTCATCAGTCAGCGGAAGACCGTTGGACTTAGCGGCTTCACATTCGTGTGGAATACTCGTATTCTCCACCGATTCTACGAGTTGACTTAGGAGCTCGCAGCACTTGTTCGAGTAAAACAAATCATGTTGGTTGGACACGATACAACATTACAATCACATAACAGCCATGTAACTACTGATATCCTGCCAAGCGATACCTAGTACCGCATGAAGCAGGCAAGTGCGTGAGCACACTACATAGAGACGATTAGTCCCTACAACGTCGAGACCCGAGGCCACCTAGCCCAAGACGCGAAGTCCGGACAGGCAGGCGCACGAAGTCCCGACGAGTGGTCAAGGTACGAAACCCCAGACGCCAGAGACCGAAGCCCCAAGAAGAAAAGGCCCGAAGGCCCCTCGCGGTGCGAAAAATTTGGGGTAAAAATACCCAATAACAGAGGCGGCGCGTGATGCACCGAACCCCTTGCTTAGCAGAGGCGGGATGGTTGTCCACGCCAGCGCTGAAGCAGTACCCGGGCCTGTGAAGGCGCCGGGACGTCGACGTGAAGTCGACGTGAGAAATGCCAGAGATGGCAGCCCAGTCGCCCAGAGTGTGTCGCCAGAGTAAGAGATTGCCGTCGCAAAGCAGCGCCGCTCGCGGGCTCTTGTACTGCTGGTCCTGAAAGGCGCGAGGTCAGACAAGGCGATGCTAACAACATAATCAAAAGGGCTTACCAATTGCTGGTAAGAGGCCAGCGAGGGGTTCCTGCGCATCGAAGAAACGTGTCAGATATGGCGATGACGACGAGCGAACAAGACATACCATGCTTCCCTTGTGGGAGGCGGATCCAGCGAGTGATGAACGCATTGGTAGAACGTCGCCGAGTGGTGTCCGCGTCGATCGCAGCGCCGGTGAGTATCGCGGCCAAGCGTTCCGGCACTTCCCGTAGCTTTCCCAACCCGGGTATCGTGTCGATGAACAAATAGCACTCACGAGCCTTTCCCGAGCAGCAGCCCGTGCTAGCGTGCCATTGAATGGCAGCACAGGCCTGTCTACGAAAGAACGAGACGAGTTATAGAGAAAAGCATGGCCATAGAAAGCCGGTTGAGAGTGGAAGGAGCGAAGCGAAGCTGAGGGAGCTGAGGAAAAGTTGACGAAGGAGAGGGCGACTTTTATCTTGTTTCGGGTCCTGGTTCGATTCTCGACTGGTTTTCAATATTTGTCCCTGTTTGTGGCGCTCATTCCACTTCGAGGGCTCGCCGGGCGGGCCCGCACATTGTTCCGCTTTTCCACCCTGCTCCTCGTCCAGCGCACTAATCGAGGACTATTCGGGGGTCCTACTAATCGGCTTCCGCGTTGAGTAAACCGATCGGTCCTTTCCTCGATAGCCAATCATAATGACTGATGAAAGGTGGTCGACCCTGAGCGCTACAATCTGTAGCACTGTCAGGGTCGTGGTCGGGTAGCTGCAAGAATTTCATCCACGACTAAAAGGCCAATGTCACGGCTGCGCGTAATAATTATTCCAGTTCGCATCGGGCCAACGAGGTTGGAATGCAGAACAGAAAAATGGGCCGCAAACGCCTCTTTCCGTACATCCATCCGGGGTGTTGGTAATCTCCTGCTGGGTTGAGACCATTGCTACCGAATAATACAGCACCCACGTCGACTTGTCGGTATCCGAATGTTAGGTAAATGTGGCTAGGAAGCGTGTTCCGAACCCTTTTCTGCCAACATTTTTGCAAATTGTCTAGCGCTGCGTACGTTTCGGTAGCGGGCAAATAGCAAGCCAGAAATACCACGAGCAACTAGCCAGAAGCTCGAATGTATGGAAAGGGCTCACATGCAGAACCAATCACGACACGAGGAACCGGAGGCGCCGCCGTGCCCTTGACGTTAGTTCGTGCCTTCTGAAACGGGAAGGAATAACTAGTGTCAGTGCCCTTAGAGTAACAAGGACACCGGGCACCGCAAAATATGGGCAAATACAGTTGCCAGCGTGAGGCGCTAGAGCCTTGAATGACCTCCCTCGGAACCATCACACTTCCGAGGACGCCCAAATTCATCCCTCGGATAATGGGGATTTCTTATCTCTCCTAAAAAGGGAAATGTGGGTGGTCTGGCAGTGTCTCCGGTTTCTGATGTGCCTTGCTGCCTCAATGCGGGCGACAGGACGTAATATCGGTCCTCCACCGCCGTCCAGGTGATGGTGTGGAGAAGAAAAAATACTGCTGAGGTGACCGAAGAAAGAGTTTAGATCACATTTTCCCCTTGGCGACATAACATCAGAATTTCAATACACGGACGACGACTTACAGTCGCACTTCTACAGGCGCAATTCAGAGATAATGGTGGTCCGCTCAGAGGAGAGCTCTTTATCGATCGAAAGCCGTATGGTCCGTTACGTTACACCCTCACGAGCCTCCCACCTTAGCGCAATCGATCTAGGCCATGCACATTCTGGCAAATCAAGTGAAAGAAAGAGATAAGCCATCTGGAACAACACTAGTATCTGAATTCTCAGTCTCTGTCGTAGGCGCCCCCC